GAGCAAAGATGTCAATGTTTAAATATATTGTTGGATCTTGAGAATTTGTGTTAAGGTATAAAGTTATTAGTAGATAGAAGTTGGTTGAGTTTTGAAAGTTTACATTCCTAGACTGAAAATCATTCTTTTTCTAAGATGGAAAATTTTCCACAAATTTTCTGAGGCTTTTCCAATAGCTGATCTATTGATCATTTTGCTAAAAAATCATTCTATTTTCATAAACTAGTACAAACTAGTGAAAGGGTTGGAAGTTGGCTTAGATTTTAGTAGTTAGTTTGTATAATGTGACCTGAAAAGGATGCTGACTTTTGGAGCTAAGGCAATTGAGTTAAATAGAGTCTGGAGTTGGTGTAGAAAAGTGGCCATTACGCTTTTCTAAGAAGGGTGACTCTTGTGCCTTTCTTCTATAACGTTATGCTTGGTGGTACATTGCACTTTGTATTTCATTAGACTTTATGAGAGTAGTAAGCTCTTGCTAATCTTGATTTAGTCTTAATAGCCCTGTGCCTTGGTTGAGGATGGTGATGTCCAACTTAGTTGTTTGAGGTTGAGATGTTGGTACCCATACTATAGCTTATCTATCAGGAGGTTGTGTACCAATATAAGTCCATCTCATGGTTTTCACTTTAGTTTCGATTGAGTGTTGATCATGCATAGCTAGTCTCTTCAAGGCATGTTCAGAGCTATTGGCTAGATGTGTTGGTGAGTTTATTGTAGTTGAGTTGGATTCGAGTAGTCATTTAGTTCGTGTTTGTCCATGAATCGTTATCTCATGTTAGGGATGTTATGTTTATGTTAGATAAGTATATAATTCGATGGCATGAGTTTAGTGTTCAAGTTTTGTGAAGGCAAGTTGAAGAGTGGTTGTTGGTTGCTTTGCGATTAATGATTGCTTGTAGACTTTGTCAACGACTTTTGACACTTGCTTCATTTAATGAAGATTTAGCAATGATGGATTTGCTTTACCGAATGGTGTTGCGGAAGATTGTGTCGTTAGACGTACATGGGTTTTCTATGTTAATATGTTGACTCTATGCCTATCAATATCATTTGGTTGCATTTAGTTCGTAGTGTTGGATTTCTTTGAGTCTTGGATGTGGTGATTCACTCTTTGATGAAATGTTATCTGTAGCTGAATAATGTTGAAGAACTGTTCTCAAATACTAACTAGGGTATCTTTGACTTTGGTTAGCTTGATTGCTGAAGAGCTTTGAGTGATTATTCACTCTTGCTTTCTTCTAGCTTTGTCTTGGTGTTGATGGCATTAAAGTAATACTTTATCATTGACAATATTGATGTTGAGATTCAAGTGAGATGAAATATCTCTCTGTAGAATTGATATTGAGTTTCATTAGTCTCGATGAAGATAGTGTTAATGATTTGGCTATGGCTTTATGTTATTGACATTCATGCATTGCTAGTTAACAACTTTGTTAATGTTCAAATGAACTAAGTGGTAAGTTTGAATTAGTTGTATTCTAGACAAGATTGTTTAGTAGGGGTTGAGTTTTGAGCTTTTCTTTGAAAAATGATTTAGTCGTGGACTATGTTAACTTTACGAGAGGAAGAGTTTGTGATTTATATTGAAATGTTTGAATCTTTATTAGATTTGAGTTGGAGTATATCGATCATTAATGATTCTTCTTGTGCTTGTTATGAAGTGAGTTATGTCTTACTATAGATGGATTCATGGAGGATCGTTTGGTGATCATTTGTTGAGCATAGCTTCGTTATACTTAACTTTTGGATTGATATAGACATGTTCTTCATTAGCTTTAGCATTATGAAGTTTAGCTTATAGATGTGTTGAGGAGAGGATTGTGGGTTATACTATGACTTCTTCGTTAGCATTGAAGTTGGTTTATGTGAAACTCGTGATCATTGTTAAGCAAGACTTAACTATATACTTTTTTGAGCTTTTGGTTCTTTGGGTCTTATGTTCATTGTTCCATCTGTTAGAAGTTGTTGGGGAAGGCATTTTGGCTTATTAGCTTCGATATTGAAGTTGACTTTTGCATTTAGCAGTCATTGGTGATAATTGACTATTATCTAGAATAGTTGATTATCCTTGTCAAAAAGTTTTGCTTGATTGTTGTTGATATCGAATGATTTGCTATTCTTCAGGATAGGGAATTTCTTCTTTGACGATGATTATACATATCTTTTTTTGATGGGATGATTAATGATCTTTTATGTTAGTTAGTTGTTCTCTTTGATAGCTTATAGCTTTTCGCAACACCACATGTTCTTTGTGGTCTACTTTAAATTGGTCTCTTGGGTTTGAGACATCAATAAAATGTTGCTAACACTTGCTTAAGCAAACTTGAGTTCCTTCATATTGTTGATCGGGATCTATTCAAATTGGCTAGTGCGATGGTTAGCAGACTAAGTGTTTATTGGTCTTACCATATTCATTCTGTTTTATTGATTATTGCTCAAATTGGTTTTGATAGATTATGATGTTATTTCCTTTGGGTGATACATTCATGAGCATTATGCTTATCAGTTAATGATACTTTATGTTCTTTGAGTTATCTTTCATAAATTGTTTGGCATTCTGTCTGTAATCTTTGATAGTTATGTTTTGTCATTAAGTGTCCTTGATAATACACTAGCTATTGAATTTTGTTGGATGGTGAATCTTATATTTCCAAAAATAATGATCTTAATGGTTCTTATACTGTAATATTGGTTTATCAGATGATAACTTACTTGGAATACTTTTGTGTTCTCATCTAAGTGTAAGCAACTAAATTTTCCATTCTACTTTAGTCATTTAACCACACCTCCGACCACTTGGAGGAGTCTCACTCACAACCTCCATAAGTCCTATTTTAGACTTAGGGACTTGTTAGCCCCAAGAATGGCATCCATGCCACTCAACCATTGCACTTGGTCCAAGTGCTCCACATGTCCAATCCCATGACTAACACCCCAAGGTACCACCGACATATCGGCCCATTACACTAAGGCCATACCCATTTATCTTGGTCACACCGGTGGTTTGACACCACCTACATTACAGTCCCGTCCCTCAAAAACTGGGTCATCCGTCCATGAGTGATCATCCCAGATCCACCCCTTAGCATCCTTAGGATGCCCACAGACATGGGGAATAACCTTCCCCAACATCCCTTTTCTGGTCTCCACCAAGTCCCTTTCTACCCATGGCCGTATTCGCCAACACTGCCACTGGATCGAGGCCCACAGGCCTGACCACTAAGTCCCACAGTCCTTTGGGACTTCCTCACCACCCGATTGTATCTTTGGTCACTACACCAGAGGACTACTCCTCTTCCTTTCCACAGTCTGGGCCTTTGGGATAACATCTCGGAACACCATGGCCCTACGCGGGCCTCATAGGTACTCTCCTCACCTTCCGCCTTTGGGTGCTCTAGCCATGAGCTTAGAGCGAGGTTCCATTGAGCCACTTCAGGTATCCAAGTAGGTAGTGCCACCCACACTTAGACTGGGAGCATCGGCCAGTCGATCTCCCGAGGGAACTAGAGTTGGCTCTTGAACACTTCACCAAACTACCCCACTTGTCAATCCATGTTCATTGTAGTCTTGGAATTCCTAGTGGGCAACTCATCACCCAACACTAGGTACAACCTTCTTGGGCCAAACTGGCCTTTCTTGGCCAAACTGGCTCCACTGCAGTCCTCCCCTTTACTATACTTTTGGAGCTCACCAAACTCCCCAAGGTCTGGGAGACGAACACTTTGGGCTTTCACCCTCTCAAACTTGAACTCAGACTCGGACTCAGACTGGGGCTTGGCCTCGGTCTCGATCTCGGTCCAAATCTCGGTCTCAGTCCCAGTCTCGGTCTCGACCTCAGACTCCATCTCAGGTCCTTCTCGGACTCCATCTCGGATTCCATCTCGGACTCCATCTCGGGTCCATCTCGGACTCCATCTCGGGTCCATCTCGAACTCCATCTTGGATTCCATCTTGGACTCCATCTCGGGTCCATCTTGGACTCCATCTCGGACTCCATCTCGGGTCCATCTCGGACTCCAACTCGGGTCCATCTCGGATTCCAGCTCGGGTCCATCTCGGACTCCAGCTCGGGTCCATCTCGGACTCCAACTCGGGTCCATCTTGGACTCCAGCTCGGGTCTATCTCAGACTCCAACTCGAGTCCATCTCGAACACTTCCATGTGTCATGTGTTGGTCCTTTTGGGTCCCTTTTTGGAGCCTTGCTTATTGCTCGCTTTGTGCTCGTTCCTCGAGCACTTTGTTGGGAGTTCCACCGCTCTCGACCTTTCAAGTCGGAGCTTTTAGTCCAAACGTGGTACACTTGTTTGGCTTTCGCTTTGGCCACTATCACATGGCACTCTTTTGGCTCCACTTTGGGGCTTAGGGATTTTGTGTCTCACACTAAGATTTATTCATTGATAATTAAGTCTCTGAGATATCATTGTCTATGATTTTGATATTGTCCATTTATTGATCTTTGAACTTAGGCTAGTATAGGTAGACTAACTTCAGCACTTCGTATCAAAAGTTACTTGTCGGCCAGTCCTTACGGACACTCTTTCTTTACTACCAGGACAATAGAAGGTCGATATTGCTAGACCCTTTATTAATCCCTTTTGTGCTAGTGAAGTTAATTGAGAATTTTGAGCGTACTTAGACCGGATGAGCATAAGGACGGAATTCCTACATGTTATTAGATAAGTATATTTAACCCGGTAAGGAGTTCCCGTTTCGTTATATCTTGCACTAGCTAGTGACAAAAACCCTTACGTATTGAAATTAGTCCCTCAATATCGTTGGATGATAGTTTACCATGTCTTTCAAACACCCTCACTATCATGCCCTTTGTGTTAGTCTCATTTTGGTTCTAAATGCTATTTATGAAAAATGTCCAAATTTACTCATTTGACATATTTACGAAATGTAGAGATTGTCCTGAACACAATTGTGTTCATCCGGTGTCCAAACCCCTAGCCATCCTCAGCATAATTTCCATTCTCTATTCCCAGTTCAGCACCTTCTATTCGACACAATCTTGATAGATCCACTTGTCCAAAGAACTATTCTCCATGTGCTCATAAACCAGAAGCTTGTTTAGGCCCTCTGAGCAAAAACCAAGCAGTTTCACCAGATTCCAGTGATGAATTGTCCCTAGGATGGAAACTTCCGCATAGAATTCCTTCTTCCCCTGTCCTGTACTTTCCAGTTGCTTCACAGCAACTTTCCTACCATCGGGCAGGACACCTTCGTACACACCACCAAAACCACCGGTACCTAGGACTTGCTGCAAGTTCTTTATGGATTCAAGAAAGGTGTCACTGTCATATTCAACAGCCTGAATCTGTCTCCTCTTCTTGATGAAGAATATCACCGCATACCAGCATCAGGAACAAGCTGCCAACCACTGTTCCAGCAATAGCACCAGCTGAGAGACCAGAACTGCCTTGTTCAACTACTATTGCCTTGATGTATGCAACATGACTTTGATTGGAAACTGTCTGGAGAGTGTTGACATTATTGGTCATGAAGCACGAGCTAGACTTGTTCCAATAGAAGAAAGCTGAACAGGAGCAGTTCTGCAAGCACCTGCTCTTGCAATCCTCGAAACTTGTGACTGAAGAATTCAAGTACCTGCTGGAAAAATACTCTGCAACTGAGACCGAAAGAAAATCGAGAGACTGAACGTCTGTACAAGAGTCAACCCGAGGAGCAGTGCATGTGTTACTCCAAGCTGCTTTTGTGCTGTCTGGTTTTAAATATCCTACACAATCCCCGTTGGAACAAATCCCAAAAGGCTGGCACTTCTGAGGTAGCGAGCAGGAGTCATCGAACAGCTGGTAAGGCGGATCCTCCCACCGATACATGGACCCTAGCGTGTAAGCCCGCAGATTTCCATCAGGTTCAAGTCGCATAAAGGATTGATTCACAGTGTTGGAGTTCTTCAATCGCAAAGTGCGTGTTGTATTTAAGCTGTAAGTTTGGGACTTCACGTTGGCAGCCGCAGAAACGTTGGTCAGCCCCAGATCGAGAAATAGTCCAGGTCCGTTTCCATGGAGAACTGCAGCAAGACAATCACAGGTACGAAGTGCACCACTGAGTGTATCCTGTTAGCTCCTGACCCAGTACGGTTCTTGAGAGCCCAAAAAGTTGTTATACAGGACTAGTCCACCAGGTTCCATGACCAGCGAGTAAACTCCCAAAGATGAATTACTCAGGCTCATTCGACTTTGCAGCTTCATTCCTGGTTTGAAAATCTGTGTCACCATGAGAGTGTCACTTGGATGATCAAAACTTTGCCACAAGATGGTGTTGTTGGATCTGACTACAAAATTACCTGTTGGCAGAATTTCAGCATGGGTTGGCTTTGTTGGCTGTATCAGTTGACCACACAAATCTTCCATCTGTGTCTCGGAGCACAAGATCCCCATCAGCTTCAAGGGTGAGACTGGCATTGAACCCAACTAGATCATCTCGGTTGGCTTCCCAGATCAATCTACTCGTATACGAAGGCCCTGAATACTCATTCACATTCGGAGGACTCCCTAAATCCGCATGCATTGCCAAAGCAAGCGTGTACCGACCGGGTGTAGAATTCGCAAAACCCAGATTGTACTGAGAGAGTGGCGAGTCAAAGAAGCCAGTCCTGTAAAAGGTAGCAACATATATATCTTGCTTCTCCAGGAAGCTGGAGCCAGGATTGTTGAAAAACACTAGAGGCTGGCTGCTGTTTATAGGGAATGCTGCTAGAAATGGTATGATCGCCAAACAACAGTATACCAAAATACCTCGAACTCGCATCTTCATCTTCATGATCCAAGGCGCTCGCTGTGCCTGTGTGCAGACTTGAAGCCCCGAAGTCCTGCCGCTCCTTCATTTCAACAGTATGGCGCGTAGAACTGTGCAATAATGCCGGCTTTACAGTTGCTTGTAAAAAAAATCCCTTCAAGAACCTTGACTCAGGAGAATCGAAGCCCGCATTCCGCTCCGACCGTCCGATTCCGCCACTTCTCAGCCCGTTCATGCATTTCAGCGGGGTTCGAATCCCATAAAGAAAACGTCTGTGGCTGACATCAACCAAAACCTCGATCCATCGATTCCATGACCCAATTTCCTAATCGGTCATTCTGCGGGGCCATTCTTGCAAACCAAACTCGGATGTGACATTCAAAGATCCAGGAACAGACAAGAACAGCAGCTTCCCTTATTGACCACAAAAGCTTTCAATCGAGCGAACGAGTGTGCTGGTCACAGGCTTTTGACTTCATGTTTCGGTGCTCGAACGGAAAAAAAAAAACAAAAGAGGACAGAAACGGACAGATCACCAACACAAGTTACACAACCCTCTGCTTTCTGATTGGATTTTTTTTTTCCTTTTGATCCAGTGCGGCTCTAGGTGGATCGGTACACCTACTGCAAGAGGGTACATCCCTCTGGGCTGCATCACGGTCGTCAAGCACAAAAAACAAAAAACGGATGAATTGGAGCCGAGTTTTCTTCTTCTTCCTCCTCAGGAAATATTTATCCTGGCTAGGGAAAGTATTAAGCTAATGAATTATGATTATATTAAGCTGCCGGTAGTGAATATTCTGGCTCGCCGAACCTATTCCGGTACAGGAAGGCCCGCCTCACGCCTCGATATCGCGGCCTTGGAGCTGGTACTGCGGCTGTTGCTGGAGCTCAATCGATCTTCTGGATTCGGTGAGTCTTGGATTTCCCAGGCAGCAATGTTTGGATCAAAGGGGATCCGGATTCGTGCAGGGAAATGTGCAGGGTTTCTGTCTCCTCTGCCTGGTCGGTGATTTTCTTGCGGGCTTCAGCTCAAGCTTCTGCTCGTAGCAGCTCCAATTCGTGGCCTTGCTGGGATTGAAATCCTCCCTCTGTCACTTCCTCCAATCCCCCGCTGCTTGCTGCCAAATATGCGGAAATTGACTGTACGGATCACGAAAAAGAGATTCCGGCGGCCATTCCGACCTGTTTAATCAGAATTTAACTTTCAATGTAATCACTTTATATGGCCAAAAGTGGTTACCCACACTATCCACGACGCTACTGTGGCTGCTGTGGAAGGGTGAGCCCTTATGTCATATCACTTTTAGGAAATTAACTTAAGTCAATATAATTAATTAGAAATTTTATAAAGGAAATCTAAATTGCAGAAATAAAGGTTTTAATGAACTTTAAAGTATTGGAAAATGTGAATACATGAGTTTAAGGTTTCTAATAGATTGAGTTGCTTAAAAAAAATGAAGTTCATGAAAACCTATCTTTTCTAAAGCTATATTATTTTACTATAATTATTGTTATAGTTGTCATATTTTGATTTGATTTCTTTATATTTTAACTACTTTTACAACTGTCATATAATTACAGACTATTCTCTCATTTAAAAGATTTTTCTAAGTTTTTCCATCTAAATTTTTCTTGAGAAGATGGAAAGCAAGAAAAATAAAAAAATCTATGAGTAAAAGTTATAGTGCAAAAGAATGTGAGAGTGTTAATTTTGTTTCACTACCACAATTTTTATATTACACTTATAATCCTTATTATTCATCTGGGAATGTTGAAATTACTGTTACTATTAATAAAAATGCTTTTATTACTTTTGAAATAACATTCTAAAGTAAGAGAAATGAAGAAATAGGTAGAAAACACCAATAAATCTACTTTATAAAACTTTCTATGACATTTATAATTTATATATTAATTCATATCAAAAACTATGTTACCTACCTATATTGCAATCCTCTCATATGAGAAGACCAAGGTATATTTTTTTGGTGAATCCCCAATAAGAGTTTTTGGGAGTCATTTGTGAATAATAATAAAAGAAATCAATTTTTTTTTAAAGACTCAAAAGTGATATCACATCAAAGAATCAACTTTATCTACATTTCCAAGACTAAAATGCAATACATAAGAGAAAATGGCAATATGCCAGCATTCCTTACCATTATAATATGGTCTATATTTCCCTGCAATCTATTTCTCTAGAAAATTGGTATGTGTAGAAAAAAAATATATGCGTAGCAAAGTAAGATTTCATTAGAATGATAAAGCATATGTATACACAATAATCTAGAATTCTAGAAGCTCTTATGTTTACAAGTAAACTATGATTATGAAGCCCCATTTCTGAGATTGATATTTCAAGAAACTGAGTATTTTCTGTCATAATATATAAACCTCATTCTCAAGACTAAAACTTAGTATATAAATTACCAAGAAAAATTACAATACAATAAATTGTATAGTACAATAAATTTCAAAATGAGTTACGGATACATACCCACTATTTCTTCATGATAAGGAACAATATCCCTTTGGAAAACACTATATCACTGTATCACCTAATGTGAAATATGGAATTTTTCTTTTGTCTCATCATCAACATATTGATTTCTATGCCTCCTATATTAGTATTGTGGGGAAGATCTACCTTGCATTTGTTGAGTTATAGCTTCTGCATACTTCAAAAGACTTATGAAGCCTCCAATTCTAAAAACTCTAGATAACTGTGATCTATAAAATAAAACTAAACATGTATTGGAATCTTATTAAATATAATTTACTTCCTTGAGGTTGAAGGTAGCTCATGAAATCCTTTGAATTAATGTTTGAAGAAAATGATGTTCTTCAATAGCAAACATCAACCTACTAAAGTCACGTACTACCTTCACTATATAATTGCTACCTACTATGTAATCAATCACAACACTATATGGTGGGCAATAGAGCTTCACCACGACTTGTATCACCAATGGAGTTCGAAATCAATACCTAAAAAATATGTTGTGAATCTATTTGTCCACAAAGTTGGATATGATGTTTGTGGAACTATCCTAAAAAAGCAAAATGCACCATATAGTTGCTATCATGAAACCTGTCATATGTGTTTCTCCAGAAGGCATGATAAGTCCACATCATAACCTAAAAAATTTAGAAATGAGATAAAAAATACTTTTTTAGGCTTGCCTTAGATGCCCCTAGTATCGATGCTATCAAGGTTTATGATATATTGAAGAGAACGACTTGAAACAAACTTTTGTTGCACACATTATAAGCTCATACATACAATTGAGGTCATTCGGTAAAATGAAGATGACATGGCCAACTTCAAATATAAGTGCTTATAACAAAAGGAATGCATCACGCATATGGTTAAGTATGAGAAAGTTCTAGTCCTTGACTTTCCTATCAATATTTGAAAGATTGTTTGGAAAGTTGAAGAGAATAAAGTCCACAATTGGGAGTAAAGGCCTTTATATCTTTCAACACTAATGGTTAAATTAGCACTATATGTCTATGTTCATATTGTTTTTCGTGAGAGATATCAGCAATCTACTACAAGAGTCAATGAAGACACCTATAGTGCCTCAATGTGTTATTAGAAAAACAAGACAAACCTATAGAAAAGCTAAATGAATTAAAAAATCAAAGAATAATATACTACCATCATATGGCATGTCGTTAATAAGAGTTCCTCTTAACTCCTTGTTATGAGCGTCTCGTCAAGTTGAAATGAAATTACAACTAATAGTCATTGTTATAAAAAATATGTGTTACCAACTTTTTTTTGTAGAGTTACTTTTTGCTTACCTTAAGGTCAATGTAATATTTTGGGAACCATTCAATCATCGTTATTTGGTGGTGGAACTTGATCCAAATCTTGGATGTCTGATAGTTGAATTGGAGCCTGATTCTATATATTTAGGAAAGATTTTAGAAATTATGTTATACTTGTAAGCCATATATCGCATGAAATAAGGTTGACTATGTGGGTAATCATAAATTGTCATGCTCGTGGATTTCTTTAATAACCACCCCTCTTCGATCCCTTCCAATGATATGTTTATGTAAATGTCAAAGGACATGAATACACCATTTACATTATCACCAATGTGCGGTGCTAAGAACTTTTCACATTCGCCTATAGTTTTTGTGATATAGATAATTCTTTTTATCATGTTCTCAAATACTTTTAGCAATCCTTTTTTTCTATTCATTAAGAAAATATTGAAGAATTGTAAAGTCTTGATCTGTTGCTTGTATAGAAGCCTTAATTTTACAATATTGTAAATCATGTCATCTAAAGTTTTGTTCATTGCAAAAGTAACATTTGTATAATTAACAAAAATGAAGCATGCAATAAAAAACTTACATTTGTGAACATAAATTTTAACTATAGTCTCTAGTTAATGTTGTTGGATGTTATCCTCACTCAAGTCTGTAAGCTTATGTTCAAATATGACAAAACAAATTAAAGTGGAGTTGGAAGTGAAATTTTAAAACTCACATATTGATTTTTTGGTTCATGATCTAAAATGTAATGGTAACAATTTCTATTGTCCCTGACTTGCAAAAAGAAATTAAAAATATACCAATATTCATTGTTAAGCCATTCTGTTTGAATAGGTTATATATGTTTAGGTTGACATACTTAGTTGTTGTGTGCATAAAGTTCATTTGCTACAAATGGCAAAGGGGGATTTTTTTGATCAAATTACTAGAGATTAGTCACTTGAGTGCCTCAAGTGTTTGATAAATAATTTTTTCCCTTATTTGCATAATAATTTTTTGGAAGTGCTTATCCACCATATTGTTAAGAAGGTTTACAACTTTTTTAGCTCCAGATTGTTTGTTAGATTCCTTATTATGAACTTTGTTAGATTGCCTAACTTCAAGGATTTGTATTGGTGGTGGGCCTATAAAGATTAAGGGTGTAGGTGGTGGTGGTGGAGATATTTAGAAATTTATTTTCTATTGTATTAAATCCTAAATAATAGGCACATGCTTTAAATGTTATTGAACAGTGTTCATAATTATGGATAAAACTCAAGTCATACTAAGAATTGAATTTGTCATTAGAGAATAAGATTTGACAAGATTTATCATCATCTAGCATTTACGATTTGACAACTTGACACATTACACGTGCTAACAATCAAATTAGATCTCTTGGATTGATACGCTATCACAAAATGTCATTATTGATATCATTATTGACTATTAAACTTCACGTGTTGAAAATCCTTCCTTGGATCTATGTGTGTACATACATTAGACATCATAATAGATGATAGTAATATTAATATTATCACACATGCACATGTTAAATTTTCTATAGAATTTAAATTTATTTTGTACATTGTTGGTATTTTCTTATTGCTCTCCTTAAATTTCAATTATGTTTCATTATGGATTTTTACAAACAACACAAAGAGAGAGAGAACTTTAAAACTTATTGAGAAGGATAAAGAAGTTTCTTCTACATTTTCAAGATCACCCACCTCTTTCATTCACTTAGAGTATTATTTTTAAAAGTTTTTATGTCAACATTTTAATCTTCGTTGTGGCTTTATTTCTTTAGAGGCTATAATTCACAAAAACACCAATATAGTTGTATACTCAGAGTTTCTTTTTTCTAGTGTGGGTGAGGGCAAACAACAATAGGATTTATAGAATTCTAAATTGAAGGAGATTTGAGTTTTTGGATCTCCAGTCAAAATGCCAAGATGCACTCCAGCAAAAATAAATGTGAAACAAGAGTCAATCATCATATTTTCCTCTTCTTATACTTTAAGTGGAGAAGTCTTATTAGTGCTAAAGCCAAATTCACTAACTCTATCTTCATAAATACTCAAAGCCATTAACAATGCTTTTTAGTTTTTATGGCTCTCAATTGACATAAACTTGTTTTTGTATAGGCCTATAGTTGAGCTTGCATCCTTTATAACAACATTTTCTTACCTCTTGTCAATAGTATAAGTTCCAAACAAAAGGGGATGGAAATCAAGCAGGATGTCTACAATTAGTGCAAGATCAAGATCACACTTCTAACATTTCAAAGGCATATTATCTATAGTTTATTGTGATAGATATTTAGATTGTGTGAAGGAAGCATGTAATCAAAATTGCTATAGAAATTCTATATTTTTCAAAGGGTCTACAAAAAATCCTCTTATATGTGACACTGTTGCTATTAGATTCAAGTGTCAATTTTGGAAAAATGTTTTTATATGTTGTGCTATCTACGAGGCCAAGATGTACTACTTTCTTCCACGGAATGAAGTGGCTAGAAGATTTGCAGTGCATGTTGGCACACACATATATCCAATGCAGAAAGGGATACAAAAAAATTCTTTCAACTATTTTAAAGATGTTGTGCAAAAAGAGGCTGTGAAAAGTTCATTTGCAACTCCAAAGTATATTCAAAAGACCATCCTTAAGGATTTTATTATAAACAGGTTACTCAATTTAGATTGTCAAAAGATTCAACTAAATAAGGCTAGTTTGCGAGACTTACTACGAGGAGTACAACCTACTACTAGCCTGAGGAGGTACATTTGTTGTATTTTATGCATTACAATAATATCCTTTTTATATTATATTATTAAAAATAGGATAAAATCTAGGATTTTTTAAGATAAAATCTGGGATGTGTGAATCTTGAGAGGGGAAGTTGCAATACAAAATTGACTTTATCCTTGAATTGAGATAGAGTAAATGAAAATCTATAAATTTTAGACAATATGCTATAACAAAACTCTTCAAGAATGTATTCTAGAAAAAAATCAAATCTCTCTTTTATATACAAAAAGCTTACATTAATGGTTTTTTTTTCCTTTCAAACAATTATATGGCTTTATATAGAATGTTATTTCAAATTTAATAATTTTTAAATTTTGACAAACCTAATATTTACTAGCCATAAAGCACAGAGTACAAATTTAAGGAAGTGACAAGAATACTTTTTTTTGCAAACATCTTATTTTATGTTCTAACATATTATGGCATGTATTAAATATTTAATTTTAAAAAAAAAGAAATATCTTTAAAAAAATTTATCTATATAATGTGTAGAGAGTTGTGAAATTATTAAGTTCACTATAACTTTAATATTTTTTTTTTTTTGTCTTGATCTCATTCTTATTGTTTTTTTTTTGTGTGTGACAATACCACTGCTAATTTACGAAGATGTCTACAGCAGGGCATCTTTTTCCTTTTCTCGCAGGATTTGGAAAGTATGAATCCTTATTATTCAGTGAGGTGAGTCTCTACTGTTTTGTAGGTGCTATCATCTTATACCAGAAGAAAAAGGAGTTTATCTGATCTTGAAGTCAGTGAAGCTTGCTAAACTCAAGGACCTTTTATTTGAATAAGTCCAGAAGAAAACACAGCCATGTACCTGGTATCATACTGCCGAGAATCGGCTAAACACTTTCTAGATTGAATTTGCGAAAGAAACGTTCCTCATTGAGGTTCCTGTACTTCGCAATAAACTCACAAACAAAAAACAACTACTCATCCTTTTACAAAGATTTTCAGCACAAGTAAATCGTGTAAATATGGTCACCCTGTTACTGTAAAAATCGATCAAACAACACGATGCGTGCTTGCTAGCGTAAGACATCTATCTCCCGATAGACTTGCTTTGCCAGGGCTTTACGATACCTACAACAATGACAGCGATCACTATTAGAAGTATGATGATGGCAATGCACATCCATTTCCTCTTGCTGCGTTGCAACTGCTTGGTCCTCTTGAGAGCGCTCGTGCCCGCCTGGACGTGATCCACCGCCTTGGAAACCTGCGCAAGATCGATCGATCAGTTTTTAAAAGTTTTGAGGGTGATTCTTACTTGTGTTTCTATGTTGTCCAGCATCTCTCCCTGCGCCTCAACGAGGACAGCCATATCCAAGAATATCTGCAGCAAAGGAAACGCACAGTGAGATTCTTGGCACGAAAGTTTTTTGTTTCTCTTGTAAACCTGATGGAGCTCCAGCAGTTTCTTTTCCATGTCCTTGACTGCGTCGTGTCTTTCCTGGATTTCGGCTACGGTATCTAAAATCTGTAGCAAGCAATCCAGCGTTACGAACGAGCTTGTTCCAGAGCTAAAATCACCTGCCCACGCCCTTGTTCTTGGATAGCTTTTTGGAATATTGATTCACTGTCACCAGTTTCAATCAGCTGCTCTATCATATTCTCTTCTGGCCTTTTACCAGTGACTGGAAGAACAAGTTTTAGTTCTATAAGCGAAAGAAACAATGTCCTCTTCACTCACCAGTAAAGATTCTTCTTTCGACAACTTCTCTGTACTCGTCCTGGAATTTCTGTCGTAAGTCCTGAGACAAAACCCAGTTTTACATTATTAGCCTTTTCTTTCTTTACGAAGATAGCTGGCTTACTTGGAACTCTCCCATGAGGTCCTTTAGCTTCTTCTTGAGAGTTCTGTTAAGAATTGATAATCATTGAACCAAGCACGAAAACTATAGATCGACATACGCAGTCATCGACATCCTTTGCCTGTCAATACTCGATCCTTCGCCACATCCCGGTTTCTTACGATTAGATATATTCTGCGAAAAGTATAAAACCAACGAGACTGATCCACCAAATCAACGAGAAAACTCACAGATTTATCCAACGCCTCCAGCTTCACTTTGATCTTTCGCGCGGCTTTGCTAACCTCATCAACGTCCGCTTCCATCCGCTTCTTTAAAGCTGCGTAGTGGTGAAAGACAAGGGCATTGATGTTAGAAAAGAATTTTTCCAACACCCCTCACTGACGAACCTTTCATTGCTGCCGCCTTGGTGACAGTCTTAGATTCCTCGTGTGCTTCCTGAAATGATTCCGGTCACAAGGCGTCTCAAGAACAAGGAAAAAAAAAAGAGATCACTACCTGTAGCTTGTGAAGGTTTTTTCTAATCTGTCCCATTGAGGTAGTGATATGTCCAACCTGATGAGAAAATCCCCGATGAATAAAAAATTCTCTTTTCCAGAAGGCATAGACACGAACCTCCTGAAGGAAATCCTCCATCCCTGTGTTAGCGACCCCGGCTTCCAGGTCTCCATTTGAGTCGCCGCTGATCCTAGCTTGCGGCGAAGAACCCTGGAAGAAAGAAGACCAAGACAAACTTTCAAAACCAAGAGAGCTTTCCAGCCGATGGGGGTTTCTACCGCTAGAAGATCGTTCATGCTGCTAATCCACCGCGCGAAGAATTCCTTCCGAAATATCACCCGCAGCTCCGATCGCAGCTAGAACCCTGAAATCCCTTGGAAGTAGACCGATCGATCGATCGATCCGTCTGATGGAATTCCCAATGCGCAGGGACTGGCTGGCGCTAGATCATGGAAGAGACGATCGATCGCTCGCTCACAGCACCTCGCTCGACTACGAGATCGATGATGCGTAACGTGCCAGCGCGATCGGCCCCGTTGCCTCCGCCATGACCCACAAAACTAGGGCTTCCTCTTCTAGCTCCTTTTATTTTCCACTCTTTTGCTTCCCACTCACTCACGACTTTAGTTTAAAGAACCATCTAATTAATTGTCGTGTTTCTGGGATCCATTTCTCCGATTGATCGATTTTTACAGTCTTGGAATGAAACCATTAGCAATCAAAGAGATAAACCTTCCAAGAACAAAATAATGTATTGAAGCCAACAAAAAGATTATTCATGTGGTGGAAAAATGCACTGCCCGGGAATCGAACCCGGGTCTGTTCCGTGGCAGGGAACTATTCTACCACTAGACCAGCAGTGCTCGTATGTGTATAGAAGCCCGCAAAAACATTCTTTGATATTTAAAAGGGAATAGTTTTACGCGCAAAATAGTTTTCGATTTCCACATCGTTGCTTTTGACGGCCCAATCCAACGGCGGCACCACCAAGAAAAAAATTCACTGTCCTTATTAGGGCTGGCCAGGAGCAAGGGCTAGGGTTTGGCGGCGTCGGGGGGTGGGGCAACAGTGCAGCAAGGCGGCGGCAGGCATCAATCTCTCCAGGCGCCTCCAGGCGCCGGGCTGTATCGGCTCGTTTCACAATTCCTGGGGTAAGTAGAGCAGCAGTAGCGCCCAAAATTCTCGCCCTCTAGAACTCCTCCTCGCTCTTGGCGCCGATTTTCTCGCGGCAAGCTTGCTCGAATCAGCTGGCTGACGGTGAATTTTACTTGCAGAATTGTGGTGCCTGAGCCCATGAGCATAGAAGGAATGCCAATCATCTATGGTGTTGGGCGGTTTGCACCGCCTCCAATTGTTAGGCTGGCGAAAGGGGGCATAGTTTGGACGGGACTAGGAGGGCTGTTGATGCAGCGTCATGGATGAGTCGTGCTTTTGGCAGCAGTTGTCCTGCTGCGATGACAAATCGTCATGGTTCTGCCGGTTCTGAAATGGACGAAGCTGCTCGATGCGTCCTAGGCTCTAGTTTTTGCGGTTTAGTCCTCCGGGATGGAGGATCTCGGTACCCGGCTCGCAGATGGAAGACATCGTTAGAACGTACTTCAGATATTTTCAGCTACCGTATTTATGTAGAGGGGGGTTTCAGCAGCTCAGGAAAGGCCTAATCGTAACAGTTGAATGCACAAGACCTCAATCATGCAAAGGTATGTCCTCCTTCTTTGTTTCACTGGAGCAAACAGCGATTTTGTTGTTCTTTCTAGGTACAAAGTAATCAAGCAATTGGGGGACGGTACTTATGGAACTGTTTGGAAGGCTGTGAATAAAGTTACTAATGAGACTGTAAGTGGAATCCGTCTTCCATTCCGTTTCTTCTCTGTACTAAACTTGGGTTTCGTTTATTCAGGTTGCTATAAAAAAAATGAAAAGAAAATACCTTTCTTGGGACGAGTGCATGAACCTGAGGGAGGTGAAGGTTTGTGTCCTTGAAATTTTTCTTGCTGGCCTTATCTTTTCTCTTCTTACAGTCGCTGCGGAAGTTGAACCATCCGAATATAGTCAAGCTGAAGGAGGTTATCCGGGAAAATAACGAGCTATTCTTCGTTTTTGAGTATATGGTATTATATTTCTGCTTCCCATTTTCGGCGACTCACGTTTACTTGCAGGAGTGCAATCTTTACCAAATGATGAAGGACAGGCAGAAGCTTTTTCCAGAAGCAAAGATACGGAATTGGTGCTTTCAGGTGTTGCAGGGTCTGGCTTATATGCATCGCGAGGGATACTTTCACCGAGATCTGAAGCCAGGTTTGTCTTTTGTTTATCTCTACTCGCTCTTACCTTGTTTCTTTCTTTTGTAGAAAATTTACTTGTTACGGTCGATGTTATCAAAATTGCCGATTTTGGTCTTGCACGTGAAGTGCGGTCTCGGCCACCATACACGAATTACGTCTCTACTCGATGGTAGCTTCTTTTGTTGTTCGTTGCGTAATCTTATGCATTACCTCAGGTACCGTGCCCCGGAGGTGTTACTGCAGTCGTCTCTGTACAACTCTGCGGTCGACATGTGGGCAATGGGTGCTATCATGGCTGAGCTTTTCAATCTCAGGCCTATCTTTCCTGGCGCTAGGTAATTTCGCAGTCTATTGGACGCTATCGCTTACCATTTTTTTACCATCTGTGCAGTGAAGCGGATGAAATATATAAGATCTGTAGTGTTTTGGGCAATCCATCTCAAGCTACTTGGCCAGATGGAATGAAACTTGCAAAATGCATGAATTTCCGCTTCCCGCAGGTCTGCTGATACTCTGCTTTATGATCATGACATTCTAAGAAGGATTCTTTTTCCAGTTCGTGCCAGCTAATCTTTCGGCTCTTGTACCTTCCGCGAGTGCTGAGGCGATTGATCTGATGAAGGTAGAAAAATCCTTTCGAGGTGTGCTTGGTCTTAAAAGTGCCACCTTGGCAGGCAATGTTCGCTTGGGATCCTTTGAAAAGGCCGACGCCATCGCAGGCCCTGCAACATCCGTTTTTCCAGGTTTGTTCTTTATCCATGTTTTGTACCGAAGCAATAAAACCTTTGTGTAGGTGGGTGCGTGTATACCACCCTCGATTCCGTTCCAGGAACTTCGTGAAAACAAAGTAGCTCTTGCAAAAGGTACTGTTTCTGAATCCACTTTTTCTTGACTCATTCCGATCGTCTTCTTCGCAGTTACATCTCAGCCTGTCAAGGGTGAAGTGACAGCGGTATGTTCGTCTTTCTCGTTTTCCCTTTCGACTTTACTAACTATGAATCTCGTGCAGGCCCGAAGCAGCCTCATAAGGCAGGCGCGCTACAAGCCGTTCGTGAATCCATCTGGTAAGCTTGTCGCTTCTCGCCGTTCTCTCCTTTTATCCCTGACAAGCGGACTCACAGACGTGTACCGGGCTCCACCTCCAGCATATGTGTCGCCTCTGTTGAATCCAACCGATCTCAAGGATTCGTTTAGGAGGTCTGCTCGTCTTTTTTATTTAAACTCACCGCACAGAGAATCTAAACTCTGGATTGTTGTGCAGTCAGATTGCGCTTGGAGGAGCCGAGAAGATATCCTCACAAGCCAGTGGCAAGCAACAACACTGCAATGACTACTTCCAGTCAGTGAAGCCGCACTTTGGTCACGCTCCCTATGGAGCGGCGGCTTTCGGCTACAACGATTTGGCTGGAGTGCCTCCTTCTAGGTACTAAGATTTGGAGAGTGGTTTTAAGTTTGATCTCTGCCAGGCCCGGCGTAAGCATAAGTCCTCTCCTGCGAGAAGAGGAAACTAAACTAAGGTGCTTTGATACTAGAGGAAGCATTCTCTGATTTGATGCTGGGCTGGATGGAGATGGTGGTGTGGTTTTTAAGAACTAAATAAGCTGGGAATGGAAGTGCTTTAATGTTTGTGAAAGAAGTTGGCTGGCAAACAATGTCTTGTAGCAAATGGAACATTGAATTTTCTTGCTTCATGCCTTTCTCTATTGGCCAGAGTGTGACATTGTACCAACATGGCCAAAAGAAAAATATATCCTTGTCGCTAGAACGAAAGGAAAAGAGTAAGAGTGTGATCTTTGGCTGGGTTCCACTTCTAGCCTTTAAAAATGCGATTTTGATAGTAATTCATGGAAGATTCAAGCGATAATCAAAAGTTGCAAAAGTTGCATCGTGAGATGGAAAGAAGAGATCCCAACCACATTGGTGTTGATTGATGTGAAAATAATTGGAAACTTTCTTCAAAGTAATTGGTGGATTGACTTGCAAGGGAGAGGGAAGAGAAAAAAATCCTTTTCTAGAGCTGATCTGTGCTCTTCCAATGGGTGTACCAATCCACGGGAGATCTAGCAGTGCTGGGCAGTGAATTTCGAGAGAATGGAGAGTAAGAGCGCAGATTTCAAGGACAAGGAGAACACGAATCGCGGCGCCAATGCCAGGATCACCAGCGGCAGGAGGAGCAATCCACCGGAATTGCCGCGGATCGTGCCTGGCAGCCCCAACAAGCCGCCGCGCGGGAGCAAGGAGACGATCCGGAGGAGCTCCAACCCCAAGGGCCAATCCCCCGCGCGATCCTTCGCCCCAATTTCCGCGGCGGCGCTCAAGAGCCTCTCCAAATCCATCAGCGGCGCCACCGCTCCGCAGAGGGCGCTGGACTACGCGCTCCAGGCGGTGAAATTCTTCGAGGAGGACGAGCAATCGGGCGGCAATTCGATCGAGCTGGCCATGAGCCTCCACGCGCTGGCCGCTGTCCACTGCCGGCTCCGCCAATTCGGCGACGCCATCGCCGCGCTGGAGCGCTCGATTAGGGCTCCTGACGCTGGCCGGGGCACCGAGCACGCGCTCGCGATCTTCAGCGGCTACATGCACCTGGGCGACACCTATGGATTGATGGGCCGGCACCCCGAATCACTCCAGGCGTATCACACCGCACTGGATCTCCAGAAGAAGGCCGTGGGCGATCGAGATCCCGGCGTCGCGCAGACTTGCCGCTATCTCGCCGAGGCCCACTTGCAAGTAAGCTCCAATTCTCGCGAATTCTCCGCGAATTCGCCTCCCCGATCGTCGCCCTCCTCTAGCCCTAATCGTTCGTTCGTTCTTCTTCCTCTAGAACTTGGAATTCGACGAGGCCGAGGCAATGTGCCTGGAGCTGCTCCAGATCCACGCCCACATCGGACGGCCGGGATCGGTCGAGGAGGCCGCGGATCGACGGCTCATGGCGCTCATCTGTGGCGGGAAGGGCCAGCATGACGTGGCGCTCGAGTACCTCGTCCTTGCCAGCATGTCACTCATCCAATCCAACGGCCACGATCTCGAGGTGGCGGCCGTGGAGGCGAGCATTGGCGACACCTACGTTGCCCTAGGGCGCTTCGACGATGCGGTGTTTGCCTACCAGAAGGCGCTCACGGTCTTCAAATCCGCGAGAGGGGAAGATCACGCGTCGGTGGCGTCAATCTATGTGAGTCTCGCCGATCTCTACCTCAGAACAGGCAAGAATCGCGAATGCCGCACGTATTGCGACACGGCGCTCAAGCTCTTCACCAAGAACGAGGGTTTGATCCAGGGGAGTAGAATCCCGCGGCAGCAGCAGGCGCTGGACGAGATTATCAGCGGATTGACAGAGATCGCGGCGCTGTATGGCGCGCTGGACGAGCCGGAGCGCGCGATCCAGCTGCTGGGCAGCGTGCTCGACGCGATCGAGCCGGCGGCGCAGTATAATCTCGGGCAGCAGAGCGCCGTGGCCGCGATCGAGGCGCAGATGGGGATTCTCTACTACGTTCTTGGAAAATTCGGCGAGGCGCTTGTGACTTTCAAGAGCGCGGTGATGAAGATCAAGGCGGCGTCGCCGGATCAGGCTTGTTTGCCCGAGAAGAAGATGGTGTTCTTGGGATTGCTGCTCAATCAAATGGGGCTGGCGTGCGTGGAGCTGTACGAGATTGTGGATGCCGGGGAGTGCTTCCAGGAGGCGAGGAGCTTGCTGGAGCAGGCGTGTGGGATCGATCACCCGGACACCATCGATGTGAGCATGAACTTGGCGGCCACCTACGATGCTCTTGGGAGGTGGGATTTCGTTTCTTTTGGTTTGGTTTGCAAGAGCTCTCCCTGATCTTGGTGAATTGGTGTGTTGCAGATTGGATGAAGCAATCATCTTGCTACAGAGTATCATCAAGATCAAAGAGGAGAAGCTTGGAGTTGGGTGTGAAGAGATTGAAAGTGAGAGGAAGAGGTTGAATGAATTGACCAAGGAGAGAAGTAGACAAGTAAACCCTAAACCTTAGAGTTATAATATACTTTTTCTGTTTTAAATATGTTTTACTACTAAAGTGTATTCTTAAACTTGAGTTGAAAGTTATTTTGAAAGTGATTGTTTATCAATTATATTGCACGTAATATTTATTAATCTGCATGTTATTAAATATGGTGGACTATAAACAAAACGATTATAAGCAAATAAAGATAGTGAGAAAGGCACATGAATAAGAATGCACTTTTTTTAATTCATTAAAACTTTAGAGTTAAGGTTCTTTGAATTTAAATATTCCACAAATTTGGTTACTTAGTTAACTTCTAAACTGTATTACTTATAATATAGATACTTATTAAATTTTTGTTATATATAATAATAAACTGAAACTAAAACCTCCATTATTTTCTTATAAAGCCCTTAAATTCTTAAACTTTTTATTTCAATGTCTATCCCATTCGATTGGAAGGACTAGCTGACAAGAAAAGGAGTCATTCTGGATGACTTTTACTCAATTGCCCGATTGTGATTTGAGGAGCCCCGAAGAGAAGGGCGTCGTCCAAGCTACGACAATGTCCATGTTATATAAGCACAGTAGCGTTTGGGTAAGATAGATAGGCACAAGATAGGAAGAAAAATCCATGGAGCTCCTCCTCTTGCTGCCGCTTGTGATTTTTCTGTCCATCTATTGCGCCCATGGCAGATCCATCACCATGCATGTCCTCTCGGATGAAGGCGATGGCACGCCCATACCAAGCACTCTCTTTGGCATTTTTTTCGAGGTAAAGTCTATTCGTTTCTTCGTTTTGGGGCCATCGCTAATAGCTATCGATACGTTTTCATCTTCGCCCAGGAGATCAATCACGCTGGAAACGGTGGACTTTGGTCTGAGCTCGTGAGCAATCGAGGTTAGAATACACCTCTCTCTTCTTTTTTCTTTTTTTTCTATTTTTTCGACCACTGGTGACTTTGTGAGATTTTGGGGATCAAGGCTTCGAAGCTGGTGGACAAAACACACCCTCCAACATTGCGCCATGGACCCCGGTTGGAAGCTCCTCGGATGTTTTGCTCGCCACCGAGCGTGCTTCTCCGTTCGCGAGAAATCCCATCGCCTTGCGAGTGGAGGTTTTGTGCGATAGCTGCCAGGCTCCTGTTGGTGTAGCCAATCCTGGCTACTGGGGAATGGTGAGCTCGCTTTCATCTTCTCAGTTCTCCGAATTCTTTGGTTTTTTTATGAGTTTGTATTGGATCATCCTATAGGACGTTCGTGCTGGAGACGAGTACAAAATTATTTTCTGGTTGAAAGCAGCCACATCCAGCAGTGTCGTTGTCTCCTTTGTATCTTCCGACAGTTCTGTGACACTGGCTCAAAGTGACACGATCAACGTGTGAGTTTTCTTTTGGTTTGATGGAACTATTTGTTTTTCTTTGTCTAACTTTGTAGAGTTTTCAGCGATGGCACGAAGGGGTGGACAAAGCAGGAGATCGTCTTGAAAGCACAAGCCACAGATCATTATGCCCAGCTGACAGTCACAAGCAAAGAAAAAACAGTCTTTTGGATTGATCAAGTCTCCGCGATGCCTGTGGAAACTTACAAGGTAAGTTAGTCTTATAAAAACCAAAATCAAAACGAAGCTCTTATTCCTCGTGCTTTTCTTTCCTTCTGGCTCCAGGGACACGGATTTAGAAAAGATTTGGCTCTCATGCTCGAAGAACTCAAGCCTCGCTTCATTCGATTCCCAGGTTTGCAGCTCAAATATTTTGGCCAGCTGAAATTCTCGAGATTTTTGTGTGTGTCTGTGATATCAACTTTGGCAGGAGGATGCTATGTTGAAGGTGAGAGACTCCAAAATGCTTGGAGATGGCGAGCCTCGGTTGGTCCATGGGAAGAAAGGCCCGGCCATCTCGGCGACGTGTGGGGGTACTGGTCCGACGATGGAATCGGCTACTTTGAGTTCCTCCAAGTAAGTTTTCTAGCGTGGAAGTTTGTCTTGCTTCCAGCGGACTCTAACAGGACAAGTTTCTATCATTCTAGCTTGCAGAAGACTTGGACGCATTGCCAATATGGGTGTTCAACAATGGTACGCAAACAAAGAACTCTTGACAAACTTCCAAGCATAACTTTGATTCTCTATCAGGCGTTAGTCACACGGATGAAGTTGCTACTTCACTTATTGGACCTTTCGTCCAGGTACTACGTCGTGAGATGTATTATAAGCTTTAAGCTTTTGAGGAGATTCTGATGGTTCTTGCATCCAGGAAGCTCTGGATGGACTGGAATTTGCTCTTGGCTCCAGCTCTAGCAAATATGGAGCATTGCGTGCTCAGATGGGTCATCCAGAGCCTTTTAATCTCAAGTATGTCGCGATAGGAAACGAGGACTGTGGAAAGCAGTACTATAGAGGTAATGACTCTTTCGAGTTCTTTATTTTTGTTCTTCTTTGATTGGTCTATCGAATGAGCAGACAATTATCTCCAATTCTACTATGCCATCAAGAAATACTACCCCGATATTAGCATTGTCACAAACTGCGATGGATCATACAGACAACTCGACCATCCAGCCGACCTCTACGATTTCCACGTACAGAAAAAAGCTGACTTAGTACACATACATGTTTTAATGCGTGCTTTTCTCAGATTTATACGTCCGCTAGCAATCTCTTCAATATGAATCACCAGTTCGATAAGATATCTAGAAACGATGGACCAAAGGTATAGCTTTAGTGACGTTCTTCCCATTTCTTACTGTTTTCTTCGATTTTTTAGGCGTTTGTGAGTGAGTACGCGGTCACTGGCAACGATGCTGGCCGCGGGAGTCTCTTGGCTGCACTCGCAGAAGCAGCATTCTTGATTGGCATTGAGCGAAACAGGTAACTTCCATTAGAAATAAATTTCGAGCGTAACTTTTTGTACCATAGTGATGTTGTGCATATGACAAGCTACGCTCCCCTCTTTGTAAATAACAACGATCGCAGGTATGATAGAAATTTTTCAAGAACTCCAATGATTTTAATCAAGGACTATGCACTGGCTTTGGCACTTGATTATAGATGGAATCCAGATTCTATAGTCTACGACTCGTGGCAATCGTATGGAACGCCAAGCTACTGGGTCCAAAAGTTCTTCAAGCTCTCAAGTGGAGCTACACTCTTACCCTCCAACATTACGGGCAGTACCAATGTTAATAGCGTGGTAACTTCGGCAATTCGTTCTTCAGACACAAACGATCCATCCATCATCGTAAAGGTGAGCAAAAGAAAAGTTTCTTGTTTTCTTTTGTATAATGGATGGATTCTTTTCTGTTAAGGCCGTGAACTTTGGAAACAAAGCAGTGGGGCTTAAGCTCAACATTGATGGATCATTCTGGAATTCCGCAAACTCCACTGCTGTGATTCTCACGTCAAACAACGTCATGGATGAAAATTCTTTCAGCAATCCCACGAAGGTCAGCTATACAGAAAAAAAGAAAGAAAGTTCTTAGTAAACTTTCCTGTGTCTTGATTTTTCCTTGATTTTTCCAGGTGGTTACCAAGACTGTGACAATGTCTGGGAAAAATCAAATGGGAATAACGTTGCCTGCTTATTCCTTCATGGCCATCACCGTTCCTTCGCTGGGCAGCAACTCGAGAGATAGCGAGCTTCACTCTGATATGTAAATCCAAATGTGATATACGCCTGTATTAATCAAATTCATGCTAAAACATTATCTTTGAGATTTCAGTGTTTAACATATATTCTTTTTCCTTCAAATATTCCTTTTTCCCTTTCCTCGGTTTTATATAAGTTTTCCCCTAGGGAAACTGAGATGACAATGGAGAACCCTTTTTCCAATTGGAGGCAAACGGACGCTGGCAAACAGGTGGAGAGCATTGTGAGGCCTCTCTTCTCCTACTTTCACCTCAACACCGACTCGCTCGCCTTCTATCGCATAACATCCCAGCGAAAGGTCGAAGTTTGCGATCTGAGGTGGAAGATTTGGCATCAGGCTGTTCGTCACGTCCTTGAAACGCCCACACCTGATGTTGTGCTGCTCGCAATATTTGCAGCTGATTGCTATGGGCAGAACCTGCCACCCTTTTCCTTTGCCTTTCGAGTCGTTGAAGAAATGTTTCGTAACCATGGGGTACTAATATGTTCAATGTTTTTTTTGTTCGTTACTAACAGTATCGCTTCTGCAGGAATGCGTCATCAACACAAATGAGACTGAAGAAGCACTCACAGGTATGTATTGACTCTAATGCAGATAGTTGTTTCTAACTTGGTGATGTTTTTTCATCCAGCCATGGTGGAGGCTGTCTCGAAACTCCCCTCCACTTCCATGCCGCAGACAATCATCCAAGACGCGGCTCGGCTCTTTGACATGACTGAGGCAGTGTGTGATCTTGTTCATCTCTGGCTGCTGGTTCAGCTCCAGCACAAGACTTACGCGCAATCGATCGAGTGGCTGGTCACCCTTGAGAAGCAAGCACAAGACGCAGATCCTTCCACCCGCGAGAAACTACACAGCGCATTGCTCATCTTTGCAGAGAACTCCACCTCTTTGGATCCACCACTGGAGGAGCTGACCGAGGAACTCATCAAGTGGTTTGACACTGTTACGAGGATAGATTGCAAGTCCATTGATCTCACAGCTGCTGTTCATCAGATGTTGAAGGTATGTATGTGCTAGTTAATCTTGATCGAAGTTCCTATACTTTTCTCTGTGTAGGAAGTGATGGCGGTAAAGTACACAGACTTGGGCGATAGCGATGCGATCAACGACTGGCTCGACAACCACTCACAAGCCCACCACCGGAGCCAAGATGCTCGGCAATCATGGTCTTATCAGTGTATTATTGACGTGAGCAAGACAATGGGACGCTTGCTCTACACCTGGGTAAGAACCACGAAAGGCAAGATTGACCATGCAGAGCTCCAAAACCTGTGCGGCTCCACCGTGAGTTCATTCGTGGAGCATGTCAAGCTTCATGCAGACGTCAACGATCAAGCTGAAGAGCTCATGTATCGAGCGGCAGCACAAGTCTTTGGAGAGGCGTTTTGTGGTGTGTTTGTGAGCCTGTGCGAGAATGCTCGCTGGGAGGAATCTAGAATGGTGGAGCTCTCACTCGAGGAGCTCCAGGCAATACGAGGGCGAGCTTGGAATGGGCAGTATGTTGTTCCCAACCCGCGCCTGGAAAACATTGGCAAAACTCGGATGGTTCATGTGAGCGACATGGTTCTCTACTTGGTTGATGTAAGTATATTTATATTTTCGAACTTTTATTCGGATTTTCTTATTTGCAGCTGATTTATGAAGACAAATACAAGGAGTGTTTGGCTATTCAGCAGAAATACTGGCATATAGACTGTGAGTTATTATTATTGTTATTATTAATTTTCTTCGACTATACTTGTTAATACAGGTAACTTTATGCTGTATTGCAATAACTGGGATGTGTATATTGAGGAAAAAAAGGGCGTTTACTTGTTAGATAAATGATCAAATATTCAATATTTATAATTTATAAACTTTCTTAAACACTTTCTAGTATATTCTTTTTTATTCTACCATCTAATGGTTGATAAAGATTAATCTTGTGTTTATAAATTATAAACACGTTTATAATTATAAAATTTTGTTTGATCAAATGGATTAAGAAGTAAGAATAACATTACTATTAAGCAAACCAAGCGTTGCTACATGCAAAGTGTAGCAAATTATTTCTTAATTTATCATACAAATTAAGACTTGATGAATAATTAAATAATTACTAGAAAAAATATCATTTGTCAATTATAATAGCACATTGATAATCTTTCTGGCTCAAAATCTAATCATCAAGGCTACATAAATTATTGTATTGGGCAACTGATGCATTGCACATGAGATTTATTATACAACTAGAGGATCTATAGCATAATATAAATCAATTTCCCTTTTGGAAGCCATTGAAACTTGGTCGAGAATCAAAACTATTGAAGCTTGCATCAAGAATCAAAATAGCAAGAAATAACTCATGTGGCAAGCTTGTGAAAGAATAATCCTTGGAGTCAATGAGGTTTGACATTCCTAAAATAATGATTATACATATATTTGTTCTAGTGTATATGGATGGAGGTTAAGGGATTTTTTATAGGATCACACAATCTAAGGCTAAGCAAAGTTATCGTGAAGTTGCTCTTGTGTTTGACAATTACTTTTAGTTAGCTATGGAAAGTGGTGAACTTAAAGGTAAATTGTGTTTGAGAAAATGATGATTACATCTAAACCCAAATAGTTTCAGGAATATTCATTAAGGTTTTCTAAAGCAAATATTCTACTTTCTTTCAACGGCTATAAAAGCCCTTTAATCTTGTGTTTCTTCTTCGTATGTTTGGAAAGATGGGGGATTGCCGACGCTACACTCGACTCATGGCGCGGAGGGGCGTGGAATTTCTTCGCAGCGGGCCAGTGACCCGGCAGATGTCTCGAGAGCCTCGACCAGCGGCGCCGCTTCCTGCGGCTGCGAATTGCGATGATCTTCGCGAGGAGCGCGCCGGCAACCCTCGGATGAGCGCTATCGATCTCTCCCTCAAAGCCGCACCCTTTCGGCGGCCTCGAACGGCTCGAACACGGCTGCCTCTATCAGCGAATCGCGATGATGCTGCTGGCGAGAATGAGAATCCTCGGAGGATGAGCGGCGTCGAGCTCTCCCGCAAAGCATACCCCTTTCGTCGGGCTCGATCGCAGAGGACGCGGTCTCGGTTTTCCCCTCGCAACGATGGTGTCCGCGATGCCAGCACTTCCGGTGGCGATAGCGGCGACGCTGGCATCGGCGGTGGCGGTGGCAGCAACGCTGACGAACTCGGACGAGGAGATGTAGCGGCAATGTGGGCGGAAGTAGGAGGCGATGTAGCGGCAATGTGGGCGGCGATGGGGGCGCTGGCCGAGGCCTCCTCGAAGTTCTTGAGAACGTATACTCGTGGTGCCATAGCTTAGATATCGTTGTTTCTGTCACGATATAATTGTAAGAGCTGCTTCACGATTTTAGGGTATTATAGTAGCGCTCGCAGCGCGACGCGCTGAGTGAATCCTCTCACAGCGAAAGGGGCGAGCAATCCGGCATTTCTTGAGCTTCCGCAGCTTCATCTCGGAGCGCAATCTCTTCCACGGCTGGATTAGTGGCGCAGAGCATCGGGCGCGAAGGATTCAAGCTGAGGTAGGTCTTGTATGCCGCAACTTCGTCGTTGATCTTGATCGTTCCAGCGGCATCCATCCAGTGTCGTTCTTGATCGCGCCGGAAAACACACAAGTAAAGATCGATCGAAAACCCGGAACAAAACGAAGAAGTTTCGACATCGGCCTCCTCGGACAGTTTCTGGTAACTCCAGTCTTGCGTTTCTCAGTCGTAGAGCATCCACAAGAGCGGCATCGTTCGAGTGGATTCTCCCGCAAGAAAACCGTCATTCCATTTTGCAGGCTAGCTCCGTTGCTGGGTGATGTTCTGCCTTTTGGAAGCTCCAGAAGATTTTGCTCTCTTGTGGATCCGGCTGGTGTGTTTTCCAAGGTAAGTGAACTCTCATTTCTTTCAAGTTTGTTTTTCTTGTTTATCTCCCGGCTTTGTGACATTCCTCGTATTTTTGTTTTCACCAGGCTGTGAAGACTCGTGAAAAATGCTCAACGCACTAGCACGTATTATCGAATGCATCATCTGTTCTGTCCAATAGATTGCATTGTCTCAGGCATGCATCACGGGTTCGAGAAAGAAGTTTACGAGCAGCAGACTGCTCGGGCATGGGTATCGCCATCCCAATCGCTTAAGATCTGGAGCTGAAGAGTTGCTATGCTGAAGTCCAGGCTGCTCGACTTATCGACGTGGATGGCTTTCAGGTACTTCACAGACTTGGCGTCTTCGTGCGTAAATTACGGTTCATCTTTTAGGGACGTGAGAAAGCCGGAGCTATATTCTTGTGTTCGAGCGAACAAGAAAGACCACTTCGCCAAAACGCTGCTTTTGTGGCAGCCCGCTCTCTCTATGGACCAGATATGGAAGAAGCATGTTTAAACGTTTCCAAAAAGCTGGGTACAGCACACAATATCGAATGCATCCTCAGGTAAGCATCCAATCCGCCCAATGCATTGCCATTGTCTCACGCATATAAGCATTTCAGATTCGAGAAGAGAGTTTTACGGAGGATGGTGAAGACCGAGCGAGTGTGGCATGAGTACTCTTGTTCGTTTTCTTTGACATCGAAGGCCGCGAAGCAGGGAGCGGCTCGTACATAAACAGTGACGGAACTGACACACTGTGGATGGTTTCCAGGTACTTTGACTTAGTTTGCATCCCGGCCGATGACGGTGTTATGCTTGTTACAGGGAAAGCCATAGCTATATTCTCTTGCGTGCGTGCGAAGAAAGATTATCAGATCAAGAGTATGCAGCTAGAATCAGTCCAGGAGAGAAAGCCACCCAGCCTTTCCAAGTAGATCAACCATGCAGCCATAGTGATTCATTTGTGGGATCAATCCATAGTCATCACACATCCTCGTCAGGTACTCGAGCCCATCTTCCAAGAGCCCAGCATTGCCACAACCAAAAATCACTCGCAACGAAGTTACGTGGTCGGGTTCTATCCCTTCCAAGCTCAACTCTAGCAAGAGCTCCACGGTTTCACTGCCATGCCCGTTATGGGCGATCATGGCATTCCAAGGGACAAGATCTTTTTTCACCGACTGGAACGTTTCTCTTGCTAGAACCAAGTTGCCACACTTTCCATACATGTTTACAAGTGCGTTACCAAGGTTTGTGTCGAGTTGAGACCCATAGATTCTCTCGATTCTTTGGTGGATGTTTCTTCCTCGTGTAAGGCACGGAAGGCTAGCGCAAGCATCCACCGCTCCAATGAAAGTCACCGAGTCAGGCTTTATACCCTCCAGATCCATCTCTCTCAAAAGGGGAGAGCTTCTCTCCCGAGTCCTCTCTCGGCAAATCCACACAGCATGGCCGAGCAGCATTCTCCGGAAGACTTCGATGGCTTGGGCATGCTGCTTGTTCTTGGCCATGGCAGAAACCATGGCATTCCAAGACACCACATTTCTTTCTCGCATGCTCTCGAAGACCAAGGACGCATCTTGGGTGCTGCCACACTTGCCATATATCTCCACCACCAAGTTCTGAATGAATCGGGGTTTTGGGGAGCTGGAGCTCGCAATGCAAGATCTTGATATTGAGAAGGGCCCCTGCTGGCTCCTCGATGAGCGAGCAGGGGCAGCACCACTGCCAGACAGGACTTCGCAAAGAATACCGGATCTATGAGGCCTAAACATCACAATGGATGATGGCCTTTCCATCAGGAGACACCAATTGCAGCAGCAAGATTGCCTACCTTAACCCTCGAGCATTTTTTCACTCGTCCATGCAATGATATCCTTCTGTGTAGGCATCCTTGCTGCATGTAGAGCTTCCTCCATAATGCGCCCACTCTTGTCCATCTCACAGCAGTGGCAGTCTCGCCAATTGCGCGCCCACTCGTGCCCTCGTGTTAATTGGATGGTATGGTAATGGTGATGGGCAATGACATGTCAAGAGCTCCATCGTTCGAGCAGCGTTTCTTTTGTTACTCTCTTTTTCCATCGTCTTAACAGAGAACTTGCATAGAAGAAACGGAGCTTGCCGAGATGAACAAGATGGTGATACCAGTGGCTTTGTAGCTCCAGAGTGAAGATCTTTGGCTTCTCTCTTTCACAATCTGGAAATCTAGTGTTCCAACTTGTCTAGCTCAATCGCCAACTCAGCTCACGTGCTCAAAATTTCAAAAAGTCAATTCAGTCAACCCAAAGTCAATAGACAATCTTCGCGCCAAAAACCCTGAAAGGATATACCAAGTATCCAATCTTAAACCCTAGTGTTAGGGCTTTTGGCGCGATGGACAAGGCGTCCATTGTGGCGTCTCATCACACCAAGCTCCAGAAGATCTTGCTCCGGTGGGATTACATCCAGCTGCTAGCTCAATCCAAGGTAGTGTCGCCGCGTCGCAGGAATTCAATCCATAGGATTCTTGATTTCAGGCTCCAGAGACGAAAAAGAGGAAGAATCGCGTGTCGGCGCCAGTGCTGCCCACCGTGCCTCAGACGTTTGCGAGCCTGGAAGACTACATTGCTGTGTTTGAGCCCCTTCTTCTCGAGGAATGCCGAGCACAGATCGTGAGAGGGGATGACGATGGAGGTAAAAGTTTTCTCATCGCTCTTCTTGTGGTGTTGCTTATAGCTTCTTTTTCTTTTTCTTTCCTTCTCCTCTTAGGTGCGGCTGAGTGTCACGTCGCAGCGCTCACGCATTGCGAGAAAGTAAACGAGTTTTACTCTGCCAAGGTTGCAGTTCGAGCAGAGATAGGCGAACTTTTCCCAGACAATGAGTTGATTCTCATCACGAAAGAGGTTAGCATTTCCTTCTCTTCTTTAGGAAGGTCTTAACCTTTCGTTCAGCCTTTAGGTGGTGCTGATCTTCCAAAAACTTACGCACTTGCTATGGTGGACGGGCATGAAGGGCTACAAATTCTCTCGCTTCGGCTTTACTTGGAATCGGACTCTTCGAACGACAGAGATGCGAGACTGCGACTGGCTTTGCAGGCGTCTGGATCCGGTTGGTTCATTTGCAAGGCAAGCGAGCTGACTTACTATTCAGTGTTTTCTTTTCTTTCTTACAGTCTTTGTTCTCCCAGCTTTGTAACTTGTCGACGATATCCAGGGAGTACGTTGCCTTGTGCTCGTTAGGCTCTATAGCCTTCAGTGATACAATCGTTTCTGCGAGCGCATCAGATGTCTCCGCTGGCTGTCGAACGATCCCCCGTGGACTTAAAGACTATTTACAAACCACGCATAACCAGTCACAGATTAACGCTATTCAGGTACTCGCAAGCAATTCTTATAGTCTTAGCTCTAATCTGGCAAGTAGGCAGGGCTTAGTGGTCAGCCCTTGGTGTTGATTCAGGTATGTACTTGTGTGTCGTTGAACTTTGCTCTCTTTTTCTTACTCGAAATGCCTTGCAGGGGCCCCCGGGAACTGGCAAGACTCAAACAATTCTTGGGCTCCTCAGCGTCATTTTACATGCAACTGTGGCAACCTTTTCTCAGTACGTACCCCTTCTTGTCTATTTGTAAGGCAAGGCCACTGATTTTACTTACACAGAGAGGGTTCGCTGCGCTTGCTACAAAAGTCCGAGATGTCTTCGCATGAAAAGTAAGCCACCTTGAAAGGAAACTAGAATGGTCATTGTCTTTGCAGGCTGGATCACTGGCTTAAAGCTTCGCCATGGCTGGGTGTTGGAAACCCACGCGATTTAATTATGCCGGAGGATGGTGACGATGGTTTTTTTCCTTGCGCACCGAACCAGTTTGTATAACAGAATGGTTTTGAATGATTCCATCCAAGCTTATGGTAATTTTCTTTGCAGAGAGCCGAAGTCGTTGGAACAACGCGTAAGCATCGCGCTCATGTTCTCGTATGTGCACCTTCAAACTCTGCTCTGGATGAGATTGTACTGCGACTGTTAAAATCTGGTACACAGGTATACTCTTTTTCTAAATTATAGAATTTACGTTCTCCTGTACGCTTTCCAGGTATTCGCGACGAAAATGGTGACAGTTATGTCCCAAGTATTGTTCGCATGGGCTTGAATGCGCATCACTCCGTTCAGTCCGTTTGTATGGATCACTTGGTTGGTGTTCGCAGCTTTTTATAAAATTTATTTATTTCACGCCGTGGTTCCAGGTTGATCAAAGATTGCAAAGCATCGACCGCTCAATGTCTAGTGCTCGAGGAGGGGGTGGTGGAAGAGAGAGGGAGCGTGTTCGATTGGCAATCCTTGAGGAAGCTGCAATTGTGTGTAAAGCTAACTCATCGCGATCTTTTTTTTCGCTGACACTCTTACAGGTCTGTTCGACTCTAAGTTTTAGCGGCTCCAGTGTTTTTTCGAGGATGAAACGTGGATTTGATGTCGTCGTCATTGATGAAGCTGCTCAAGCTGTAAGCTAGCCGAGATTTTTCCGCGTGTAACAATGTATGTTTTATCAGGTTGAACCCTCGACTTTAGTACCTCTAACTCACGGTTGCAAGCAAGCGTTTCTGGTAAGTGCTTCTGTACATCATAGCTTTATTTGTGGTTAATTTCTGAGTCCAGGTGGGAGATCCAATACAGTTACCGGCAACGGTGTTGTCCACCGAGGCAGTGAAGCACGGGTAAGTTCATTCTGTTCGATGACACTTAACATTTTTTTTCTCTCGACCAGATATGGAACAAGTATGTTTAAACGTTTCCAAAAAGCTGGGTACCCCGTGCAAATGCTCAACACGCAATATCGCATGCATCCTCAAGTAAGCATTCGATCCGCTTTATGCATTGCCATTGTCTCACGCATATAAGCATTGTAGATTCGAGATTTCCCGTCCAAAGAATTCTACGGAGAAGCTCTGGAGGATGGTGCTGAAGTGGAGCAGCAAACTTCTCGAGCGTGGCATGAGTACTGCTGCTTTGGCCCGTTCGCTTTCTTTGACATTGAAGGCCGCGAAACTCAACCTCCAGGGAGCGGCTCCTACATAAACAGTGACGAGGCCGAGTTTGTGTTGGTCTTGTATCGCCATCTTATCGCGTTATATCCCGAGCTCAAGGGCGGGCCTCACGTCGCCGTGATCTCTCCTTACAAGTACCAAGTGACAACGTTACGTACCCGATTTGCCGAAGTTCTGGGAAAGGATGCCGCTCGACTTATCGACATCAACACTGTAGATGGTTTCCAGGTACTTATTTCTCATGCTCGCAGATGATATTGTTTTTTGTTTATTTACTTGGTCTTTTACAGGGACGTGAGAAAGACATAGCTATATTCTCTTGTGTGCGAGCAAACAAGAGCAAAGGCATTGGCTTTGTGTCCGACTTTCGCCGAATGAACGTCGGTTTAACGAGAGCAAGAGCTTCAATGCTGGTATGTAGACTCTCTCTCTCGCTTTCATTTCCGTTTTTTTGTTCTTTTTGTTAACTAGGTCGTCGGATGCGCGGCTGCTTTGAGGCAAGACGAGCACTGGGGAAATCTCATCAAGCACGCACAGCAGCGAAACAGGATGTTTAAGGTAGTTTATTTTTATCTTTTTTTTCTCTTTGTTCTTTGTTCTTGCTTACAAGAAAGTTTCCAACAGGTCCAAAAGCCTTACCACGCGTTGTTTAACGAGGCGAGCTTAGCAGCCACAAAGAAAATGTCCGATGGTCCTCCTCTTCCAGTGCAAGAAGGCGACGCCATGGAAGTGGAAATGGAGCTTCCGTCTCACTACGATCTCGGTGAGGCCGAACAGCAGGACGAGCCGGGCGATGGAGGTGATGGAGGCGATGGAGGCGATTTTGGAGACTTCGGAAACGATGGCGAAGATTGAAAGCTGCATTTTTCTATTGGTGGCATACACAGCCTTGCCCCACCAAAAAACGTGAAATTCAACGGGTGTCATTTTGGGCACCTTTACACTGCAGAAAAACAACAACTCTTGCTATAAAGCATATGATGGAATACTACTACTAAAAAATTACAAAAACAAAAAAATACTTGGAAGATCTTTGTAACAAAAGTAAACTTTGGTAAAGTGGAATCATGTGAGGGATTTGCACTATAAAGCATTAACAATCACTAATGAATACTATTATACTAGAAATTTGATAACATTATTCATATAAAAGGTTTTTGTGATAAAAACAAACTTCATCAACCTTTGGTGCAAAATATAATGAGTAAAACACTAAAAGAAGAAAGGGGTAAAAAACTCATTTAAAGTGTTCAAGGGTCACAAAAAAGTCTGGAATGCCGCATAATTTGTTTTCATGAGGTAACTCTTCCGTTCCATCTTTCAGTTCTAGCTCTTCAAGTACAAGTTTGGTCCTGTGTGCCACCTCTTCGGTTATGTTTCAGTCACATGCCATAACCTCCAGAAGTTTCAAATTGATAGGTAGCAATCCCTTGAAGTGGACTATGCCATCTGAAAAGAAAATCAATGGAAATTACAAATTGGAAATAGCTTACCAGAGATCAAGCGTTGCAAAGCACCACATCTTACAATGACGGCCAGAAGAGTGTTTGTACACGTAAGAAGATTAGGATGCCGCCCAAGGAGGGCAGCCAGAAAGAGCAGCCATCGTGTCCTTTCATTACTCGAGTAATCCTGAAACTTTTTGTAGTGGCTGTAGGAAAACTGTCGGGAAATTTGACAATGTAATCAATCTCTCACCTGGATAGAACCATCAAAATTTCTTGGTCTTCTCCACTGAAAATACCCTCCAGAGTTGGTATCCAATTTCTTAAGAACTGTGGAAGCGTACTAGAATCACTATTCACGAGTTTAAAGTATGGGCAAAAGAATCAACAAAACTAACGAAGCTCACCTTAGATTAATCACCCATAGAACCTGTGACGGCGTAAATGCGTGAACTCCTTTCCTCTCCAGCTTCTTCACGGTGTAGAGCATGCATGCCATCCAAATACGCTCAGCTTCATTTGCCTGAAATAGACGATAAAATTCTTTTGGAAAACCACCTGTTAAACAAGGAATTCATTTACGGTGCCACCCAACAAAGTGCGTGAAGCAGCACCAATGCTCTCTCCATGTAAATCTCGCATGCCTGATCAAATAAATTTCGAGCCCTTCCAACACAAGAAAGCCGCAACACGGCCGGAAGCAGCGATCATTGCCATCGCACGACAGCTGGAAGCAGCGATCATTGCCAATCGCAAGGCGGCTGGAATAGACCCTCACCATCGCGGCATGGCCAGACATTACAATCGAGCCTTGCCATCGCAGCACCAGCATCGAGCATTGCCATGGAACTGCGGCCAGAATTGAGCAGCCTCCACCATGGAATTTCTGCCAGAGGCAGTAGCAATCAATCCATCTTGCTCTTCACTTGGTATTAGCGCCAGCGCCATGGGATTCTCCAGACCATTGATGCCAGGTGGGAAATGTTTCCTGGCGCTCTTCTCGCCTAGCTTCTTCTTGAAGCTAAGCTTTGCCACGGGCAATCCGCGCGGTGTGACGCGGGTGGCATGTAGATCGGGCATGGGAGCTGCTGTGTCGGCAAATGCACACATAGTCGATCGCTCCGCCGTCGAATTCCAGGGCCGGCTCAATCATGGACGGCTCGTTGGGGAGAGAGAGAGAGAGAGAGAGAGAGAGAGAGAGAGAGAGAGAGAGAGAGATTTCTTTGGCAGACGGGATTGTTTCTCGAGAACATCCAGATCGGAGGACGAGTTTGGTGTGCACGATCGTAAATTCACACGGACGGAGTCCATTCGATCAGAACGCGCTTCTTTCGCTTTTTTTTCCAGGTAACGGTATGATGTTTAGCGACTTTTGTAGGTTTTATGCTTGACGCAGTTAAGTTCCAAGCACATCTAGACCAACACAAAAATGGAAGGGTCTTTTATTGGCTCTCTTCGAAAGCAAGGTGGCTTCTTATCGTTTTTGTTTCTCTTTCTCTTTTGCATTCCATGACTTTGTTTGATTTGCAGTTGACGAGGAGACACAAGGTGCGGAGGTAGAGCTTGTCAAGAGTTCTTACTTCAGTTACGAGCAAGCTTGGCACAGGTTAGTTCTTCCTTCCAGTTTTTGTTCTTGATTTTCACTATGAGCTCGGAACCATGTCCCATGGAGGCTGGTGCCTGCTTAAGATCCGAGATTACCGCTACCAAGATCCGAGATTGCTTGGTACCGGCATTATCAAGGTGCTTTTTGTTTTGCCTTTTGCCAGCGTTTCTGATCTTCCTTTTCTTTTGAATCAATGTATTCAACGAAATTCTTGCGTACTTCCATCAACAAAATTCTTCCGGGAGAGCCATGAAGTCCAAGCCGCTAGTACAACACGCCTATGGGGGAAATCTACACTCAGCTCGTGACTTGTGGGTGAGAGTCCCTTTGTACACATTTGATTTCACCATTCTCTCTGGTAAGAGCTCCAGATTTTATGTTTTAAAATGTGAATCTTTTTGCTCCATTTCCAGATCTGAGAGAGATGTCAAAACGCTTAACAGATTATGAGAACTCTATTGCTGCCTTGTTGTGAACGTGACATGCTCTTTCTATACACTTTTTCTTTTGGACAGGATTGTGTTACACATAATTGCACCTTGTCTTTCTGGAAGCACTGGTACGTGCTCGTTGACACCAATTGTTTACTTACTGATGCAGAACTTTGTTGTTTCGTTCAAGCGTCCTTTAAGCTACAGACAAGGAAGAAGAAGAAAGAAACTGTCCCACAGTCGATAAGCATCGCCCCTGTTGCCACTGGTGGAGAGCCAGAATTCATGACTGTCAAAAGTTTGTGTTTCCAAGTTACCTGGGCATTGTGCTAACTAGAATAATCTGTGAAGGTTGTGATGATGATCACCCATTCTGACATGGATCGGGGATTTGGAGCAGCTACTGTTGCAGGTATGTTTTTAGTCTGGTGTTTGGTTCTTCGTCACCACGATATTTCTCTCTTTTGTCCTTCTTCTTACCCTTCGCTGCAAGTTCCATCTTCTCCAGTGGTTTGGTTTTTTGCTTACAAGTTCTTCTTACTCCGCTACCGGCAAGTTTGGCTTTTTGTTTTCGTCTTCTGGGTTGATTCTCTTGCTTGCGGGTCCCTGGTGTTTCTTTCCTTTGCTTTATTTTTCTCTCGTTTCAACCAGTTGATCGTAATGTTCTTCCTTGACTGATTGATTGTTCTTGTGATCCTGACAGTGAAAAGCTAAAGTATTGTTCCGGCCGTCTCTGGTACTTGGCTTGGGTCTGCTTTGACGTGCTTTATTGTTTATGCATTTCTTATACTTTTCATTGCTTCATCACCATCGCCATTGTCGTCCTTTTTTTATTGACGAATCTTCACAGTCAGAGCTTCTTATATGTTCTTCTGTTTTTTCCTTCCTTAGATCAGCTGGTTGCAGCAGCAATCACTTAACCTTCAATTTTACCGGATTTCCACTGTGGACTACATCAAGGTCATACAGATAGTACACGTGAACTTCAAGTCTGCGCAGCCGATGTACCTGGATTTGGTGCTTTTGATCGAGGGAATGAATGGTGCTGCTCATGATCATCGCGTTTTTGCTGGCCACGCACTGGTCGAGGAGAAATATCGTTAAGCTCCACTGGCCATTCCACAGGTTTGACGGGCTTCAATGCCTTTTAAAATGGTACTCGCACCATTTGATCGTCCTCGTTTACGGTCTTCTCATCGTTCACTCCATTGTTTTGTTCCTCGCTCGGGACTGGAGAGAAAATACGGTAAACACCTTTCTTCTTCTTCGTGTTTCATTGTTCTCGCAGGCCTGGATGTATATAACTACCGCTCTACAAGCTTGTACTTAAAAGGTTAGCATTGTAAAGGTAAACAAAGTTGGATCTTTTCAAGTTTTGCTTGATCGATCCTTTTTTAACGATGTTTCATTTACCCAGGAAAATGTTCTTGCTTTATACATGACTAAACCTCCGGGCTTTAGATATCAGAGTGCAATGTATCTCTTCTTGCAAGGCCCGGCTGTTTCGCCCTTCGAATGGTAAGCTAGAGTTGTGTGAAACAAAAGTTTTTTTTTTTCTGAAAGATTTTTTTGTGTTACAGGCATCCATTCTCCAGAACTTCCGCACTGGGAGATGAGTATGTAAGTGTACACATACGCAGTCTCGGGGATTGGACTCCAGAGCGAATGAAAATGTTCTCTCAAGTAAGTTTCTCGTGAAGAAAACTAACAAGTTTTTCATGGCTTATGTGCAGGTCGTATCAAGTTTGTTTTCTTAGCTTTTCGTATGATCTCTAAATTTTTTCCCTGTAGATATGCTGTGTTAATGGACCACATGGAGCACCATCACAGTCTCCTTTGAATGGTTTAAAGGAGCCATGACCGAAGTCTCTCAGCTTGATCACAAGGTCAGGAAAACTTTTGTGATTTCTATCTTCCACTTCTTTTTACAAATCTTTGTTCTGCTTCTTTACAGGCCTTGATCGAGATGCATAACTATCTGACGAGTGTTTACGAAGAAGGAGACGCTCGCTCCATGCTTATCGGTGTAGTCCAAGCGTTGCATCACCCGCTAAGTGGTGTTGATAGTGTCTCTCACACTTCCATTGTGATTCATTTTCTTTCTTATTTGTTCCCCAGGTTTGAACACATTTTGCTCGTCCAAACTGGAGAAAAGTGTTTGCGAGGCTTGCATCGATTCATCCAGCGTTAAACGGACTTGTTTTCCTTTTTTGGGGAACTAGGGTATGGAAGTAGCGCGTGCGTTATTCGAGCGGCGGCTTCTGCCCAAGCGGGATCTGGCAAGATGCACGGCCGTGTGCAAGGAATGGAAATCTTGCATCATAGAGCTCTACCAAGAGTGGCTCCATGCGATTAAAGATCCGAGCGAGCCCGGTGTGCTGGTATGTATGGATGACCAAGAGTACGAGGTGTGGTTTGTTGCCTCCGAGCGGCGGTTCAAGCTGGACCTCCATCCATTCTACGAGGAGGATGGCCTTGATTGCCTAGCAACCTGCAAGGGCCTCTTCTTTAGTTTCGGATGGGAGAGCTTCTGGGTCGGAAACCCTTTCACGCGACAGTGGAAAGGGCTTCCATTATTTCCACGAGACGAAGAGGAGGATGAATTTGATAAATATCTCGGGAAGTTGAATCATGTCGAGCTATTGGTGGATGATGATTCAGGAAGTTCCAGGGATAGTTTCAAGATATTTGTCCTCACTGGGAACAATCGTATTGACTTTTCACCGCTCAAAGAACATGATCAAGCAAAGAAGGTTTTCTTCTTTAATTCCAAGGTTTGGGAGTGGCAGAGTTGGGACAACAATCAAAGGGTCTTCTTGAGCTTGGAAGAGCTTGAGCTTTGGATAGAAAACAACAAAGAATGCCTTGAGTTTGTTGTTACACCTTATACCCTTGGAGGAGGAGGGATTGAAGTGTTTGGAATAACAGATGACATGGAAAGGTGGCAGAGTTCTGTGGTATTGATAGACATTCCAAGGAAGATTTTGGAATACAGGTGTCATGCCCATCGTATATTTCAACATAAGGGAAGATGGATTTTGGTGGCATTTAGCCACCCAAGGGGATACGGAGATAAGTATTTCAGTGTTTTCGAACTTGATAAAGTGGAATTATCTTGGAATATAATAAATCAGGTTTTTTTGACTGAGTTTTTCGGAGTAAAATGGGAAGAACAATTTGAAGATGATCCATCCATTTTGGAACCATGTTTCAACATCAGCATCCATGGAGATTATATAGTGATTTATGCAGGTTACAATATCCCTCCTACTTATATCCCTCCTACTTATTTTAATTTGGACACTAATTCTTGGAGCAAAATAGAAGATCCAGACGGCTTTGTTATTACTTCATTTGAACCATGTATAAGAAAATCTATAGAATAAATTAGTAAGTATGTTAATTATAGAATATATTTATAAATATAATTAAAAACTTTTAATAATAAATCTATATTAATTTTCATGAATAGTGCTGATAATGTGAAGATAGAAAGTAGTCTCATTCCCAACATTTTTTTCCTAATAAATCTATATTAATTTTTCTTTTGGCTTTATAAATAACACTGATAATGTGAAGACAGGAAGTAGTCTCATTCTTAACTTCATTTTCCTTTTTAAATTCTTTCTTTCATATACTTGCCAAAGCCTAATATATGTTTATATCTATCATATCATAATTATATGATCATATAAATATTAACTTCAAAATTTTATATACATACATACATACATACATACATACATATATATATATATAACTTTGTTATATAGTTTGTAATATGGAGTGTTTAAACTATCATTAACTGAACTAATAAATAATGGATAGTATCACATAAACGTTTAATAAAAATAGCAATTAATATCCATTATATCAAATTTGAGAATAAGGGATCACAATTAAATAATTTGTAATAGTATTGGAACACTTACAATGATAATGTTAGTTAATGATAGTTTATATTTGTTAAATACTCCATATAACAAAGTTTAATATTTTTTATATATATTCCAATGAAAAATAGTTTGAGGATGGAAACATTGTTTCCACGTCAAATGTTAAAAAAAGGAAAACCAAAAAATGAAACTTCAAAATCCACTAACGAGGAGGTATTGAGAAATGATTAACACGCCACTTCATCAGAAGCACACAAACAACAAAAGGGCCTGCATGAAGGACGCATTGTAAGAGATATAGCACACGCCATCATGGCATAGTTCATAGATGTATTGGCCGGCCTCCACCCCTCCCCCAGGTAGATTTTTCCGCTCGCCCACAACCACGCCATCAGTAGATTTCACAGATCCTTTCCTCCGCCATGTTTCCTTTAGGGTTTAGTAAACGATATCTTGCGGTCGAGGAGAAATGGGAGAAAGCTCTAGCTAGTTAATTGATCGAGAAGGCGAGAACATTGCCTACGAAGTGGTAGAGGTTTGTCTCAATGTTAGTGGACTCTTACGCTCGCTTCTCAGCATTTTTCGAGACGCTTCCATTGTTTCTATTCTTTTGGGACTGATAGTTTTTGCAGGGTAATCCAGCACACGCTGCACAGAATTGGCACCCGGTCAGATCAATCTTTCGGATGCTGTGGACGCCCGCCAGGTTTTTCTCTAAGCTTTAAAGTTCCTTTTTCGTTTTTGGTTCTAACAGATGTCTAGGAGATCGATGAACGTAGAGGTGCTTCCTTCACTCGCTTTCAGACAAGGACCGCTTTGTTCTTCCATTTGACGAGCCATGGCCCGTGCCAGGTAACGAGAGAAAAGAGAATCTCCATTCCAGTAGCCAACATACTCAAGGCTTTGTCGTTGAAAGATACTGGCAAGTTCATCCTGAAGGTTTTTGGACCATAAACTGCGTGTACAGCTCGGAGAACGACAGAGCGTCCTTCAAATGGGCGTAAGTCGTAGCTTGCTTAGTTACTACGTTTCCGCCTCTTGCTACGGTAACATTCGTGCATGCTCGAAAGAATTTAAGCCTTCTCTTTCAGGTTTTCTCTGTTGCTGGACATGAGCCACGTAAAAATCCAAAGCGGGGAATGCCTTGGGTAGACAATGAAGGTGTGAATCTCTAAGCTGTTGGTTCGTGTTTATCAATCGGCAACCTTTGAACTTGCAGGCCGCGGAAGAGCTTTACCAACAAGGATTCATCCGCTATCCCCGGGCTCAGACAGATTACTTTTCGGAAAACTGCTCTTCGAGTGTGTGTTGCATAGGTTCCTAGTCACCTTGAGCTGATATAATGCTGTCCACGCAGTGTGGTACAGGACCAGACCTGTGTGGGGAAATTATGCGCATCGCCTTCTTGACCCTCGAGCGAGCAAAGGCGACAAAGCTCATCCGCCTGTATGGTATATGCTTTAGATTAATCATTCTTCCCCCCTCTGTGTTAAAATAAATTAAAATTATTTCTAGATAAACAATTTTAAATTTTTATTCATAGAATATTAAATGAACATTTTAGATCAAATATAAAATGTAAAATGCATATGATGAAAAGTTTTATATAAGTCCTCTTATTGAATGTAGAACATATTATTGTTTGATAACATATTTTATAATAATAACTTCATTTGGTCATAAATATTTTTATAAATATTCCTCACTAAAAAGTAAGGCATTTAAAGTTTTTAAATATATATATGTATATACATGTATTACCCTAGCTAAATAATACACTAATTATAATACTATAGCAAATGGACCGTTCATTTGGGATTGAATTTACTCTATCCATTCTTGTATATAAGCAAGGTTCTAAAACTTAATTAATATACTTATTCCTATATCCCGAGCACTACAAATATAATATAATATAAATTATATTATAACTTTTAAATTAAAACAATTTAATTTAATATCTTAGTATTTAGATCACTTAAATGTATAAATTGATATACTTAAACGTTGTGCATATAAAGTTGGTTTGCTACCAACATCAAGTCACTAAAGCTGAACTATATAAATGCCTTAAATACATTTTTCTATCCAAATCTTCTTTAGCCATTTTAAATTTTATTTTATTATTTTTGTAAAATAAATATAAGTAATCACTATGCTAATAATTTATCCTTATTTAATGATATGTTTTAAATTTATTTTCTTTATTTATATTATTAAATGATAAATGGGTTACATTTAAATTTTTTACAATAAAAAAACTTATAAACTTTTTATAACTCTTTTTGAGCTTTTTTTCTCTCATTTTTGTTATATGGCTATGAAAAAGTCTAGGAAGACAAAAAAACATAAATAAATGCTATTAATTAAAAATAAATGTAAAAAGAATTAACTTATCTTTGACCACGACCACCACATCTATTACGTTGATTGTGATTCCTCCTTAGAAGTTCCTCACCTTATGTCTTTGTCGCTTACTTTTGCGCGTATTGAAGATAACCTCGACTTCGTATTCCTTTTCCTTTTGAAGTTTAATATTAGTATAAAAATTCACTATTATTTGTGTGTATTATTCTCTTATAATAAATAATATTTGTGTTAAAAATTATAATTTATTATCTTTATATTCTGTAAATTAATAAACACTATATTTTTATTTATAAATAAAACTTATTAATATTTTAAATTTTTATCCTTAATTTTGGATAATTGAGAAATATATTTTATATAAATTGTTTTAATATATGAAACATTTATATTTTAAGTTTCTTTTTCACCTATGACTTAACATATTTACTTTACAAAATATATTATGTTACTTTAGTTATATATCAGTCACTTAACTTATTTAAAATAATATAAGCTATATATAATAAAAAATTTAAGATTTTGTTACATATATATACTTATGAAAGAAAAAAAGATTTATTTCACCATGAGAATAGTTTTATCATTCATAAAGTATAGCTAAAATGTATTGCAAAAATCTTATAGAAAAAGTGCATTTAGAGTAATAATACAAGAATGCACTAGTAATATTTATTGCACATGTATATATGTAAATACACCTCTTTAATTATATAAACTTGTTAAAATTTATTATTGATAGTCCAGTTTTCTAAAATCCTGAATTTTTTTTTACAATGAAAAAGTAGTAAAACTTTTACGTTAGGATTGTTTAAGTACTTGTTTAAGTTCCTCTTTACCATTTGTATTTTTTATTATAGATTTATTACTTATTTTACAATTTGACAAGATTTTATAAACACTCTTAGTAACATTAATAGCATTATGAATTGTCTGATTAAATAAAAATATTTCTCCAATTGAGTATCAATTTATTGAATAACTATTCATCTAAATAGTAGTTTCAAAAAGAATTCAACCAGTTTATGTACATTTAAGAAGTATTTAGTAAGCTAGCTGTACTGGCACAGCTATTGAGCAAGCAAACCCTTGCCTAGCCCAAGTCCTTGAATTCAGATCATATGAGAAGCAAACCTTGCCCTTCTTACCTTTGCAAGAGCAAGAAAAGCTGAGAACACTCCCAGCTTGCCCAGTAAATCTAAACTCCCCAGCCTCCAAACCCACATCATACTTACTCACAAATTCAGTCCAGATTTCTTTCACTTCAAAACGGACTTCCCAAATCTCCACTCTGCCCTTCTCCACCACATTGAGCACGAGCACATAGAGCTTGTCACCCCAGGCAGCTACACAGACACCATCGCCAACTTTGTCATACAGATGCGAAAACAAGAACTTGTTGCGTGTCAAGTCATACTGGAGGAGCCACTTGCGATCGTGCGAAGCGGTACAATACACTACACCATCCAGCAGCGCCGGGATCGATCCGGGGCCGCCCCCCCCTTTGGCAGGAATCCACGCCGCCTGGCCGCGAGCAAAGGTGTAGAGCGTGCCATCCGAGAACCACACCACAACCTTGTAATCCCCGGGAGAAGAATTCGGACGTGTCCCCGAATCGCAAGTAGGGGATCTCCTCCCACTTGCCCACGAAGGGACTCCCGACGGAGAGCCTCCTCTTCTGCGAGGAGCGCGCCAGGACGAGGCGCTTGTCCTGCGACACGGCGCACATCCAGTCGGGAACATCCCTCTCCACGTTTCCGAAGTGCCGCGGCGCCCATCGCAGCACCGCGCCGCTGCTGTCCTGGATCGAATTAGAAGAACCGAGCGCTGTCCCTGTACGAGCTCCGGAACCTGGCACACGCATCGCCCGAGAACGGCAGCCTGCGAAGGATATCCCTGACGAGCTCCGGCATCAGGCTCGAAATCCCTGCCGTGCCTCGCCATGCCTTGCTCGTCGCCATGTCCAGGAAACCCTAGCCCTAGAATTTGAATTTTAAGCTCTAACTAAAGGTTCCACAAACAGTAACTTTAACCTAAAACTCAATAAGAACTTTAGGCCCCAAGGGGGTTCCACAAACCATTGGCTTTAACCTAAAATTTGTAAGAACTTTATGCCCTAAAGGTCAGAGCGCAGACCAATTTTTACACACGGGACAAGATTATATTCATATGCGACTTATTTGTACAACCAATCCTCAATAGTGTGATGAAGAGCGCGATGGATTGATTCGATTCACACTTTTACTTGGTGGGATTGTTGTTGCCACCGCCAGAGAGGGTCTCCTTGGCCTTCTCCACGGTTCCTTTCACCTGGTCTCCAACCTTGCAAAGAACAAATCACCAAAAATGTTAAAGAGATGTTGGAAGAACGAACGGAGATATTAAACGAAATACCTGCTGCAAGACATTTCCGGTGTGGTCCTTGGCCTCGGCCGCCTTGGCTTGAGCTCCATGAGTAGCGTCACCGGTGCCCTGCTTGGTTTGACCCCATTTGTCTTGGGTCGCCTGGCCGGCCTCGTGGGTCTTCTCCTTGGTGGCACCAGCAGCCTCCTGTTCGTCACAAAATGGTGTCAAAGTCGATTACCAATTGAAATTCGGATCCATGAACGATTTAGAGGAACAATCAAAACTCCCGAGAGGCTTGAAAGGATCACTCCATACAAAACATCTCTCGAGAGCTTCAGAGGATCCAGAGGAGCAACTGGAAGAGAGATTGACAAACCTGTGAGTGCTTTTGGGCCTCTCCAGTCTTTTGCTGCCCCGCGCCGGTGGCCTCGTTCCACTTCTGTCCGGCGGTGTCCTTGAGCTCCTGGGCCTTTTCAGATGCCATTGCCGAAGATCGAACTACGAAAAAAACGATTCGGAAGAAAGAGAGAAATCCAAACAACTGGTGTGAAGAACGCTGAGAACTTGATGAGGATGCGAGAGCAAGGAGCTCCCGTTTTATACTTGGCGAATATGGTTAAGTGTGGCCTACGTGTTGATTGTGCATGGCGTCCAGCATTTTGGACACGTGTTACGCTGTCTGGGGAATGAAGATAGCTGTCGCCACGCGTTAAAAGTCCAGCGCTTTTCGAGTTTAGTATTACATGTTTAAGATCATATTGCCCAACTAGAAGCGAAGTAGTAAACTTTATAGCTATTAAGCTAGGAATCACTTTCTCATTTCCACTTTCTCATTTCTTGGCAGAGCAAAGGCTACAAACAACGACCGAACGAACGAAAAAACTTTTTGCTTTAAAAACCTCTCCATCCAATGCTGAGTAACCAATCCCAGTGACAATCGTTCGCGGATAGGATACGGCACCGACAATCCAGTTCCTATCAAAGCAAAAGAAGAATCATCAAGAACAAGAAAAAAAAAAAAAAGCGAGATGAAGATAAAGATCGAGAGAGATAGAGGCGCTTACTCAGCCAGCAACTTGATTTGGAAGAGCTCCGCCGGTTGCATCGATCACCATCCTCTGCTTCTCGACCCTGCCTCCCATGTCCACCACCGACCTCATCCCTGCACGTCCAAACCGACCTCGCCTTCCACCACCACCGCCACCGCCACCGCCCCCACCGACGCCACCGCCACCACCGCCACCACCGACGCCACCGCCACCACCACCACCACCACCGCCACTTCCCCAGTTGGAATTATTTCCATGCTCGGGTTTTCCGGATCGATGCTGCTGCTGGTGATGGTTTTGCTGCTGATGGTTCTGCTGGTTCTGCGGGTTCTGCTGCTGCTGGAGATGGTTTTGCTGCTGATGATGCTGCTGGGGATTGTTTTGCTGCTGCTGCTGCTGTGGTACTGGCTGATACTGAGACTTGTTATGGTGATGACCGCTCTCAGACGAGAATGGTCGCTCTCTATGCCCAAACCTGGAGCCAGCCGACTGTGGCCTCTGATGACCACCACCTCCAGCAGCAGCACCACCGCCACCACCGCCTTCCGCATGAACTGTTGCTTTGTCTTGCGGCTGAGGATGATGATCGTGGCCTTGCCTACCGCCGCCGTTTCCTGACTTCTGCTGATAAACCATGCCGTTGTCTCTGTGCCTCTCGGACCTGTCGTGTCTCTCGGGCCTTTCATGTCTCTCGGGCCTCTCGTGCCTCTCGTGCCTCTCGGACCTCTCGGACCTCTCAGACCTTTCGTGCCTCTCGGACCTCTCGTGCCGCTCTCGTTCCTTGTCGTGGGGACGAGAAGCCGGAGCCTGGTGCTGCTTGGAAGCCTGTGGCTGTGGCTGTGGCCCTGGTGGTGGCGGAGGCGGAAGCTGCTGCGGCTGGTCGGGAGCACTACGCACAGGCGCCCAGATCATATTCTCAGCTCCATGCTGCTTGTCGCTAACTCGTACGTCCTGGGACTTGGACGATATCCTCTTTGGCTTCCTCGGAAGCCTTCTGCCACCATTCCCTTTTGTCGCGTTTCTTTCTTCGGCCGGAACCTCTTCCTGCGCGGCAGGACTCTGAACTCGGGCTTCTTGAGCTCGGCCATCTTGTCTCGGACTTTGGAGCCGGTTCTCTTGCTTCGGACTTTGGACCCGGGCATCTTGTCTCGGGCTTTGGGCTGCTCCGCCGTCTTGGACTACGTCATCTCGCCCATCTCGTACCGGAGTTTCCACGGCGTCTGTTTTCGGAGGTGGTGGAGTTTCAGCGGCATTCACGTTCACGTCTTTCTTGGACTGCCCTTTCGACCTCTCTTTTCTTGCTCTGCTTCCTTTGCCACCTCGCTTTCCATGCTCGGGCTTACTACTTACTCCTGAAGCCTTCGCTTCAACTGGCGTATCAGTAGTATCAGTAGGAGCGCCTGTTGAACGCCTATTAAGCTCCTCAAGCTTAGCCATTGCCTTTGCTTTCTGTTCTTTGATTCGCTCTTCCTCTTCTTTCTGAAGCTGTTCTGCTCTTTGAGCAGCAATTTCTTTCATCTTTGCACGCTGAAAGAAAAAAGACAAAACGAAATAAGTTTCACGTCATTAAAATAAAGGCTTGTAGGATACCTGAGCCTCGTAATCATAAACGTTCAAATCCGTCGCATGAAGCTTAGGCCTCCACTCCTTTTCGGACTCGTGGGCCGCAGCTGTCTTGGGCTTTGACTTGACACCATCTTTAAGCACCTGTTCGCCGTGCTTCTCGTCAACTATGGTAACAGGGCCCTTTCCAAGAACACCTGCGGTTGTTTCAGTAGGCTCGGATGGAGGAGCCACAGCCTCAGCTTTAATGATTTCTTCCTTTTTGTCAGCAATGCGAGGTGCGTCAACTGAGTCTCCATCCTCTTGCTTTTCCTTGATAGGCTGTGGCTTTTTTAGGATGGCCACGTCCGGAACTACTGGTTCAGCCTTGGGAGGATGCATCGTGGACCTCTTTGCATCGTTTGCAGCCTTGTTCACTGGTTCTCTCCTGAACTCCCCATTGTCTCCTTCTTTCATCTTTCCACCACCTCTGAACTCCGAATGAAAGCCTTCCCCATCCTTTTCAAAGACTGCATGGTTCGGCATATGACGGGGCCTTGGTCCCATTGGATGCCTGGGAAAATCAGGATGAAAACCGCCATATCCTCCTGGTCCTCCCCACATCATCATTTCTCTCTCATCCATGTTGTAACTTGGAGGATAGCCGTAGTACCCATCGTAATGCCCTGGAAACATTCCCGGACCGAAACCAGGACGTTCCGGATTCATTGGCCTCATGAACGGTGGAGGACCATAGCCATCACCGGGCTGACCGTAGGAAGCTGGAGGGCTCGGACCAAACCTTTGATGAAGAAACTCTGGATTTGGGAACCTGGGAGGTCCGTATGGTCCACTTGGAGGCCAGTGGTCTTCGCCATCGGGTGGTGGCTCCCGACGCCAGCTATTCGACGGCATTCCATATCCTCCTTCCATACCAGGCCCGGGAGGCCCTCTGAAAGGACCCCGACCCCAGCCGTTGGCACCCTCCGGGTGGTCATTGAAGCGTGGACCTTGTCCAGGATAACCATCATCTATAGCAATCAATTTCCTTAGTAAGCAAGAAAATGTAGAAACACGCGTACCATACTGATGCGAAGGTGGTCTTTCTTCAGGACGTTCGTCTACGTGCTCAGGACGTTCTCCTGAATAACAGAATCAATCAGCAAACAAAGACACAAAACTTGATTACGCTTACGCTGCTGTGGTCGAAGATTTGGATTCTTTTCGGACCCAAGCGTAGGAAAATCTCCAGTCGTGAGAGTAAAACGGGACGGCTGAGGCACCTCGTCCTGCTGTAAGAATTATACGTGGATGGTGAGTAGCAAACGGTGTAGAAGCTACGAACCGATTTCCGTGATGCCGAAGGCCCCCATGGCTGCGGACCATTACGTGCGAGCTCAGAAGTCAGAAGAGACACTCGACCGTTCGGCCTCGCCTCGGCGCTCCGTGGGCGTGAATTCGAAGGCTGACTGCTAGCTTGTGTTCCTGAAGAAGTGGAAGGACGATTTGCAGGACCCCAGGCATTCTGTGGAGGAAGGTCTTGGTTCCCAGCTGAAGATGGACGAGCTAGCTCTTGTGGATGCCTACCCCCGGCAGACGCAGGTCGAAGCACACTAGACGAAGGATGCGCACCTCCCGCGGATGATGGTCTTGTGGAGCCAGCGGAAGATGGTCGTGTAGAGTTCGGCCCCCATGCTGATGCAGGCTTGGATCCCCATGCACCAGCACTCACTGGTGGCGATGATGGCTGTGAACCGTTACCACCACCCCAGTTGTTTGTCGAAGTCGGAGGAGAACGAGCAGCGTTACCCCACGTAACAGTTCCTCTACATTAAAAAAACATGAGAAAAAATTTATAAAGTCTAAAGCCTTGCGAGAAAAGAAAAGAAAACATCGCTACCTTGGCACTATCTCCACGTTCGGATCGAGTCCTCGATTTTCTAGCCTGTATCCAACATGACTTACTTGAGCCCGTTACTTGCTTTCAAAAACATACCTCTGGCTTGGAAGATTGACAGGCCTCGGCACCGGAATTTTGCCGAGCACTGTCATGCCCCTCCGAACTCCCCTGGAAGAATTCACAAAAAAAATCATTCGCCATCGTATCAAGAAACGCAAAAAGACTTACCTGCGCTCTGTGATCATGGCTTCCGAGTTGAGCGACTAGCAATTCAGTTTCTTTAAAGAGAAGACTTCCTGAAAGAAGAGCCGACTCAAAAGTCATACGGACGAACAAACAAATTCGAAATTTCCACATACCAGACAACATGAATGTCACCCCAGGAGCGTTGGCTTACAGTAAAACTTCCACCATCGAGATTGAATCACAAAGCCCTAATAAAATCTATACCTCTGGAAAGCCCGCACGGCGAGCAAAGAAACTATAAGCTACGGGCACCTCAGAGGAAAAAAGGGAAGAAAAAAGAAGACGAAGAAACAAAAAAAAAACACCTGTTCTTTCAATGTGCGGAAATGAGGAACTAGGGTAACGAGAAATGGGATCGCTGCTATACCCTACGGCCGATCGAATGCGAGAGATACAGACCAGGGGCGCGGCGATGGCTCTAGGGCGAGGAGACGGCGATGGCGCCGCGCTGAAAATCCACCGGCGATGGAAAAGAAAGGCCTGCCCTTCGTTTTACTGCTGGAGAGAGAAGGAAGAGAGAGAGAGAAAGGGGGAGATTAGGGCTACTGTGTTAAATTGTATTAAAGTTTTAAGTTAAAGGTGGGTCGCGGTGGTGCGTGTTGTTCTTTCCCCGCGCGGGGAGCCACTGCGCGGTGGAAGAAAAATATTTCGATGGTCTGGTCGATTGGAGGCTGGGTCAAATGGACGCGGCGGCGGCCAAGCACGCGATCGCGATCCGCGAATCCAAGCTCTTGAGGTGATGCTGCTGTGCGATCGCTGATATCATCGATCGATAATCGGGGTCTGATAATCCGAGAGATAGGAGGATCTCGCGGGAGCGCCAATGGATTGGGATTGGGAGCTGCGGAGCTGCTGCAATCGCCGGCAAGTCACATTTGTGGTGACGATCGGCGTCTTTGCCGTGGCGATTCTTGCGGTATTGTCGATCGAAAGGAAGGATTTTCTTCTTGTCTATAAGTTCTTGCTTGTTCTTCTTGTTTGCAGCTATGGCGGACGCCACTAGTGACACCATTCAAGCTCATCACCGTGTATCTTCACGAAGCGTCTCACGCGATTGCGTGTAAGCTCACTTGCGGCCATGTAAGCTCTCACGATCCTTTCCTAGCGTCACTTTCGTGCTCGCGATGGATGATCCAAGCTTTTCCTTCTTCCATGTTTTTTTTCTTTTCCCAGGTAGAAGGCATCGAAGTTAATCTCAACGAAGGGGGAGTGACTCGTACGCGAGGTGGAAGTCAATGGCTCATTCTTCCTGCCGGATGTAAGTTAAGTTCTTCCCAAGTTTCTCTGGTTTGATGGTCGTTTCACGCAGATCTCGGATCCTCATTCTGGGGAATGGCATTTATTTTGATGGCCACGAATCGCATTGCTACTCGAGTCGCGGCAGCCATTCTCGGTGGTTCTCTCCTCTTCGTTCTCGTCATCTACGCAAAAAATGTAAGCTTTTCGAATGCTCCATAGCTCATTTTTTCGTTCTTGCATGTCCAACTCGACTGGAGCAGTGGTTCCTTCGATTTCTCAGCCTCGGTAAAACCATTAGAATCTTTTGCTTCTCGACTGACACAAGCTTCGCAGGTTTTATCATTTTCCTGGCGATCATCTGGGTATTGCAAGAAACCACAAGCGTTCACCTTCTGCGATACGTGATTCTCTTCATTGGTAAGCGAGCTCAAGCTTGATCTAGTCGAGATATAACGCCTTGGAATCCTTTTTCCATCCAGGAGTTATGAACTGTATGTTCTCCGTTTACGGTACGTAGCGCTCGTATGTTTCGAAGGCTTGATCAATCTACATGATCTCCTCCAGATATCTACGACGATCTCATCTCGAGAAGAGTAAACACCAGCGACGCCGAGAAGTTCTCTGAAGTTTGCGTTTGCTGCCCGTGCAATGGGCTCGCTTGGGGAGTGATCTGGTAAGCTTTCCAAAGTTTCTAGATCGACGCCACCAAAAAAAATCGTTTTTTTTTCTTCCCAGGGGATTTGTTTCGCTAGCGTTCTTGTGTGCTGCCATATACGTGGGCCTCGTCATCCAGTCGTGATCACGGGAGAACTCTTTCGCTGGCACATTCTTCGATTCTTTCTAATACTTAGGTTCTAGTGGATGCTATTGTTTTGGTGTATGATAATTTTTTTTGTGTTTTGGAATATCGTCCGTATGACATGAGCAAAGGGAGGGAAGTAGGGTTTAACCTCAGCAGGACAAATCTCTTCCAGCTCGGTCTAGTGAGAGCTTCGCGCTTGGTGCTCGGGGCAGGGATTTAGGGCTCGCGTCGCGACGGCGCCCCCATGGATCAAAGATCGCCATGGCAGCCGCGGGAGGAGGGCGTCAACGAAATCTGCGCGCTGCTCCAGGAGGGCAAGCGGCCCAACGCCGACCAGGCGCGGATTTTCGAGCAGCTCCAGCGCTGCAGCCAGGTCCCGGATTTCAACAATTACCTCGTCTTCATCCTCTGCCGCAGCGAGGTAAGCGCGCTCCAATCCTCTTTTTTTGCATGACTCTTTGCTTCGATTCTGCGCATTGCTAGGCAATGGCTTGGTTTTGCTCTTCTAGCGATCTCTATAGCTCCTCCCAAAATGCCGAGTGAATTCTTTGTGCCCTAAAACTTCTAAGCTCGTCTGTGTGCTGTGCTCATCGCCATTTTCTTTTTTTTTTTCTTCCCAGGGACAATCAGTGGTAGTCCGACAGAGCGCTGGATTGCTACTGAAAAACAACTTAAAATCGTCCTACAAACGTCTCCCTGGCGTCTACCAGCAATATATCAAGTCGGAGCTTCTTCCTCGACTTGGATCTCCAAACAGGGAACTACGTGCCACCGTCGGGACCGTCGTGAGTGTGATCATCCAGGAAGGCCAGCTCCAGACGTGGCCCGAGTTGTTCCAAGGGATTCTAGAGTGCCTCGAGAGCAACGATTATAACCACATGGAAGGAGCGCTTGACGCATTGTCTAAGGTACTTTTAAGCTGCCACTGCCAATATCATTCTTCTCTTTGTCTGTTTTCTCTTAGATTTGTGAGGATGCCGCCGATCAACTAGACCAAGTTGTCCCAGGACTAGCACAGAAACCGTCTGATGTGTTTATTCCGCGGCTGCTGAAGTTCTTCTCGTCGTCTCACGTAACGCTAAGAAAGCTTGCGCTGGGCGCGGTGAACCAATTTATTAATTTCATGCCCCAGGTAAGAAGTGAGGTTTTGTTTTCTTCTTGCTGCTCATACGCTGAGCTGTTTCAGGCACTCTTTGTTAACATGGATAACTACCTTCAAGGTCTTTTTACGCTTTCCAACGATCCTGCGCCTGAAGTGAGGAAATTGGTTAGTAGTTCCGTTTGCTTGTGATATTGAAACAGTGAGTGATAATTTCAGTTTTACATGCAAGGTGTGTGCGGCGCTCGTTCGTTTGTTGGAGATGGATGCAGAAATTCTCCGGGTAAGAATTGTTGACTCTGTTAAGTTGTGTATGCTAATATTTGTTGGCAGCCTCACATGAAAAGTGTAATTGAATATATGTTACAAGCAAACAATGATCCAGATCCAGAAGTAGCGCTAGGGTCATGTGAGTTCTGGTACGCTGCTGCATGGCTTTCGTGAGATACCTGAGGTGCTGTTTTTCGTAGGACGGCATTTTGTGAAGCACAGCTACCTTTGGAACTTTTAAGAGACGCCCTACCTCGACTAATTGGAGTATGCTGGATTTCCATTAGAAATTTGTGGTTTTGCTGATAGTTTTTTCCAGGTTCTTCTAACAAATATGATATATGCAGATGATGATGAAGCTCTGCTCGACTCTCAGGTATTTTGCACTTCCATTTATTTTATCTAACTTGCTCTTTCTTTCAGGACGATGAAAGCGTACCCGACTCGGAGCAGGTAGTGGATTTGAGGTTGGAATATATAACGTTTATTTTTTTGGATTGCAGAACTTAAAGCCTAGATTTCATCAATCACGAGTTCATGGAAATGAAACTGATGATGATGAGGTAGCTCTGATGAAGCATTCTGTTCTTTAAATTTATTTAATTGCGATCACTTTTTTGTAGGACACGGATGAAATTATAAGTTCGTGGAATTTGCGCAAGTGCAGTGCCGCTGGACTGGACACTCTATCGACATTATTTGGCGACGATATTTTACCTCTCCTCATGCCCCTAGTAGAGGTAAATGCATAAGTTCTAGAGCATGAATGCATTGCTTGTTTCTTTTGCATGTCAGGCAAGACTATCGAATTCGTCGGATGATAAATGGAAAGATCGCGAGGCAGCAGTTTTGGCTCTAGGAGCTGTTGCTCAAGGCTGTATAAATGGTCTCCTTCCACACCTTCCTCAGGTAACTTACCTTGTCTGCCTTTTATTAATTCTTACACTTTTCTATTAGATGATTGCATTCCTTACACCACTTCTGGAAGACAAGCATCCTTTGGTCAGAGGGATCACCTGTTGGACACTGTCTCGTTATAGCAAATGGATAGTCCAGGCAGCAAGTGAAACAAATGGTCTCCAACAGTTCGATAGTGTTTTAACGGGACTACTTCGACAAGTCATTGGCACCAACAAACAAGTACAAGAAGCAGCCTGCTCCGCGTTTGCTACGCTTGAAGAAGTAAGCTTCTTTGTTACTGATCGAACTTAACTTCCACGCACTTCAGGAAGCGGCAGAAGAAGTTATTCTTCAACATCATCTTGAAGTCATTCTACAACATCTTATGTTTGCTTTTAGTAAATACCAGGTATACTATCTTATGTCTCCAATCACTAATGATTCAAAATTTATAGCGCCGTAACCTACGAATTTTGTACGATGCCATCGGAACGCTAGCAGATGCAGTGGGTGGAGACCTTAATGAGGTTTGCTTCCCAGTTTTTCTAACACTTACAAAATCTACAACCTTTTCAGCCCAAGTATCTCAATATACTGATGCCACCATTGATAGCAAAATGGCAACAGCTCGCCGATAATGACAAAGATCTATTTCCACTTCTAGAATGTTTTACGTCCATCGCACAGGTATGTTTTTTTCTTTGGTTATCGTCGTTATTGGCCTAAATTTTCACATTGATGTAGGCATTAGGCTCTGGATTTGCGCAGTACGCAGAACCGATTTTTGCCAGATGTATTCGAGTTATTCGCACGCAGGAAGTTGCGAAGGTGAGCTTTTACGGTTTTGATTTTGTTTAACATGCGTTTTTGCAGGCTGATCCTGGAAGGGCCGGTGTGCAATATGACAAGGAATTCATCGTGTGCTCACTCGATCTACTTTCTGGTTTAGCTGAAGGTCTGGGAAGCAACATGGAGAGCTTGGTATGTTTATATAATAAATTTGCATACATTCTGATGTCTGTTGTGTTTATAGGTTGTGAGAAGTGATCTCAGAGATCTCTTGTTTTATTGCTGCGGCGACGAAGCACCAGAAGTTCGTCAAAGTGCACTTGCGCTTTTGGGAGATCTTGCAAAGGTGTGCTAAAGAGTAATCGATTCTGATACTAATGCTTTTTGGCAGGCTTGTGCTGGTCACCTCCAACCGAGGATGGGTGATTTCCTCAGTCTTGCAGCAAGGCAACTGGTTGGTATTCAATCTTTCGGCTGCATATGAGAAATATTTTGACTTGTCTTAAAGCAGGACGTTGAACATGTTTCTGTATCTAACAATGCGTGCTGGGCGATAGGCGAAATTGCAATCAAGGTAACGACTATATATCCTCATGAATTAAATTGCACGTCAAATGTTCTTTTGCAGGTTGGAAAAGAGATTGCTCCTATTGTGATGGGTGTCATCAGTTGCCTGGTGCCCATACTTTCGAGTGTTGAGGTACCTCCACTTCATTCTCTTTGTCGGCTTGGGTTCTAGCTGGAAGCTTGTGTTACCAGAACGTCAACAAATCGATGCTGGAGAACAGTGCGATTACCCTTGGAAGACTGGGTTGGGTTTGTCCCGAGCTCGTTGCTCCACACATTGATCACTTTATGAAGATTTGGTGCCAATCGTTAGCCATGTATGCTTTGAGTTGCAATGCTGATCTTCACGCGCTCATGATGTTTGTGACACAGGGTCCGCGACGATATTGAAAAAGAGGACGCTTTCCGAGGACTTTGTGCAATGGTAACATTTTTTTTCCTTTTTGGCTTTCTAATGAGTTCTCATATGATGTTTTATTTCCAGGTAAGGCTGAATCCCGGGGGTGCTGCAAAATACTTTGGGTCTATATGCGAAGCCATCGGTAGCTGGCATGTAAGTCTCGTGTTTCAATGCAGCATGCTCTAGTGCTAACTTCAATGAACAGGAAATTCGAAGTGCCGAGCTACGCTCCGAGATAACACAAGTCCTACACGGATTCAAGCAGGTTTGATTGGAGAAACTCTTGTAACTGTGGCGATGATGCCTGACACACAAACTCGGACGCAGATGCTTGGTGGATCCTGGGAGCAGTACTTCAGTTACCTCGATCCTGGCACCCAAGAAAAGCTGAAAAGAAGGTACGGCTTGTGACAAATCACGGCAAATCACAGGTTTCCACATTGATCTTTATTCTGCGGGGTCTGGAGTGAAAAAAGGCCTGGTTTTTGTGCTTCCACCTCCCACTCGTGACGTTTTTTTTAGCAGCTTTACGCAAAGAAAAAAAAGAGAGAGACAGCGAGAGAGATGTTTGAATAAGGAGAGACTACCAAAGCAAGCCTTTTTTTTTTTTTTTTGAGTGGAGAAAGGGAGAGGAGAGAAGAGAAGAGCGGAGTTTTGTTTTGTAAAAAAGAAGCAAAGATTTATGTAAGACACTAAAATTTTTGGAGGGAAGTCTTAGTTAGAGGTCCCACCGAGATTCGAACTCGGGCTCTTGGATTCAAAGTCCAATGTCGTAACCACTAGACTATGGGACCATTAGTCATGGTATGTTACAATACTAGGTTTCTAGGGTTTATCCACTCTGTTTTAGGGTATGGGGATTTCTGGCATTGTGATCCTCTTCGCGGCGATCTTTCTCTCGTCTCAATCTCAATGCGCGATCTCTAGTAGCAGCGCCAGGAATTTCCCTCTTCTTCTCGATCATGGCCACAGGTGGGTGTGCAATGTGCTGGATTTCGGCGCCGTGGCGGATGGAAAGACGATCGATACGTCGGCGATCCAGTCGGCGATCGACTACTGCGCCTGGAAGGCGCGCGCGTCGAGCCTGCATTTTCCTCCAGGGAAATATCTCACCGGAGCTGTGTTCCTCGCCTCCAATATGGCTGTGGTCATCGATCCCGGAGCGATTATCCTTGGCAGCTCCCGGCAGGAGGATTATCCGCGCGAGAGGTCGCGCTGGTATGTTCTAGCGGCCGAGAATGCCGTGAATGTGAGCGTCACAGGCGGGGGAATCATCGATGGCCGGGGGCTCGAGTTTGTTTCCAGGTTTTGGTCGCGCAAGAACGTTATGGTCAGCTGGAACACGACGGGTGCGTGCATTGGCGATGAATGCCGGCCTCGCTTGCTAGGATTCGTGAATTGCGAGAACGTTCGCGTGTGGAACATCCATCTAAGGCAGCCAGCTTACTGGAGGTATCTTCTAGTTTGATACACTTTCATGCTTTCTTCCATGGTTTAATTCTTTCTAGTGTATATAGACTGGTAATTTTTTTCTTCCATGGTTTGATTCCTTGTAGAGAACTGGTATTTTCTAGTTTGATCAGCTTTCATGCTTTCTTCCATGGTTGATTCTTTCTAGTGTTTGATAACACTGGTATTGTCTAGTTTGATAAGCTTTCATGCTGTCGTCCATAGTTTGATTCTTTTTAGTTTTTGATAAAATTGGCTTTTACTAAATTCTTTGATTGTCTCGTGATTGTCTCAGCCTCCATGTTGCCAACTCGAGCGGGATTTACATCCATGATATCACCCTGTATGGAGATTTTAACACGCCCAACAACGATGGCATCGACATAGATGGTTCCAACAACACGTACATCACAAACTGCCGCTTGGACACCGCCGACGATGGAATTGTTGTCAAGAGCATCGCGGGACCAGTATCTAATGTAAGCGTGACGAACTCCTGGATCAGAAGCAAATCTTGCGCGGTGAAGATCGGCAGCGAAACTTACCATGATCTTGATGGTCTTTACTTCGACAGCATCACTATCGTGGAGTCTCACAGAGGACTTGGAGTACAGTTACGTGACAAAGGTATGGCTTTTAGAAAACGTTATCCTCATCCTCACCTTTTAGCTCTCATTGCAGGGAATATTTTCAATGTAACATTCTCCAATATTGTACTAAGCACTCGCTTGTACGACCCTTTATGGTGGGGAAGAGCAGAACCAATCTATGTCACAGCTTGTCCTCGGAACCTCTCAACGAGTGTGGGCACGATCGACAGCGTCAGGTTTATCAACATTTCCTCTTCAGCAGAAAATGGTATTTTCTTGGCCGGCTCGGACGGAGGAGTGCTGAATAGATTGGAGCTTTCTAATGTTTCTGTGAGGCTGGGCAGGATCACGGACTACCCGGGCGGCCTCCACGATTATAGACCAGGTTGTCAAGGCCTCGTACATCATCGAACTGCCGGCGTTTTCATGAAGCACGTACATGAAGTTACTGTGAAGGACGTGAACTTGCACTGGGAAAGAAGTGGGGTGGAAGATTGGGATCTGCCTGTGGATTTCGAGCCAAGGACTATCGGACGCCTCTGGATGAGTAACTTCACATCCAGCGCATAGCCAGCAGACGTCAGCTGGCATCACAGTCTTCTGCCGGCCGAGCTGTTTGTGAAATAGCTTTGTTACAAGTAAGCTGCCTTTCTGTTCGGTCTCTTTCCTTACGCGACTTCTTGTTTTTCTCAGCATACGTATGCTATATATCGTGCGCACTAGAGTCACTCTGAAAGACAATTTCTTTAATCGTAACTCGTGAGCGGGGGTCGTTGGAACAACCCCGTCGAGGGAACGATCATATCCTCAACTTCGGAAAGCGTAGAGTGGACGAGAAGCAAGCACTAGCAGACGGTGGGGTCCAAGTTTCTCAGGAATATCAGAGAAAAGCTATTACCCCACCCAGAATTCGACCTTTCAACCAAGGCACATAGATTCCCTGAACACTTTGATTGACTACTAAAAAAGAATCAGTCTTTATCGATTCCAGAGCACTCTTCCGCGTTGTCTGGATTTTTCCTCGAGACCCCGGTAATTTTCCACTATACAGTTTCATCATTCTCTTATATCTCAGTTCTGGCTATATCTAGTTGAGGCGCCGACACAGTGTGATCCCGTCGCTGATCGGGACCTGGGTGATTTCGATACGCGAGTCGGCAGCGAGAGCCTTGTTCACCTCGATGACGAAGTCCTTGTAGTATTTGACGTACTTGGGCATGGGTTCGTCCTCTTCGGCAACCACTGAGCCGTTCCACAGGGTGTTATCGTAGCCGATCACGCCTCCGACTTTAACCAAAGAGATCAACCTCTTGTGGTAGTTCAAGTAATTGTCCTTGTCAGCATCCACAAAGATGAAGTCGAATGCGCCATGATTCGCCTCCTGCGAGGAAAGTGTCAGCATTGTCGTTGGTTCAAGGTAAGATAAAGAAAAGTTGTATTGAAAGCTTACGTCTTTGAGCATCTCGTCCAGAGCTGCGAGGGCGGGTCCTTCCCTGAAATCGATCTTGTGAGCCACGCCGGCTTCCACCATGTACGGGTAGCCGAGCTCAAAGTTCTTCCTGTTGATGTCCATGGCTAGCACCTGTGCATCCGCGTCAGCACAGGTATGGCTGGTTATACTTTCTAAGATTTTACCGTTCCATCTTCCGGCAGAGCCAGAGCCGTGCTGAGAAGAGAGTAACCAGTGTAGACTCCAATCTCCATTGTCTTCTTGGCGTTCATCATCTTGAGCAAGAACATGAGGAACTGGCCCTCGTCCGGCGAAGTGGTCATCAAATTCCTGCAAAATGGGGGAAGCTCCGGACGTGAGAAGGGCGAAGACTTTGAATATCGAAGAACAGATATCTCGAATCTCGATCTATCTAGAGGTACGGATGAGCTTCATGTGGTATTTACCAGGGATGGTGGGCTGTCATCTCTCGCAGTCCTTTCAAAGGAGCCGGCTCCCGAGGATAGACGCTGGTGTCAAGGATGTACTGCACGGAGATACCAAAAAAGAAGTAAGAATGCTGCTGGCTTGCTCGTCCTTCGCTCGCTCGCTCGATCGCTAATCATCTAAAACTTTGGCCAGGTACCTGATACAACTTGTCGCTCTTGAGGACGCTCTTGTGCCCGACTTGCGAGTGCTTCCCGGCCTTGTTGGCATTGTCGCTCGACACTTCCACACTGCTCACGACAGCGGCAACATCGACTCCTCCCATCCTTCTGGAATTCGAACAGCAGAGAGCTTTAGCGATTGGGGAATCGATCAGTGCAATCTGGCTTTCTTCCCACCTTGAGCGAGCGGCTTCTCGATTCGAAGAGAAGAGATGGAAGCCTGGAGAAGACTCGCGAAAATGGGGGTGAATGGGAGAACAACGAAAGACCGCTGCTGGAGGAAACTAGCAAAAGAAGCCGCCTTTAATAGTGGCAGTGAAAGAGCACACAAACGCTGACGAGGACAACACAGACATTCACAAGTCGGAGTGAGAAGGTATGACGAAACGTGGCAATCAAAGCTAAAAAACGGAAAACAAAAAACAAATGAAAATAAGTAAACATGAGAAAAAGAACAAAAAACAACTACTAGAAATGCAAAAGAAAAAAGAGAAATGACAATTTAGCAATCCAACCAAGCGAGAGAAAATAATTAAAAAGTTGGCTCTACCAAACACACGCTCACCGATCGGTCAGGCTACCCGAAACGAAACCGGTCAAACATATTCAGCGCCTGGTCAACGCGCCCAACAAAGAGAAAGTCAAGGTTTACCGGACCACGTTTATTGACGTTTGGAAGCTAGTGCCCAGACCATATAGGGACCCGATCAATTCAAGCACGCTGTGATCAAGCAAACAAACAGTGCTACAACATGAAAGAATGAGAAAAGTTAAAAAACCTTTTAATCTGATGCGAATGAGCTGACCGGAAGGGTAGCTGGATTATTAGTTGGGCCAAGTTTTCTAATCTTTTTTCAGGTCTTACTCTATTTTTCTGTATGTTACTTGATCGCATTGAGATCCTCGTCCACTAGAGTTTGGTTGTGAAGCCAAAACGTGTCTTGCGATTGATGAAAACGCCTGGACTTGCGTTGGAGTTCCCACAAGATTCCCGTCATTGCCGAGCAAGCGTGCGACTCTCCAACGTAGAGCCACAGGCACCGGACGCTCCGGCCGCGAGAGATCATCGCCTCGATCTCATAGTCTGGAAGATAAACTTAGCTTGCGAGAGATCGACTGGAAATGTTTGTGTCTACCTGGAATGGAGCGAAGATAGTCCAGGAGCTGCTCGTCGGTTCGGCTGCTCGGCCACTTGATCGAGAATTTCCTGTAGTCCAGGACGTTCTGGAAAGGGAGCTCGATTCTGTCGGAGAGAATCACTGGAACGCACTCCTGGTTTTTTAATAGAAAGAATCCCAGAAGATCAGGTCGCTTTAGAAGATACTAAACCGAAACGCACCACAAAAAAGGACTCGAAGAAGCGCAGCGTCCATGACGACTCTCCACGCGGTGACAAGCAAAACTTGGCATTGCGAAGGTGGCGGAAGTATTCCTTTCGCTCAAGCTTGGATGAGGCTGAGAATGTTAAGTCCGGCGCCTCTAGCTGAAAGAGAAGTGGAATGAGAAACCATCTTATGGAGAGAGGCCTACCTCGTCGGGGTACAATTTCGCGAGCTTCAAAAGCTTGAGGCGTCCAGTTTTGTTCTGTGCACGTCCAAAGTAGTTAGCGAGGTAATTCCTCTTGGCCAGAGGTAGCGGCTTGATAAACTGCTGTATGGCCGAGCCTTGGAGAAGTATGTCGTTGTCGATGTTGCCTGGGATAATCACGTCTTTCCAAGTGTTGAAAGCACTCGTTTCGCGCTTATCCGTTCTATCACCCTGTCTTTGAAGAAGTTGTTGTAAGTAAGCTCTCCTAGACCAGAAAAGGAAAAGGAGATCAGCACGTCACGTACTTCTGGAGTGAGAAAGATAGATCGATTCAGGTAGACTGGCCAGTGCTTGAAAATGTGAGCTCCAATTCCACTGTCAAAAAAGAAAGAAATCCAAAACTCCCGTCAAAAAGAAACTCTTAGTCACCTGGGAAATACAAAGACGTGATCCCGACCACCGGAGCGGCGAAAGTATGGCATTTGAGTAACAATCTGGAACAAAAAATTGTCTTGTCAAGTCAAGTTCTCTCTCGAAATCCGGAGAAGCAAAAGAGAAGTATAGTACCTGCCTGTATGAACTTGGAATCAATCTCTTTGTCACTCAAACCACCCTTCATTCGCACGCACTTCACATACGTAGGAACAAAGAAAAAATCGGCGTCGTCTTTGTCGAGAGTCCTATACCTCGACTCCAGCAAAAGCTTGTGGATTTTCACCTGGAAAGAGTAAAAGCAAGCTTTTATTCTAGAACAAAAGAGTTAAAAAAAAGAGTGTAGTGTTCTTCCTTTCTTCTTTCCATACCTGTGTTCCATATTGACCTTTGAGACAATCTTCCGGAGAAATCTTGTTGTCACGGCCGGAAAGGAGTTCTTTCAGCCCTGGAACTTCCGATTCCTGGTAGACATAGATGCGTAGAGCCAGATGCGATCCATAGCCGAGCTCCGGCCACTCAAATTCGCCTACATTCTTCCTTCTTACGTCACTGCTCGTCCCGCAGCGATCGCGAGCCTCGAACAAGAACAATCTCGTGCCTGCGAGCTCCAGAAGCTAAGATCTGGCCAATGAATGGAGGATCCTTCTTACACAAGACGCTGGCGACGACGACACCCAGGTAGCGCACCGCTGAGGACGAAGAACAAGCGCCACGCGATGAGCTCCCCATGCCCTAAAATTTTAAAAGTTCTAGGGTTCTTCATTCTCACGCTCTGCTTTTAGGGCTAGCGCGAAGGAGTGGAGATTTCTCGCGGAGCTGCCGCCATCACCGATGCTCTCTCGCAGCGATCTCGCTCGCGCTCTCATGCCGCTGCCGATCTCGTCGCTCATCACCGCTCTAATTGCGCCGGCGATCTCTCCGCCGCTCACATTCACCCCGATCTTCCACTCCTCGGTCAGTACCATCGCGTTCCAGTTTTGCTCCGCCGCTACCGGCCAGCACAGCGTCGGCACGCCCGCCGCCAGCGCCTCGAGCGTGGAATTCCATCCACAGTGCGTGAGGAACGCTCCCACGGAAGAATGCGGCAGTATGAGCTGCTGTGGCGCCCATTCCACGAGCAATCCTCGCCCTCCTCCAGTTATCCTCGCCGCGAGCTCCTCGAAGAATCCTCCAGGTGCGTTGGTAGCAAAGTTTCTTCGCATCGCCCATAGCACTGGCTGACTAGTTTCTTCCACAGCGTCGGCGATCTTCGCGACCTCTTCCACCGCGAGGCCAAAGACGCTGCCAAACGCTATGTAGAGCACCGAGTGTGGAGCTTGTTTCTCCAGCCACTCCATGCACGCTGCGGCCTCGCGTTTGTAGCGATGGTTGACGATGGGCTTCTGTCGTATGAGAGGCCCGACTGGAAGGTACGAACGTAGAGTTTGCTGCCGTGCTCTCACCACTTCTATTTCCAGCTCCTCGATCGTGTTGACGAGAACGCAAACCGCCTGTGGAAGCCGCGCTATAGCCACTGCTTGCATACGCGCGTCGATCGAGTCGTTTTGGTAGCAAACCGGGAGTTGGGTCGGGCGGAGTGGTGGAAGTCCGGGAATGAAAGTGATGAGCTTCTCATCGTCCTTGCAATCGCCAACTTCTGGAAAAAAAAAACGTAAGTTTCCTTATAGCGATGGTGTTCTTCGCTAACTTTTGCTCACCTTGGGCAGGAAGAACGTATCTTTCAGCGATGAGTCGAGGGAGATAAGTAGCAATGACTTCGTTGGCCGCGTTGGAAGGCCACAAGGCGACTCGAGGAATGCCGAGAGAGTCGGCCAGATCTTGGGACCATCCCATGAATGCGCTCGAGATAAGCACCTGTGCCGGGGGTTCTAGAGCTTCCAGCGCTGGCTTGACGAAGTGGAGCATCTCCGGGGACATAAACATGTTGTTGTTGGGGATTTCTTCCTTCGGCATCGAGAAGAACACGAGGTGAAAGCTCTCGCCCTCTTGCTGCTCCTCGCTGGTGGGGATGTAGGGACAGTTTTCTGGAATCAGGAAGCTTACACTGAATCCGCAGTGGACAATTCGCCGGCATAGCTCGAGCATCGGGTTGAGATGTCCGGCACCTCGGGATGGCAACACAGCAGCGTGAACTCGCGGCATTTGAAGAGTACCAGATCTGCTCAAAACTTGGCCACAGAAACAAGAGGTACGACTTTTTGTTACATGTTTACAGAAACAGTTATCTTGTTTTGGATGTTATAGGTATGTTGTGGATGCTACAGCGAGGAGATACACTCCTTGGTGTGAGGAAGATGTTATCGTCCCAGCCAGGCAGGAAACAGGGCTTGGGTGTTGTGACCGGTTGAACTTCGTGGATCGAAAGCCGAGCCGGACAAGCTTTGTAAACCTTGACAAGTTGTGTTTCGATTGAATTGCAGGGGATGGAAGCTACTTCCTTCGTGATTCATGCGACCCTGAATTTGAGCTGCTCGCTCCTGCTCTCTCGATGTTCTTGACAGATTTATCAGGCAAGACGTTTCTCTTTGTTCCGCGGCCTCTTGAGGTTTTGTGTCCAGAGGAGTGTAAGCTTTCATACTCGAGCTAAGTTTTCTCAAACATTAGGAAAAGTTTCTCAAGCAAAGGTGCTGAGTTTCTTGATCAGGTTTTTGGAAAACTCCACAAACAAACTCACGTCTTTGTATAACACGCCATGGAAGCTATAGAAGGATAAGTTTCACCATTTAAGTGAACGAGCTTTCTCGGTCAACTAAAGTCAAAGTAGAAGTTTTTACACAACTGCAACAAGAAGGTGGCGAGACTTTTCATCCTCGTGATGGAACCAGCAGCGCAAAAGAATTGCAAAGGAATTTCTTATGAATCTAGTCATTGAGCACCAACAAGTGAGAATTTAAAATCTATGAGCCCCAGTTTCCTAGATCTTCGTGATAGTCCACTTGCCGTTGTCCCTGCAAGAGTCTCCCTCTCTCTTTCACAATCTGCATCGATCACCAGCTCTGCGCATCATGTCTCCTTGACTCGATTTGCTTGCGTTGATCCATCCTCAAGGAAGAAACCTCAAGACAAAGAATACGTATATGAGAGAGAGAGAGAGAGACGATCCTTCCTCAAATAAAATAACAAAACCAAAAGCTTGCAAGGCTTGGAGACTGCATCCCATACAATAATGCAAAGGCCCCCAAAGCGTTTCCATGGGCCCGTCCTCTTTGCAGGAGGGCTTCAAGGACACCATTTGGAGGCGTGCATCTTCTTCGGCATGGTCTGTTTTAATGAAAGCTGTTCTTGGTACATGGAAACTCAAACACAAGCATGCCATGCCCATCTTATTTTAATTATTTGGACTTGTTTTTTTTATTTTCCCTCATTCATTCCTCAAGACAAAGTCGGAACTTGGAAGCTTTAAATTCTTCTGTTCGTTATTTTTTATTTTTTATTTTTTTCTTCCGCAAATGACAAATTCTTATTACACTGATTAAGCTGTCTCCCTACCAACATTTTGAGTACTGGAGAAAGGGAAAGAGAAATTTATTTCTTTTTAGCATTTTCTTAAACATACCACGTTTTGGTTGTCCCCTGCTGCGTGTCCGTGTCTGAGAGTGTGTAGCCGTGTCTGCTGAAATACTTTGCCCCAAGTGAGAACTTGAAAATGCGAATGCCACCTGCCAAACAAAAATGCTCGAATTTTTCGACAAAAAGCATCTAAAAACCATTCCCTCACAACAGCGCTTACGAAATGGGATGACGATACCTCAACCCCCAAGTCATGCCAAAGAGCAAGCTTTTTCTTTTTAAAAAAGATAAACTTTAGTAGAATTATCACTTGGGAAATGAAATAGCAAATAGCAATATTAGGACTTTAGTAGAATTATCACTTGGGAAATGAAATAGCAAATAGCAATATTAGGATGGTTTGACCACCTTTAATTTTCCTGGGCAGGCTAGCTAGCCTTACTCCAAGCCAAGTGGTCCTTTTGTTCTTTCCTTTAACTTCTTCCTATCTGAACAGATGTTAGCTTAAGACTGTACAAAGCACCACAGAAGGAAAGGGAAGGTCCTCATTGACAGTTATGGTGGTGGTGCCAGCCACCTTTTTTTTCTTGTACTCATCTTATCATTATCAGCACATAATTGTCCATGGTATGGTGGCTAAAGTTGTAATTATAAGCTGTATTTCTGGTATTTTATACTAAGCCAAGCTGAGATGCTTTTTAGGAGAGTGAAGGAAATGAAAAGTTTTCTCTCTTCAGGGTGTGAGTTGCAAAAGTCACCAATGACCATTCAAACCCCTTCATGGAAAATGATTTCTGAGACCAGAACAGCAGTAGCAGCGGCAGCAGCAAGCAGGACTGTGTTGGCAGGAAACAATTGCAGCTGATCGAGCAACACATAAAAGCACATTTTCTTCTCAAATTTCTCAAGAAGCTTACAGAGACTAAGAAGAAGTTCCAAAGAGGGGTCCAGTCCACATCCCCCAGCCATAGCCAGCTGCATTCTATTGTGCACTTATTCTTTTCTTTCTTTTTTCCACCCTGATGAACTTCTGCAACCATATTTAAAAGGCATGGAAAACAAGGAATTTCAAAGCAAGAAGAAGGAACAGCAAGAAAAGAACAATGTGATGGTGATGTGTGATGGGGAGCTTTATATGAAGGTGCTGGGTGGTAGGGGGGAGTCCATTGTCAAGCTGATTCTACCCCAATTTCCCAGTTAGATACCCATTTTTCTTCACTCTTTTTTTGATCAATTGCTACTCCCTCAAACTTCTTCCATTGTCCCATTTCTCCACTGGATGAAAGCTAGCCAGCAATGAGTGGGTGATTGTGTGTGAAAACTTTGTCACTTTGCTCTTCCAGCATATTCTTTCTTCTTCAGAAGTAGTGAAAGGAAAACTTGCAGTGTTTTTTTTATCATGATCATATACATATATAAGAGTATATGTATACGGGCTACCTGCATTTCTTAGAGAGTAGCCACAGGAATTCTTCTTGTATATAACTTCTCTTCTTTCTTATACTTGTTCCATGTACTGGAGATTGAGAGGTTCATTCAGTTCTTGCTTGAGTCTGAGATTGTCAACAATGAGCAAGAATTGAAAGGAGGAGAATTTGTGGGCATTTGGAGAGCTTCTGATTATAATGGATAGACAACAGCAGCAACAACATGGATTGCCTGTGGTGAACCACTTGTTGCAGCACACACTAAGGAGCATCTGCACGGAATCTCAATGGGTCTATGCTGTTTTGTGGAGGATTCTTCCCAGGAACTACCCTCCACCCAAGTGAGCACACAGAATTTACCATATGAATGTTCTAACATGATATATGTATGATTGATACATGTAGGTGGGACAATGAGTCTGGATTCTTGGATAGGTCAAAAGGCAACAAGAGAAATTGGTGAGGGCATTCTATGCTTGTTTGATCCAAGTCTGGGTCCTCATTCTTTGGTTTTTAGGATTTTGACTTGGGAGGATGGATTTTGCGATTTTGCTGCTTGTGTCAAGAGTTTCAAGCAGTCTTCTTCAGGAGACAGTGAAGCTGCCTCGGCTGAGCCACTGCAGCCCGAGCTCTTCTTCAAAATGTCTCACGAAGTTTACAGCTATGGAGAAGGGTACGTTCTTTCCAAGGAAAAAAAAAAATCACTTGCGGTTTTATTTTTCTTTTTTCGTTTTTCCAAACAGGTTGATGGGCAAAGTTGCCTCAGACAGCAGCCACAAGTGGATTTTTAGAGACCCGGCCGACCAAGATTCAAGCTTGGTGTCGCCATGGCATGGATCGCTAGACCCAGTAAGAAAAACGCTTGCGATAATCCTTACAAAAGTTTGGCTGTTTTTTCGTTTCAGCATCCAAGAACATGGGAAGCTCAATTCAAAGCTGGAATTCAGGTGATTTTTCCTTCCATTTCGCGGCATTTTTCATATATTTTGGGCTCTTTCCAGACCATAGCCATTGTTGCAGTCCAAGAAGGCCTCTTGCAGCTTGGATCGTTAGACAAGGTAAATTTTCAATCTTCTTTCACAAACGATGAAGCTTTAGATCGATCGAGCTATGCAGGTTCTCGAGGATCTCAACTTGGTCATTCTCCTCCAGCGGAAATTCACTTACCTCCAAACCATTCCAGGAGTTTTCGCTCCTCATCCAAACACGCTAAATCACTCAATCCGTCCAAGAGTCCCGCTCCAATCCAGCGCCATGAGATCGAGCAGCAGCAGCTATGGCGTCCTGGACGACTCCTTCATCGGCCTCACCGAGCAGCAGCGGTTCAATCTCATGAGCCTCGGGGCTCGAACACCACCAGGATCTTACACCATCCAAGACCACCGATCGCTCGCGATGGATCCAAACAACACCACTCTCAAGCAACAGCAACAGCAAGATCACACCACGATCGTTCCATCGGTGGGTCTCAAACGAACGAGCTCGTCCTGCTCGGACACCAACGAAGATCAAGCCGCCATGATCGCCGGTAGCAGCGGCCGCAAGATACCAGAGCGACCACCGCTCTCCAAATCGCTCAACACTGGCCACTCTTCCCCGGGAGTCGTCCCACACTTACACCCATCCATGTCCAGCCTCCACGCTCTCCTCTCCAAGCTCCCCTCGGTCTCGGACAACGCTCTAGTGCCGCCACCACAGCTCTCGCGAAGCTTGAGCGCCCCAGCTCCATATCAAATCCACCCGGACGATCTCCCAAAGGGCTACAACGTTCCCTCTTCCACGACCATCTCGAGCACCAAGAACACGATTCCAGGTACTTGAGCTGCGTTGCTAGACTATATATTCCATAGCCCTCTTCCTTCCCCGATATCGAATCGTTCGATTGTATAGGCAATCGATTGAGAAGAGAGATCGCGAGGTCGAGAAGCTCCTCTCGTCTCGATCGATCGATACGGTGGTGGTCTCTAGATTGTTAATGGCGTTTTTTTTGTGTGTCATAGATGCTACTACCAAAGGAGGAAGCAGCCCATTAAGCGTGGCAAAGGACAGGCTCAGCGTCTACCTGGAAGCCTTCGAGAATGTCCCAGATTTTGGGATCCAGTGTGACATGGATCCATACCACTCCTTCTTAAGCGAGATTATTAACTGAAGATTAAATCAGATTAAACCAATATCTAACGGCCGGGATCTCCATCTGTATCCAACGGCTGGGATGCACCGTGTAAATTTAGGGGGTATATTCTTAGCGTAGCTATTTTTAGCAAGGTGCATGGCCTTGAAAAGCTCGGTGCCGCCACGCGTCGCAATCAGATATAGCGGCGACGTGGTTAATACACTAGGGTTCCAAGACACCCCGAGAACGAAAGAAATGGCTATGGCGACGCTGCGCTTGTTTGGGAAGAATATCGTTGTCCGTCCATCACCGCCACCGCAGCTATCGCCACCGTCAACGACGATTTCTCCAGCTCCACCGCCGCTACCGCCATCGCCACCGCGGCCACCGCCAACGATGATTTCTCCAGCGCCGCCGCCGCCACCAAAAGCCGATGCGATCGAGCGAAAAGATCCGGCGGAAAGAAAGCACTGGCACCGGTTCGGCGACACGGCGGGAGTCGATCGAAAGCCGCGGTCGCGCGATCGAGAGGATGATCGACAGCGATCGGATCGAGAAAATCACCACCACCACCGCAAAGGCAGCGAGCGAAATAATCTCCAGCAGCAACGCGACGATCGAGATGGCGCGAATCACCACCGGCACGAATCGCTCCATCCCCGCCAAGATCGTCGGCCAGAGCGCCCGCATTATCCGCAAGAGAGGAAGGAAGGAGAAAAGGGTGGCAAGATCGACGAGGAGCTCTGGCATTACACGAGCTCCACCGGGAAGACGCAGGGCCCCTACAGCATCCACTTGCTCAAGAAGTGGCGATCGATGGACATCCTCACCGGCGCCATCCGCGTGTGGAGGCGCGGCGCGGCGCCCGCCACCGATTCCATCGACCTCGCCGCGCTCATCGATTACTACGACGAGGCTGGCAACGCCGGGATCCAGACCTGGATGTACCAGGACGCCAAGGGCGCGTTGCAAGGGCCGCGGTCGCTAGACGAGCTGCGCAGCCGGATTGCCAGGCTCCCGGAGGAGCTCAAGATCTGGAAGATCGGCCAGAGCCAGGAGCGCGTGCTGTTTAGAGATCTGGCGAAGATCGGTGACGATCGCGGCTCGAAATCTCCCCAGAGGCGACGATCGAGGGAGGAGGAGGAGGAGGGGGAAGAAGCGGCCAGGAAGAGGGCAAGAAGGGAGAGGGAGAGAGAGCGAGAGGAGAATCGCCATCACCACCACCACCATCGGGATCGCGATCGCGAGCGCGAGTGGAGGCCTCCGGGCGTGGCGTGCCGATTCTACGATAAAGGCTATTGCCGCAATGGGGCGAAATGCGCATTCCTCCATCTAACCTAAGGTAACATAAACCCTAAAATAGGAGAAGCCCTAATACTTCGATACATTATTCCAAGGGCCATTTGTTTGATGGGCTTGACAAAGTCAACTGCGAATAGTTGGACTAAGACTAGATGAAGCACGAGATTTCTCCACCGCGATGGATTTAAAAGGACTCGTGCTCCACACACGTAACACTCAAAAGAGTTGATTAATCGTTTCCGATGATGAAGTTCCTAGTGCTGATGTTTGCCGTGTTCGCGTGTTCTTCGGTGTTGTTGAGCTCCTCCGACGCTCTGGAGATCGGCTACTACAACAAGGTCTGCCCGCTCGCGGAAGCGATCGTCTCGGCCACCGTCTTTAAGCACTTCTTGCAAAACCGGACCGTCCCAGCGGCGCTCATCCGGCTGCATTTCCACGATTGTTTTGTGAGGGTAAAGTTCTTCTTGGCTTGGATCTTTGGATCATCAATGTTTATTTCTTTGGATCGTCACTCAATTGTTTGGCACCGACAACGTTCTAGCTAAATGACGTTATATGACTGTTCTTTGACAGGGGTGTGATGGATCGTTGTTGCTGGACGTTACACCCGGTGGCGAAGTCGTGGAGAAGGAAGCCCTTCCCAACAAAGGCTCCGTGCGAGGATTCGAGATCATCGACGAAGCCAAAGACGCCATCACCGCCGTGTGTGGAAACGTTGTGTCGTGCGCAGATGTCCTCGCCCTCTCGGCCCGGGACTCTTTCTTCCTGGTAAGTTTTGCAAGAACTCCTCGGTTAAAACTTTAAATTCTAATGTGGAGCAGACTAGTGGACTCTATTATAATTTACCCACGGGGAGATTCGATGGAAGAACGTCGCTGGCGTCGGAGGCTATCCCAAACCTCCCGGCATTTACCCTCACTGCGGCGGAGCTCAAGGCTAACTTTGCTAGAAAGAAACTCAACACAAACGATCTCATCGTCCTCTCAGGTGAACTTAGTATGATCCGGGAGCCTTTCACTGAAAGATGTGGGCAATCTTCGCAGGAGGACACACTCTCGGACGAGCAACCTGTGCGGCATTCACCCACAGGCTCTACAATTTCCAGAACACGAGCCGCCCGGATCCAACTCTCAGCCAGGACTACTTGAGGATCTTGCGTGGGATTTGTCCCCAGTCCGGGAATCCCAGCCCGCGGGTCCAGCTCGACAAAGGCACCGAGTTTATCTTTGACAACAGCTACTACGCGGAAATTGTCAAAAACAATGGGCTGCTCCAGACGGATCAAGAGCTCCTGTTTGATCAGGAGACCAGCGCGACTATCCGTAGCTTTGCCAAGGATAATCTCAGCTTCTTGAAGCAATTCTCTCAGTCCATGATCAACATGGGGGCGATCGAGGTTAAAACTGCAAAGGATGGAGAGATCCGGAGGAAGTGTAATGTTCCAAACAGTGGGCGCATATCCAGCCATGCAACTGAGTAAAAAAATAAGTAAGAAGAATAAAGAGAAGAAAACAAGTCAAACTTTTTAAGTATTGGCATTTGTACCTTTATTTGACATTATTTACAACCTTTTTTAAAAAAAGATTCCAAAATCAAATCAATCAATTGACAAACTCACACCGACTGCGGATCTGTCCCTGCTTTTCAACGAGCACCTCAATCCGCCCCATCTTAGTCATGGATCGTGCAAACTGGGGCCTGAAGATCGAAGGCTTGGTAGATTGCTCCACCAGGAATCTCGACCTTCGAGTCTCTAGGAGTGCAGCATCGGACTGGAGCAACCCCTTGTTTTGCATGATAAACTTGTAGTAGTTCGTATCAAATCCTGTGAGAGTGTCATCCAGGGGAACCTTGGTGACAAGATCTCCATGCTTGCACTTGGTTCTAAGGTGGGCTGCATAGGCAGGATCTAGAGATGGATCTGCATCACCTTTCCCAGTGAAATTGTAGAGCCGGGCATCAAAAGCAGCACAGTGAGAAAAGCCAATAGTGTGTCCACCTGCAAGTCAAACGAGGAATTAAGAAGTGTAGGTGTGTATAGATGCTAATGTAAACGAAAAGTTGGTGAAGGTGAGATTTATCTTACCTGAGAGTGCCACAAGGTCAATTACATTCAACCCTTTTGCAGCAAAGATGGACTTGAGAGTTGTGAAATTGGCAAAGAAGGGTGGAAGATTTAGGAGAACGTCTGAAGCATTGGAGATAATACCATCTCTCCGGCCAGTTGGAACGTCCCAAGAAGGTCCATAGATCTGTGTGATTGGATCAAAAAAGTTTATTAGAAAACTATGAGAGATAGATAAGAAATAAAAAACTTCTGTACCGTTTCTACTGAATCTCTAGCCGCGAGGGAGAGAATATCAGCACAAGATACTGTTTTGGGGCACGCTGCTTCAAGTGCAGCCTTTGCAGCATTGATCACTTCGAAACCTCTGAGTGACAAGTTTGGGAGTGCGTCTCTCTCGGCAATGCTTGTCTTGGTAGAGTTTAGTAGAATAGAGGCATCGCATCCCTGTATAAATCATCAAAAGAGTTGAGTTATAACCATGGGAAGAGAATCTAAATCACTAAGTTGTTAATCTTTGTTAACTCACCATTACGAAACAATCATGGAAGTGCATTCTCAAGAGTGATGCAGCCAGCGTTGGATCCCTTTTAACATATTGCCTCACAATCTTCTTGACAATCGCCTCCGCATTGACACATTTTCTTGTGCATTTGTAGTATCCCATCTTGAGAGGATGATATGATTGATAAGCAGTTGAAATCCAAACCAGTGCAAGCAGCAGTATTGCAATGAATCCAAGCCTTGGGAAGTTTGCCTCCATGATTCACACAAGAACTTCCCAAAAGCTGTGAATGAAGAACACCCTGAGAGACCAAGAAACCTCACCTAAAAGAAAGTGGTGGGATGACCACTTTGGGATCTAGGAAAGTGGACAGAGACTTTAAAGGGATGAAACGATGTCCTTACAAAACTTCCTAGTGACGAGCGTTCCACGCTCCCAACTTGGGAGCGATGTGCTATGTGCTCGCCAGGCTGACACACAAGAACGCCACCAACACCAACAACAACAATTTATCAAAGAAAATGGAGCATTGGCCTTCTAATCTCTCAAAGTCAAAGCCTCTTTTCCCGGAGCCACATCACACTACTCAAAACCAGTTGACTTGGTTTAGTAGTTCATGATATGGATACATATATGTTGTTAATATGTTGTTAATAAAGTTTGTTTTCTATTTATTCATTGATGACCAAGTGATGAAACATTAGAGTAATAGTTGAGAAATGAGCTAAGCTGTGAGCGATTGCAGACGTGCTCACACGTCTTCTTTGGATGCAACCCTTCACCAGATAGATGGAAGTATTATATGAGTTTTTCTTGCGTGAAACTTGTCTTAGCTTCAAATGCGATTTGGAGATTGGATTGAGCCAAGCAATGGCAAACCATTTGATTTTTAAAATGGTCAATGTGATCATAAATGCTGTTTTGGTTCAAGAAATCACGAGGCGACTTGGTCAGCAGAGACACTATGCAGTTCTTAGATTTCTTGGGAGTTTTTTAAGTTTCGAGAAGAAACTTAGTCAGTACTAGGAGAATTTTAGCGTTTGAAAAAACTTAGGCTTGAGTATACACCAAGTTATAATTTGAAAGCGCGTGAGATTTGAAACAATCAGAGCCGTTGGATGGGAGCTAGAATATGCTAAGAATTTCTACTAGCGGATAAGAATATACCCCCTTAGAAGCTTTCAAAAGCGCCTGACAAAATAGGACGGGTTGGCGCGCAAAAACGATGGCTACTACATTAAATCACCTTGTGTCTTACCTTGGATCCATTAGTATATAAAGTGTGGAACTTGGGAAGAACACCATATAGTCAGTGTACGAAAGAAGGAAAAGAACAGAGATATAGAAAGCCATAGCTATGGGAAGTAGAGGAAACTCTGTTCTTGCTATGGTTTTTCTTCTTTTGTTTGCCGGGAATGTGGAGGTCATTGGCCAGAGCAGTGGATTGCGAGTGGGATTCTACTCGAGATCGTGCCGCAATGTAGAACCCATTGTTAGAGGCGTGGTGCAGAGGTTTCTCGGTAGGGATAGGACGGTCACGGCGGCACTGCTGCGGCTCTTCTTCCACGATTGCTTCGTCCGAGTAAGTTTCCTGGCGATGGATAGTATCTGATACTTCATTTCCTCTTGGCAGGGATGCGATGCTTCTTTGTTGCTCAACTCCACGAGAACCAACCGATCCGAGAAGGAGCACGGAGCAAACGGGAGCGTCCGGGGGTATGATCTTATCGACGCCGCCAAGGCCGAGGTGGAGAGGCAATGCCGGGGGGTTGTCTCGTGTGCCGATATCGTGGCATTGGCGACGAGAGATTCGATCGCCCTGGTGAGTCTAGAGGCGTTCCTTGGATTGATTGAACACCATGGTGGTTTTGTTTCGATCGAGCAGGCTGGAGGTCCAGACTACCCCGTTCCAACCGGGCGGAGGGACGGGAGAATCTCCATCGTGAACGACGCAAACGTCTTGCCGGATCCAAACAGCAATGCCAACGGTGCCATCCAAGCCTTCGCAAACAAGGGCCTCACTCCGCAAGACCTTGTTCTCCTCCTGGGTATGTACGGAAAGAACTTTGGGACTCCTCCGTGAACCCCGGAAAAATGATCATTTTCTTGTTGTCAATGAATGTAGGCGCTCACACTGTCGGAATCACGCACTGCGGCTTCTTTCGCCACCGCCTCTTCAACTTCCGCGGCACCGGGCGAGCGGACCCGAGCATGGATCCGGCGCTGGTGAGGCAGCTCCAGCGCGCTTGCACCTCAGACTCGGTGGAAGTTTTCCTCGACCAAGGAACTCCATTCCGTGTAGACAAGGTCTTCTTCGATCAGCTCGTCTCCAACCGGGCGATCCTCATCATCGACCAGCAGCTCCGGGTGGAGCAAAGAACAGACGACATCGTCCGCGCGCTTGCAAACGGCACTCTCAACTTCAACGCCGCGTTCGCGCAGTCCATGACCAATATGGGCAACTTGGATGTGCTCACGGGCACGCGCGGCGAGATTCGAAGAGTCTGCAGCGCTGTGAACTAAAGAACCCAAGATTGTTTCCTCGATGATCGAGGCAGGAAAAATTCCATCTTTGTGTGCATTGCATTGTCGAAGGCAAGTTGATCGTTGTACGTAAAGTTCATATATATAAAAACGAGATCTTTGCAACAAATGGGCCTTGTTTTTGACCGATTTTGTCCAGATTCCCGTGGCTTGTGTGCCAGAACACATGTTCGGGAGATCGACCGTTTCTTTGGTCCCCACTATTCTATTTGGAAGAAAACGCGTGCATTGGATCGATCTAAAGGCTTCTCTTTTTAAAATGAAGAGATGGGCGACGACGTATGTGCGTCCAAGTCCAAGAGCTCGCCCAGCTCCTTCGCAGCTGTGGCGCTGCCAAGGATCTGGCCAATGCCCAACACGCCCATGCTCGATTGCTCGACAGCCCACTGCGCGGCAGCACCTATCTCGGGAATCTGGCGGTGGAAATGTATGGGAAGTGTGGATCACTGGACGACGCGGTCAAGGCCTTTCGATCGATCCACGCGCCCAATGCCTTTTCGTGGAACATACTGATGAGCGCGTTTGTGACCAACGGTAGAGTTGACGAGGCCAGGCGGGTGTTTGAGAAAAACCCAGTGAAGAATCTTGTCAGCTGGAATGTTGCTATTGCAGCAATTGCCGCAGGTGGGGATCTGGAGGAGGCGCGGCGATTGTTTGATGGGATGCCTTTCTACAGTCTCGTGTCATGGACGACGATGATCACTGCGTATACGGATTGCGGAATGGTTGACGAAACGAAAAAGTTGTTTCTTGCGCTGGAGCACAGAGACGTCATCTGCTGGAACGTAATGCTTTTGTGCTATGCCCAGAACTGGCATCTGGAGGAAGCCATTGCCCTCTTCAATGAGATGCCAGAGCGAGATGTTTCGTCGTATACAACGATGATATCAGTTTTTTCATCAAGAAATGATTTAGTAAATGCGAAGGATCTGTTTGATTCTATGCCGTTACGAACTGTAGCCGCTTGGAACTCTATGATTGCGGCACATGCCGAGAATTGGCAAATGGAAAAGGTGGCCATTGTTTTCTTTGAGATGCCCGAGTGGGACTGCTTCTCGTGGAACAGCCTCCTGGGCGCAATTGCGGAGTCTGGGAGGATCGAAGATGCAATCGTGATGTTTCAGAGAATCCCTTTCAGAGACACAGTTTCATGGAACCTGATGATCGCAGCAATGGGTTCTCGCGGCCATATCCACGAGGTGCAAGCTCTCTTCGCCATGATGCCACAGAGAAACGCTGTCTCCTGGAGCACGATGATCGGAGCTTATGCGCAGCAGGGACTGGCCGTGGACGCAAAGATCGTGTTTGATTCCATGGAGTCTCACGACACGGTCGCGTGGAACTCACTTCTTGCGGCCTACCTCGCGAGCGATCGAGTGGGCGATGCTAGAAAAGTGTTTGATTCCATGCCTGATCGAGACGCGGTGTCATGGACGTCGATGATCTCCGCCCATGCCATGCGGGGCCAGATGCGCGAGGCGAGAGCGCTCTTTGATTCCATGCCGCGGTGGGATGTGGCGGCGTGGAACGCGATCATCTCCGGCTACGCGAGGAGCGGCGATCTCGATGAGGCGCAGCTCCTCTTTGGTCGGATGCCCCATCGCAACGCCGTGACGATCAATGCCATGGTCGCAGCGCTCGCGTTTGGTGGCAGGATCGAGCAAGCCAAGCTTCTCTTTGATCGATTCGCATCGCCCAACTCTGCAATCTCCATGCTCGAGGCTTACGCCCAGTCCGGGAGGATCGAGGAAGCCAGGGCGCTGTTTGATCGCTTGAGCCCGGAGGATCGGGACTCTAGCGCGGTCAGAGCAATCATCAATGCGTATGCCCGGATCGTGGATGTCGCAGAGGCGTGGCGGATCTTCTCCCAAATCACCCATCCCAATGCAGCGAGCTACAACGCTATGATCGCAGCATTGGCCTCGAATGGGCATTTGCGCGAGGCAAAGATCCTCCTCTCCAGGGCGCGAGAGAGCAACGCAGTGTCCTGGAACACCATCTTCACGAGCTACATCCAATTCGGCCATCTTGGCGCCGCAATCGCGATCTTCCGCGCCATGCCAGATCCAAATCTAGTCTCGTGGACAGCGGCAATCACTGGCCTCGCCCACAATCCCGGATCGCATCGATCAGCACTGGATCTCTTCTGCGAGCTCCAGCAGGAGGGCTGGAACCCCAGCGAGATCTGCTACACGGCCGTGCTAGCGGCTTGCAGCTACCAAGGCTCGATCGAGGAGATCCAGTGCTGCTTTCGATCCATGCGCGAGGACTACGATCTGACGGCGTCGCCGGAGCATTACTGCGCGGTGGTGGATTGCTTGGGCCGAGCGGGGCATCTGGATCGCGCGCTGGATCTTGTGGAGTGCTTGCCTTTCGCGCCCAAGTTTGTGGGTGCCTGGACGAGCTTGCTGGGCGCGTGTAGCCTCCATGGTCGTGATCCAGAGCTCGCGGCGATAGCGGCAGAGAGGATTCGAGCGCTCAAGCGCGACAGCACGGCATCATACATTCTTCTTTCAAACACATATCATCAATCATTTGGTTGAAAAGGTGGTAGGGTTCGGGAATTCGGCGATGGAGAGCAAGAAGCGCAACGCGGAGGAGGATGAGCATCCGGGATCCAAGAGGAAGCAGGTAATGATTCTGATAGCGCATGCATGCAGGAGCCTGGTGATGCGATTTTTGAAGAAGATGCAGCGCGTTTATCTTCGCTATGCCTGGAATACACGGAAGAAGAAGAAAATTTCTTTGTTTTGTGCTGGCTACTGAGCTATGCATCACTATAGCGTATGTGTGATGTCTTTGATGCTTTAGAATTGGGTCCGCCTCTGACACTGTAATCGATCGCGGCAACCGATGTGGGAGGCGTACAACTGGGTGTTGACGGTAATGTCTTTAGTTTATGTTGTGCTGCACTGACGTTCATTCAAGGCCATTGTAGGTGCGAAGAAGTTTTGCGCTTGAATGCTCACATGGAGCTTAAAGACTTAGGTACCTGTTGTCTACTTTTCTCCTCAAGGAAAAATCACTTTCTGCTTCGCAGTGGAGTATCCAAAGCGGTACGAGCTGAACATGTGGTTCGGCGAATACAATACGTCGTTTATTCGCACTGGATTGGCGCTGCAAGGTAATCAGGAAGTCTGCTGGCTGCTGACTGGTGTTGACTAGCGCAGGTTTTGTTGACCAAGCTGCAGCAAGCTTCTTCACTGCCAGGGACGACGAATATGATCCGTCTCGCGCAAGGTCTCGTTGAGGGTCCTTACAACAGGCGCCATGGCTCGCCTCTTCACCCTGTGCACATACACGAGTGGTTGCTTTTTCCGCAAAAGATTTTTCAGGATGGCGTTCAAGTTGAGGACCATGAGATGGTCATTCCGCCTCTGAATGTGACTGTGACTTCGCATTCGATACTTGTTCTGACAAGTTTGTTCTGAGCAGCTGATCCTGGACGTGCTTGAGGGCATACACAGATTCCTGTTTTCTGTGACATACTGTTTTCTCTCACCCTTCTTCAGCTGTGTAGAGCTCTGTTTCAAACGGCCTTGAGTAAGAGCGGGTTTGTTCCTTGCTCTTTTTTCTTGTTCTCTTCTCTTTTCTTATTTCGTGTGTGCTGCAGTTGTTCCTGCAGATCCTGCCATGAAATTCTAGTCTAACTGCTGCGGCAGGACTTTTATATCTGCTGATAGGTTGTCTTTCGATCTGGATTGCACGACGGTAATGCTTTAGATCTGCTCTTTCTTGGAGTGGGTGTTGGTTATGTTTATGTTATTACAGGTAGGCTTTATATGATGATCCTCTTGAAGATGGCCAGAAGTGAGTGCAGAGTTTTAAAGCTGGATGCTTAGCATTGTGTTATTCTTTGCAGAAGAGCCACAATACTTTTTGGACGAGCATGAGAAAACGTGTGCCATGAAGTGGCTGGCGAACAAACACACCTCTAGGTAATGTGTCCGACTACGAACTGGCTGCTGGAGCGATCAAAACGGGCTTACTGCTCAAGGGCTTTAAGTATGGTGTTCCTCTTCAGAGATTTTCACCATTTGGAGTAGTCTTGACTTTGATATTTTGTTATTTGGACAGTAAATAAATTTTTTTTTCGCTCCAAAACTCCACACTGATCTCCTGGCATGAACTTCTTAAGGGTTCGAGAATTGAGAAGCGCAACGCGGAGGAGTTGCAGCACCCCAAGAGGAGGAAGGTTTTGGAGCCCCTTGCTATTTCTAAGGTTGGCAACACTTTGTACGTGCACTTTTATCATTTTTTTTACAAAAAGATAAAGATATGATAGAATGTTGGTGGAACTATGACAAAATCTTGATCTAATGTTTAAAATGTACCTTTCAGTTCATACAAATATTGGAGAGAAGCACATATGGAGAAGAAATGTCTGGATTAAGCTTCACTATCTTCTCAGCAGCCCGTGCAGCTCTTTTCTCGTCCAAGTGAACGTTACAAGATCCAAGGAGGCTCCCCCAGGCCACATCGTCTGCAGCAAATGGCATGGAATGGATAAGCTCCTCGGACTCGTACAGGAGTCCCGATCTTCCAAGCAAGTCAGCCACAAACAAATAGTGGGCTTTGAGCGGAGCAAGGCAGTGGTCCGCCGCCATCGCCAGGAAGTAGTATCGAGCGGCAACGAGCACGCCAATGTGGCTGCAAGCGAGCAGCACATTCAAGAAGGAGAATTCGTTTGGATTGACCCCGTCAAGGCACATAAGCTCGAGAGCGCGGAAGGATTCGCCATGGTCTTGTTGCGCAAGCGCTGCCAGCATCGCGTTCCAAGCCAGAATGTCTCGGTCTGGCATGAGGTCGAACACCTCTTGAGCAGCTTGCAATTCCCCGCAATGGGCATTTGCTGTCAGTAAAAGCGTCCAAGCGACGAGATCCCACGAAGGCATCTTTCCAAAAACATCTCTCGCTTCAGGAAGACCTAAGTTGTGAACGAAACCCGCAAGAATAGCTGACCAAGAGCTCGAATCCCTCACATCCATCTCTCGAAACAGGTGGTCGGCATTGTCAATATGCCGGTTTTGTGCAAACACGGTAAGCATAGCGGTTTTGGACACGACGTCGTGCCGCGGCATAGCGTCGTAAATCTCTTTGGACTTTTCAGCTTCACCTCGGATTCCGAGTGCGGTGACCAGCGGCGTCCATGAAACGGAATTCGGATCAGGCACAGACCTGAGCAGCTCCTCCGCCTGCAGCAAATACCCCGTCTCAGCATATGCAGTAGCCATCGCATTCACGGCCACCGCGTTCCACTTGGGCATTCTTGAAAACATCGCAAAAGCCTCTAGGACGCAGCCCTCCTGGCCATAGCCCGAGATCATCGCCACCCACGCAATAGCGTCCCTTTCGGCAATGGCATCAAACACAACCTTCGCCCGGTGTAGCTGGCCGTGCCGAGCATACGCTCGAAGCAAAGTCGTCCACGATACCACACTCCACTCGGGCATCTGGTGAAACATCTCCTCGGCTTCCCGGAGCCGCGAGTTCCATGCGTAGGCTCGAAACATCGCGTTCCAACTCACGATACTCCACTCCGGCATCCTCTCAAACAACGCGATCGCGTCTTGGATGTCCCCATAGTCGGCATAGGCCGTCAGCATGGCGCTCCACGAGATCACACTCAGCTCGGGCATCTGATCAAACAAGCTCTTCGCCTCGCGCAAATGCCCTTTTTGGGCATATGCTTGAAACGCCGAAACCCACGACACCGCGTTCCTGGCAGGGATCCGGGAGAAGAAAATCCACACGTCCGGAAGAGCTCCATGCTGCCCGAATCCAGCGATCATCGCATTCCAAGTAACATCATTCCTCTCGAGCATAGAATCAAAATGCCGCTGTGCATCCACCAAATGGCCATTCTGGGCATATGCACTGATCATGATGCTGTGCGAGAAAACGTTTGGAGCATCTATGTCATCGAAGGCAAGGCGAGCATCGCGGGCGCTGCCACACTTCCCATACATCTGGACGGCGAGATTGGCGATGAATCGGCTGCGCGAGTGGTCGCTGGCGAGAACTCGCGCGTGGAGCCGGCGGGCCTCTGCTAGATCGCCCATATCCCCACAGGCGCGCAGGAGATTCTCCCAGTAGACGCGGCATTCCTCCAATCCCTGTCGCAAGATTGGGCTGCTTCTCATCGAGAGTCATGATCCAAGTGGCATTTGTCAGGTTCTCTCCAAAGATGGAATTATAAGTCTTCGATGACCTAGTCTCCATTGACCAAGTCTCCTCCATTGACTATCTTCTTTAAATTCGCCCCATCGCAAGCAAAGAGACCAAGCGAAAAAGATGGCTGCTACTCAACAAGGGGAGTGGAAACTCGACATCAATGGTACGTTTGTAGCGTTGGAATTTTAGCTACAATGTCAATGTGGTGGTGGTTTTAGTTCTCGATGGGAAAAATTTGAAGAACACCGAATGGATTGGCAAGCAAGATCCTTTCGTGGAATTGGTGTATGGATCCAACAAGTTTAGAACCAGAGTTCTCCGGCGTGAGTTCTTCTTGTGCTTGATGAGAAAATTCGAGCTGATGATGGAAGCGTATCACTGTGGCAGATGGTGGCGTGAATCCTGTGTTTAACAAGAAGTTCGTGGCGTTAGTGATCGCGGGGTGCCAGGAGATCAGTGTGGAGGTTCGGAACGACCACTCGCTCTACGATAACCTCATTGGCCGCGGCACAGTTCTTCTCGACAAAGTCTTGGCATGCGGCTACGATGATCGCTGCTGGCCGCTGCAAACAAAGAAGGGAGAGTATGGATCAGAAAGAGAGAACTTATCTTTGCTCACTTACTTAGAAGCGGGTACTTTGCAGGGACGCGGGTGCGCTGAGGCTGATCTTGCACACCAGGAAAGTGGCTCGACGTTCTCCCTCTGCACAAACAGAGCATCAATCCAAGGTCGCATTGATTGGAAGTGCCCTGAAGAAATTAGTGAAAGGCAAAAACAAAGCGAGCGAAAACAAAGGAGAAGGAGAGGAAGGAGAAGGAGAAGAGGAGGAAGAGGAGGAGGAAGACGAGGAGGAGGAAGACGAGGACGATGACGACGATGACGACGAGATTGAGTTTGACTTCTAATTAAAAGTATTAAGGAAACAAATGGATAAGTACAATACCTGGCCTTGCGATCGAACTAAAGTTTGGCAGCGGGCCGAACAAGGTCACGCTCTTCAGTTCCTGCTAGGACACCTTGGTTTCAACAAAAGCCGCAACAAAGAAGGGATTACCTGATGCATAAATACATTGCATATGCGCCTTGAGCTTCAGCGATTTGTAGACAAGGTATAAGCGGCTGCATAAAGAACATTTGCTAGAAACAAAAAGAAAAGAAAAGAAAAACTACTCGCCTTTGATTTTTGGCAAATCCCTGGCTGCCCCGCCTCCTTTGTCGCAATGAAAATCTGGGATGTGACCACTTCTGGTGAATCCGAAGGATGCCTTGGACTGTTTCACGTGCTGTTGCTGCTCGTAACTTTGGCCTCATTCATATGATCTCGCTCTCTTTTCCTCTGCCAAAGCAGCCACTCGAGCCGGGCCCAACCAACAGCAGCACATGGAGCCACCATCCCCTGCACACAAAAGGTGATAAATTAGAGCCCAGCTGTTGCTAAATGCAATGCAACCGGCAAGAGACTTTAGCACAAAAACTACATGCCAGGGCCAGCAGAGAGATTGAAATAAAAACTAAAGTGCCGAAAAAGTACCGTCTGAGATTGACCCCTGCGTGTAGTGTTGTGCGGGTGTAGCAGTTTTTATGGGGAGTCCCGTGACGAAAGTTGTCGTCCTGCACAAGCGTATCAGTTTACATTCCTTTGGCAGCTCTCTACCTGGAAAATGTTAACGAATGGCTCCGTCCAGTGGATGGAGATTCTCGACAGAATACACGGCGTCGATCGCGTAGCTTGTGGACGTGGTTAAATTATTCCTAGGCCAGAACCTGTGCAATCATTTTGCCAAGGAAAACAAAAAATAATCAGTGAGATTCAGACCATACTTCACATAAAGTACGTACCTCTAAACTTGAAGCCATATTTTATCTCCGGTCCCATCTTTCCGCAAGCATTCTCCTGTTGATTACCAGCTCTATTTCACCTTCTACGAGCTCTAGAAACACGGGCTAGCAAGTAGGACCTGCGTCGCTGGAAGTAAAAAAAAAAGAGAGAGAGAGAGAAGAAAACCACCAACATCACACTCAGTGGACAGTGATGCTTCAAGGGTCAGCCATAGCCATTAAGAAAAGGACGACATTACTCTGGTCTCAAAAGATGTTGTCATTTCTGGTGTTTCAAAGCTATGGTACAATAGAAGTTGTAAGAGTAACAGTCAGCCGACTACCACATCCTGAAAGGAAAAAAAAAATAAAGAACACTACACTTGAAAACTTAGCTGAAAGTGCTCGAAATCACGATCTTACGCTTTGTTGTGAGCCTCCCAGAGGGTTGGAAAATGAGAACCCAGAATACTACGCGCGCCGCATCGTTCAAGGGAAGAAGAAGAAGAAGAAGAAGAGAGCTTTAGCCTGTCACCGCTTCTCGTAGTTTCCAGACTGGAGCGAACCATCCCTGAGTAGACGAATGCTCAGACTGTTGTACCGTCCTCTCGAGTAATGTCTCGAAGCCTTCCGCCAGTCGGTTCCAGTCCGCATCATCGACGCAAACTCCTCATAGCTTATCTTGCCATCCTTGTCCAGATCAACCTCCTGGAGGATGTCGTCGATCATCTCCGTCTCGCTGGCCCCACGATCATCGTACAGAGCTTCTCGAAGCTCCTCCTTCTCAATGAATCCGCTCTCGTCCTTGTCCAGCCGGTTGAAAGCCTTCCGCAGGTACTCATCATTGTCCATCCTCTGTATGTGGATCATCATGGCCACGAACTCTTGGTAGTCAAGCGTCCCCTTGTTATTCACGTCCGCCGCTTCCATCAGCAGCTTCGCCTCGCTCTCCGCCAGCTGCGAGCCAATCTTCGCCAGGCCAACCTTGAGCTCGTCGTACGTGATGCTGCCCTCATTCTTCTGGTCCATCACCTTGAACATGTCCTTGTAGCTCTCGACCTCGTCACCCGACAGAAGCTCCGTGATCATCTGCAGGGCCTTCCTCTTGAGCTTGTTCATCGCTGAAAACTGCTTCAGCCTGTTCCTCACGACGTCCCCCAGTGGAACGTTCGACGCCTTCTTCGCGTTTTGCAGCCACGGGTGATCGAGGACCTGCTGAGCCGTGTAGCGTTGCTTTGGATCCGGCATCAACATGTTTTGCACGAGCGACTTCGCGTTCTCAGATATCTTTGGCCACGGGTCCCGCTTGAACTCGATCTGGCCGCGAAGAATAGCCTGCGCCACACCCTGCTCCGACTCGGCCCAAAATGGTGGGACTCCCGACAGCAGAATGTAAAGGATCACACCCGCGCTCCACACATCGATCTCCGGCCCATAGTTCCGCTTGAGAACTTCGGGTGCCATGTAGTATGGGCTCCCCACAATCTCCGAGAACCTCTCTCCCGGCCTGAAGAAGACGGACAACCCGAAGTCGATCGCTTTCAGTGGCGAGTTCTCCTTCTTGTTCGCGAAGAGGAAGTTCTCCGGCTTGAGATCCCTGTGCATGACGCCGTGCTTGTGGCAGACTTGCACGACCTCCACGATGGTCCTCGTGATCCCGGCAGCCGCCCTCTCGCTGTAGTGGCCGCGTGCAATGATCCTGTCGAACAGCTCCCCTCCCTCGCAGAGCTCCATCACCAGGTGGACAGCATTGCCATCCTCGAAAACATCCTTGAGCGCCACCACATTGGGATGCCGCGGCAAGTGGTGCATGATCTGGACCTCCCTCCTCACGTCGTCGATGTCCACTGCCGTCCGGAGCTTGGATTTGGAGATGGACTTGCAAGCTAGATCCTCCTGGCTCTCCTTGCCCGTGCACAGATAGGTGATGCCAAATTCTCCGCGGCCCAATTCCTTGCCGAGAACGTACTTCTCGTTGATGTCCACTCCCTGCTGGACGGACATTCCCGGCGCATGCTCCTTCATTATCACCTTGGGCGGCCCGGTCCCCTTGAATCCATCCTGAGCAAAAGGATTGGGCTTTCGCTCCTTCCTCTTGATACCTGGCGTCGCGCAGCAGTTCCCCATTGCCGCTGGAGATCCACAGATCACCGGATGCTCAAAAGCCTCTCGGATCTGTGCCTAAAGCCCCGGCGAAAAGACTCGTGCGATGCGACTCGCAGATCGCGCCGCCCGGCTCCCGGAGCAGATCTGCGCAAGCTATATCAGAATGTAGCCAGATTTCGAGCGAAGAAGCTATCGATCTACCTCAAGGCGCTTACCGGCCAGCGAGCCCCTCGTGGAATCTAGCCAAACCCCAGCAGCCAGCTCCCGATGCCGATATTTCACGCTGCCGACCGTCGAGAGATGAAATCCGGGCAAATCACGAATCACGAATCCCGCGGAGCGATAGAGAGGCGCCGCCGGCGCTCGCGCAGCGCCATGCTCCTCCGGCCCCCGGGAAAACCCTAGCTAGCACGCCGCAAAACCCTAGCGGCATCCACAACGAAGCCGAGCTACCTCGCGAGAGGAGTGAAAAGAATGAGTGAATCGAGTGAAATGAACGGCCTGGCATTTAGGGACAGTGTCCTTAGAGCGTAAGCCAGAGTCCTCCGGGGGTCAAAGAAACGTTGCTTTTTGGCCGCCTACGTGTCACGAAGCTCAGCCGTGGGATATTCGCGCCGGCATATTCTCACGTTTGAAAGTTCCCTGTGGGCAAGTTGGTTTGGATGGAGGTTTTCTTCCGTACACACTACCTATTGACAGCATTGTACGGTCAGGTTCCTATGTTCTTTGCTAAACTTAAAGACTTTAGAAAGCAAGTGTTCTTCGCGAACCTTGATCGCATGAGAGAACAAACGCGCAAACGCGCAAACGCGCACTCTCTCGATTTCTTTTTTACATTCCTCGAGTGAGACCAGTTTACACACCACCATCACCAAACAGTTATATAGTATATAGGTATGTCATCTTCGTCGTGGTCTCTTTTCTTTCTTTCTTTCTTCTTTTCCGCGGTCCAAAGTCTTTACCCTGCGTCCCACCCAGTCAGTGTTGATGTTGTTGATGGATTTATTTAGAGACCTTGACAATGTGTCGCGATTGTAGAGCTTCCCTCACGTCACCGGTGAGCTCCTGATAAAAAAAAATATAAGAAAAACTTCCATCCCTTCCTGCATTTTCTCTCCGGACTTTGTTAAGCTCACTCGACCTTCGCCTGGATCGTTTTTGTCAAAAATCTGCTTGCTGCTCGCTCTGGCGACCGTCCCAGCACCGAAAGTTAATCTTCCCTACTCGTACATATCCCGCTGCTTCGCGGTCCCAAAAAACACGAGCTCGTTGTACACTGGTCATCCATTTTCGGCTGCTATCGGCTACTCGATTGCTCTGGAGACGATGCTGCCGGGATCCGTGGCTTGGCCTCGATCTGGAGCTTGCATCCAGCACTGACCCGGCCTGGAGCTCCTAGTCTTGAGACCACGCTATCATCCCTGACCTTGCTACTCGAAGATTTAGTGGAGTCCCGTTTGTCGTCAAGACCACCTTTCAAGTTACCAGGTTGTTGATCAGTTGTTCTACCAATCTGTGGTTTCCCCTCGACTGATATCCTGTTGATTCCATCGACCTCTTGCTTTCCCAATTCGGACTGGCCACCACTGTCTTGTCTGAGCTTTTTGTGTATAGAAAAGTCGCCTAGATGAGGCCTCCGCTTAGCATGAGGCCAGTGTTCCGATCCATCACTCTTTCGAGGACGGCTTTTCCCATTGCTAGGGACAAGGGAATCGTCATCTTCATCGTCATAGTCAACCAAGCAGAATGGTCTGTAGGGACAAATTAGCAAGAGAAAAATCTTCCAAAGAGATGAACGACTAACCTGAATGGCGCATCCTCTACTGCATTGCCATTGACTGTGATAGTCTGAGACGTTTGTGCGCTGTCCTCTTCGTCATCACTGAGCAAGTCGGAAGTTAAAAACCAGTGCCTATAAAGTAAAGCAGCACGTACCTATCCTCGTTGAAATAATCTTCTTCAGCCTTATCAAGTGCACGTTCGTCTTTCCTTTTCCTTAGACTGGGAAGCGGGCCAATAAAGCGGTCGGAACTAGTTTCTATTCCACTAGGTCCGGCAGGAGCTTCTCGATTAGACGTAGTAGAATCATCCATATACTGCTAAGTAAAACATTAAAGAATGCGAAAAAAAAAAACACTCAAACTCTGCTCACCTGGTCATATTTCACCTTCAGTTGCTTAACAGTATCAACATAGTCGACGCATTCCAGCTTTTTGCCGTAGTTTTCAACAATATGTATGAGAAGATCCTTCAAATTCGACTGTAACAAAAGAAATTAAGCTTCGTAAAAAGTATAGCAAAGATTTACCTTCCGGATAAAATCAAGCAACTCCAATACAGCTGAGTTAAGAAGGTTATATCGGTTTCCGTTAGCTAAAAACGCCTGAATAACAGGCTCAAAAAGATTATTCTTAATAAGGTACCGAGCATAAAAGTTATCCTGTAATAATGGCGTTAGTACCGAACCACATCGCACAAAACCATCACCTTAAGCCCCACACAAGTTCGGAGGAACCTCACAGCCGCGACGACAAGGACTTTTTCCTTCCTTCGAACAAGGCGCAAGACCTTCTCTACAACGTTGTTCCGCATCACGTAATACCTGCAAACAGTCTCTTAGCTTGATTAAATGAAAGTAGCACTTACTTCATCCTGTATCCATGATGCAGTACGCAAAAGCACATCAATTCACAAATGTTGCCGAGCACCTCGCCAGATGCTTGTGTTTTCTCTACCGTAGGGACTCGCTTCGAATGTTCCGTAACCACCTTTGTCGGACAGGAAGAAGTTAACACTTCAACAAGCTGATCTATGTATTTTTCATAGAACATCTCCAAGTACGCAATCTTTTCGGTTGGCTGCTGCTTTCCAACTCCAAAAATCAATAAAAAATGCAAAAACACTAAAATTGACCTCATACCTGTTCTGATGGTTCAGAGTCCAAGAGCATTCTCATTATTTCGAGAATTTGTGCTTGCAACCCTCCTTCAGAGGAGTTCAACAGACCCTTGACCTGGACAAGAACCATCTTAGTATCTATTGAAAACAAGATTTGCAAATACCAGAAGACCAAAAAGAACGTGACCCTCTTGCTGCACAAGAAAAGTACGTAGCAAAGCAGCATCATGATTGAGAATTACAATCAGGATATCGCTCCTGCAAGACAAAAAAGATAAACGAGGATTCTCAAAAATTCGAGTGACTTACCCACTTACACGCAGATTTAAATCTTCACTTTGAAGAGCCATTGTAACAACTTCAAAAATGCCTTTCTCAACAAGGGAGCTGTAAAGCGACGATCAAAGTCCAACATCAAACTAATGTGTTCATACCCGAAAAGTTCCGAGCGGTGAAGAGAAAGAAGATTTTTGCTAAGGTTGCAAAACTCGTGCAGGAAGTATATCTGGAAGAAACAGTCTAAGCATAAATTCAATTAATCAACGAAATAAAAACTTACCAAATCGTTTCGAACATTTTGAGAGATGTCAGGGGATCGAAGTTTTGCAAATAGATCACTTACAAATGTTTTATCAGAATGGAGAGCAGAGACCACCTAAAATGTAGAGTTAATAGCAGGCCGTGTCACACAATGCAAATAAAAATTACCGCTTTGTTGTTCGCTAACATCATCGAATTCATATTGGCAAACGTTTGGTCATCCAAGACACGAGGTAAAATAACATCCTGCAAACATGGAGTAGTCAGAACAGATACTACAGTCAGAGTAAGAGTATGAACCTTTACGTAGCCGATTCTATAGGTTTGGTGAATCTTCGACACAATGGCTACGTCATGTATGGGTACAGCCTACATTTAAAATAATAAGAAGCTTCAAAACCAACGTACACAATTACCTCCTTAAAGACAACTTGAGTTTTTAAGAAACCCCGATGATCTTGTTGAGAGGAAAGTTCAGGATCGTCTAATATCCAAAAGATCAGAAACAGGAGAATGAAACCTTCGGTCTTACATTCTAATGCGCCCACCACGTCCATGACGTGTTCATCGCTAAAAATAGTGTCGAACACATTCTTGTCGTTCAAAGAAACTGAAAATGAAAGGAACATCACAACTAGGCAACCACAATTTGAAACCTTACTCATTCCCTTGACTATCCGGAAGATCATGTGAAGGTTTTCAACGTTTTCCAAGTCCTCGCAAAGCCTGAACAGCTCCATCAGTTTCGGGATATAACTTTGCTGATTAACACATATTCGAGCATGAGAACTTGCCTCAAGAAAACTTAGACGAGTTAACAACTTACTTCTTTCATTATTAGCGAAGCTACGCGGTCTTTGTCGGGGGGTGCAACTTCCGCGATCGTCTGAAGGGATGAAAACATGTCAAATATGCCACCAAGAATAACCTTTACCTTCACAATCTGCGGAAGCGAGGATAGCTCAACGCCGGGTAATTGTTGAATTTCACTGCTACCACTATCGTGGAGCACATCATCTGTGGCACAGTGTATCAGTATAGTTCTGTAAAGAACTATGTTCCAAAATGATACCATCGTCTTGAGATGTACCAGAATGTTCCAATTCGTCACTTGTAACACGGGCCCCGTTTTCCAAAGCTGAGTAAAGGAAGGTATCAGAGAAGGAACATTACTGTTTACAAGTGTACCTCCAACGTTGGTATAATGAACGACAGACCTTCGAACATTACAAATTTGCTCCCTGCAGCTCAAACTTTCAGAAGAATCCCACCACGCACACAATCCATACCAGATAAACCCACACCCCATGGCCTCTTGGAAGCTCAGAGCCAGATCTGTGGCAATCTCGGGATCCGTCCATGAAATAATCGTTTCTAGAGAGCACCAAAAGCATCAGTATAAATCCGCAAAGAGCAAGAGCGCAGTAGAACCTGCCTTCCTGCCGCCTATAGATATCGTCCGCCGAGATCCGATGAACTAGAAGCGTGTTGTTGTCTTCCTCGTCAATAACAACCATGCCCAAAGCATCTGATCTCTGCAGAAACGAAAGCAAAACATATGAGACAAAGTTGCGAGCAAGCTGGCACAAACCTCAAGGTACTCGACCGAGACATGGCCCGTTCCTTTGTCATCCCACCTTCCTTCATCGTTCAAGCGGTATACCTTTACACGCTGAACCGCAAGCAGATGCAAACTCTTATACCAATCGCGAAAAAAAAGGGGGAGAAAAATTCAGTATCAGTTAGCTGCAAGCTACTGCTAAATCGCTACTTCTACCAAAGGAGAAGGAGGAACAAAAAAATAAATCCTTGCGGGAACAATGAGACTCACCTGAAGGTAGTTCAAGTCGAGTTGAGTGGCGGCTTCGTTATTACTCTGAGAGGAAGACATGACCTTGGAACCAAGCGCGCGCGCGCTACTCACAGCTCCATCCATTCCGCCATTGGAGTAACCCTAGGCCCACTTCCCAGAAAACCCTATCCTGCCGGCTTCCGCTGCTGCTGCTCCACCTAAAACCCTAGAAATTCCCCCTCGCAGCTCACACCATTCTCGGCAGGGAAGGACTAGCAGCGCCACGCTACCTGCGAGCACGCCCGCGCGACAGCGCGCCGAGAATCCCCGTCCGCCATAGCCTCGCACCTTGGCGCCCTAGACGCGTGCGCGAGTCCAAACCCAAACAAGACAACACTACTCAAAAACACACACACTTTTTTATATTTCACCCTGGGGACATTTCTACCATGGGAATTATAGAACTTAAAACCATGGTACATTTTGTCAAAAAAGGGACATTGATTGCGAAGTTCCTGGCATCCAAAAGTTCGCGATTTCAAGCGCCATTGTCTCCTCTTTTTCTGGGAAAGAATATCCTGTTTAGTCCCCCTTTTGCCACAGGGATTTTCCACACACGAAAAGCGTCAGTGCCGCGCACAGCATCACGAGGGGAGTGCCAATTACACACCCGTTCTGTACGAGATTCACCAAAGTCTACAGGAAAAATACGAAGAGAGAAAGCAATTTTTACTTCTCGATTGTTAGAAATTTTATGGAAGAACTTTACCAGCGAGGAAGCCACGGCGTGCATAGCGGGGACGAAGAATCGGAGGCCACTGTTGTGGTCTTCGTAGCCTTTGAAAAATATAACCATTGAAAATGTGTGGATCAATAGAAATCCGAGTGAGATGAGAGCTGTTCTAACAAAAAACAGACACCAGTTAAAAAGCAAAAACCTTGAGAAAAAAAGACCAAACTTTACTTACAAATCACTAGAAAAAATGGCATTTGAGGACACGAGCGAAGGTAAAATGTCCCGGGTCCAAACGCCGGTGTAAGCAGGCTCAAGCAAAACATGATCGAGTGAGCCAAACCATGGCCAAAGCCCAGAGCTGCAACCATCAAGAGATTCAGACTGCGAAAATTAAATCGATTGCCTCTAACTATGATACGGAAAAACAAGTTTTTTCAAGCTTACCAATGGCGATCTCGATCTTTTCACTGGGTCTAAGAGGAGGCTTCGAGATCCTGACCGCAACACCATTTAGAGAAGACTCCACTTTCCTGATCAACACTTATTTCCACCTCCGAAAAAACAAAGAAAGAGCTCTCTTACTTGAAAGTTCGCCAGAAGTGAACTCTAAGAAACTCCTGAAGAGCCACTGACGAAGCTAGGAGTGGCAAACAAATCCAATCGGAAGAACCCAAAGGAAGAAATCCCCTCCAAACGATCGCAAGCGCGACGAGAGATGCGAGCCATACCAGCGTGCTGAAAAAAAGCACCAAGGAAAATCAATGCGATGTATCAACTTATCAAGACCATACCTTGCAAGGAGCGTAAGAATAAGAAGGGGCTTGGACACGATAGAGAGGAAGAAGAGACTAAACCCCGGCCCAAGCGCGATCAGTGTGTACCCCACACCGCTAGCTACTGTCATCACCTCAAACCCTAGAAATTTACTCTAGAACTTCCCCCCATCTTCTAAAAACTTTGATTTTTTTTCGAGCTCTTCATCTGTTCTTCGATTTTTTTCGATCTTCTTCTCTGTTCTCTGTCCGCCAAGACGAACAAGCTAGATGAGTATATCAAAGAGATTTCTAGAGAAGCGTAAAGAATTTAAGTTTATAACTTACAGATTGTCCCACCGAGTACATGAGAATGCAACACTCTGGGAGTTTGCAAAAGACCGTCAAGGAGTCCTGGGAAATAGAATAAGGTGCAAACCACGTCACAAACCATGCATGCTAAGTAGCCATAGAGCTATATGCTGCTGCTAAAATCAAAGAAAGAGAGAGGCACTCCACGCACATTTGGAAAGAGTACAAACGATGACTGCTCATCCCATCTTCGTGATGATCCGACTCTCTCAGAAACGCAAGCTTGTCTGTGCAAAACACACACACACGCGCGCGCGCGATTAGGATCATGTTCTCGTCCACTTTGGATCTTACCACCAATGACTTCTACGGACGTCGCGGGGTGAAAGATCTCTCGACCTCTCCCTTATACGCTCGCGAGAAGGAGACCTTGATCTGTAGAACCAAAACTTAGCACAAGAAAGCAAACGAGAACTTACCTCCTGCGACCACGCTCCCTCATGTATCCTCTATCTCTATCTCTTTCTCTTTCTCTGTCACGGTAAGATCTCTCCCTGCGTTCTCTGCGATCATTTTCTCTCTCGTCGGGCTCCTTGCTTGCCAGAGCCCGTTCTCGAGCCCTGCTCCACAAGCACACACGGTTAAGCTCAGCCTCGAGACGCCAAAACTACACTCCTACTTTTCTTCTGCAAGTTTCCGCGCCTTTTCTTTTTCCTCCTGCAGTTAAAGTTGAAAGGCCGAGCTACTAGCAATCATCCGGAAGATTACCCGAAGTTCGCCGAGCTTTTCGCGGATGCGCATGTATCCGAGGTGAAGCTTTCCACCAAAATGATCAGCGAGCCGTCGATCACTGCATGACATGAAATGAGATTTTGACAAGAATACCACATCAAACTACAGTACCTGTCGTAGATGCTAAGATATGCTCCACATATATCACAAACACGTAGCTTCTGATCAGTCTGTAAACTATCACGGATTAGCATAACCACACAAGTTAGGAGTATCAATATACGAACAGCTCGTGCGTCCTGTTGAAGCACCTTGTTTGGGTCCGGAGCCATATCATACCTCGAGACAAGCTGTGCGGCACATCAGATTCTTAGCCTGACACTTATTACAAATATTCTCGCAAGTGGTACCTTTTTCAACGCTTCTGCCTCTTCCAGGGCCTTTTGCGCTTCATCCACCAAGCCTTGCTCACCTAGATCGCATCAAAACCAGTGAGGAAAACACAACAATCTCTAAACGAAATATATTTACCCAACACTTCTGCCTTGTTCAGCTTCTCCTTGATCATATCCTGGGTCCTTGCATCGGGAGGAAAAGGCATATATGGAAGAGGAGCCAGTGGAGGCGCATTTCCTTGCAAAAGTAAAGCTCTGTCCTTGTTGAACGCTTCTAGAAGAGATAGAGCCTGAGAATAAAAACAATGACATTCAAAAGGAAAACAAAATTTTGAAAGAAGGAAGAAAGCATACTTGTCTGTCTGCTCTCGTGGATCTAAGCGCCTCCACTTCTCCCATCACTCTGATTTTATCATCGGTTTTCCCCTCCAGCTCTAAAATGGAAGAAAAATGTTAGCTAGCATCCCCAGGATCATCAACTCTCACCTAGATTTTCGGCGATTCTAAGCTTCTCTTTGATCTGTCTTGTGTATTCGAGTGCTTCCGAGGACTGCGAAAGTGATTAGCGAAGATGAAACTCTGAAACCAACAAAGACGATCAACGCTCACCCTGGTCACCTCCGACACTGCAATAGCAGTAGCAGCATTCACATCATCCTCTTCTATTCGCTTCAAAGCACGCTGGATCTTCCTGTCACACTCCAAAACGTGTTTCTCCAAGCATTCTTCCAGCTCTCTATTATAACACTGCTTGGTCTGCTCGTTATACCTGAGAACACATCGTAATGAGGAAAAAACGAGAGAGAAAAAATTAATCTACTCACTCTTTTCGCAGTTGCAAGGAATGGATCTTTGGGCAGACGCCTAAATCCATTCTCTGTGGAAAACCAGATGCAATAACATCTAGCGCTGTGGATTCTAATCGATGATTACCGTGAGCTGGAAGAGATCGTGAGGACAGAGGCCAGCAAGGTAGAGGCGACAGACATCCCGATCGGAGAACTTGCGCTGCACTTCCTGGACATCGCCGTTGCGATTGGCGCCCATGAGGGCGTCCAGCTGCTTCCGGAAGGAATCCATTGTCGAGCCCTAAAACATAAACAAAGTTCAAGGCAATCTATTTAAATTAATGAGTCTCAATGAATCTAAAATGAATTAATATTTAGAAAAAAATATTTAATCCATTATCTCATATTACTTATAAATTTTTTGAATATTTTCGGATATTTTAAATCATGCAATTTTCATTGACTAGAGTTTAGCCTTCAGGGAATGAAAAACAAACTAAACTCATGTTGTGCAATCTAAAACTAAAAAATTCCCAACGTTAGAAAAAAGTGTACATAGTCACGTTTGGGACATGCCACATATGCAGCCATGTCATCTATTATTTTTTTGAATGATTCAATTTAACCCACGATTCGTGGAGCTGTGGAGTTTGGCATATACAAAATTGCGCAAAGTATTGTAAGATCTTGTTGTGAACGATCAGTGAGTGACTTTTATAGACAACATTTGGAAGCCACATTTGGAAGTGATTTCTCTCATGAAAGTTCTTAGCAGCTTGAGAACATCCAAGATGCCGACTTGTGTCATTCACAAGCTCATCACGGTGTGTGGCTACAAGACCGTGGTCAAGTTCTTCCCTCACCAGCCATCAGAACTCGAAGTATACAGTTGCCCTCACTGCCTTGGGCTACTTGACAACGAGCACAGCATCTTCGTCACCTCTCGTCGAGAGAATGCTGAACTTCTGCAAGCAGTTCTTGTCATGCTCTGGTCCTGTTTGCGAAATGGCCGGAGTCGTTCTGTCCGGACTTTTGACGCAGCCAGATATTCATTCTCATCTTCTCGGGTACGAATAAGTTCTTGTAAATGATCTTAATTAGCTTGAGTTCTTCTCGGCGCATTCATGGCCTGGTCACACGATGCACTGAAAACACCCCAAGGCAGCTCTACTGGAGTTTTTTCTTATCCCTGGTACTGTCAATGCACAGGCTAGAATTTTTAAGTTGAGATGTCCCCTGCGTTAACGCATTCTACGCAGGTCGGGGATCGTAGCATTCTTCTGGAAATTGCACCTGTTCCATGGAAGGAAGTGAGTACGCTATCTGACTCGCCCGTTGCAACTCCCAGTCCTTTGCTACGGAAGCTTCTCATCAAGCTTAGTCAGTGCATCAGCCTAATGTATTTGCCTCCGAAGCTAGCGGCTTGGAGATACATGGTTCGTGACAAGTTATATGCAATCAGATTTTACTTCTGTCTATCTTTTGCAGCTTGGCATGAAGTCTCTTTTCCAAAATCTGGAGAAAACAAGCAACGTGTTGCCTGACGATGCCTCTGCCCCCACCGCTGAACAGGACGAGGATGGCTGCAACTTCATGGTGGCTGTTAGAAAGAGAAGGAACTCAAATCAGTCTCCAATTCGAAATAAATAAATGCACTTACAAGATGGACACTTCTCCACCACCAGATTGCATGCAGACAGCCTCACTATCGGGAGAGCTTCTCACCTTCAGCACACAGAAATACGAATCTGGGAGCAAATGAAAAACTTTCACCTTGTGACTCTAGGAGTGGCGCACTTCACAATCGGTTCACTCCAGCTTTCAACAGCACGACGTCTTGGCAATCTACGTGATCTATCAACTTCTTGGATGGTTTGCGTTCTCAGTGTGGTTGATCAGCTTCTATCCGCAAGTGCTGCTCAATTGTCGGCCAAAGAGGTACGCATTGATCACCGCTGGAAGAAAACTATTCCTATTCCTCGATTTTACGTTTTGCTTTCTTTTCTCAAGCTAGTTTTCGAATGTTTGCAGCGTCATGGGACTTAACTTTGATTTCCAGGTGCTGAACTTCACCTAGCATTCCTCATATCTCATTTACAATGCGACCGTCTTCTTCAGCCCTGTTGTTCAAATAGAAGTACAGCAGCAATGAGGTGTGTAATTGAGTGATAGACGAAGAACTCTGAATCCTTTTAGCTTTCTAGATGATTCCAATTGCTCTAAATGACATTGCTCTCTCCATCCACAATTAAAAATGATTTAGTGCATACTAATGCTTGGTTTGTTTAATAGTAGTGCTTATTATTTATTAATCTAATTAATAGTGCAAGTTTCCTCTATGAGGTAAGAAACAAAAGCTAAAGAGAAAGGTGACAAGCTTATAACTTTGGTGTCTATTTAGAGAGGAAAAGTATAATGAGACCCCCATTTTTAGAATTAGGGTGTGCATTTGATTCAGACTTGTCTGAGATGCAATAAAAATTCTTATATGGCACTAATGTGTACAAAACTATGCAAACATGGCATGCATGCCAATGCATACTTATGCATTTGAAAAACATTTGCATCCAAACATTGATTTGTGAGCTACTTGTCTTGAAAAGGTGGAGGATGTGAACCATGTTGTCAACAATTGTCTGACATATAAACAATCCCTTAGGCTAACCATGTCATTGTTGGTAGTACAAAATGGACAATCCAACTATATAAATTCTTACAAGAGATGGACTTCATATGTCAAGCTCTAGTAATTTACACTTGCAACTCCACTACATCAACCATTACCCAAAGGGTAACAGTGAGGAAGAGGAAGAGATTCGGGTGATACTAGACACACTAGAGGTGGAGACAGATATTGGCTGCCAAACACTGGAGAAAATCATTTGTAAAGCTTATTTAAATCCCTCGTAAGATCATATAAATAAAATATGAATGAAGGAATGAATGAATTTATCTTGTAGCATATCAG